CCCCCCCCCCCCCCCTCCCCCTAACATTTCAAAATTCGCGGTTGCACCCACAGTGCTCAGTAGTGAAGTAAGCCTGGAAGCAAGGAAGTAACGCTCTCTCGCGTTGAATGTCACCAACCTTGCAAATTCTGAACAAGAGCTGTGATTGGTCAACGAATTAAATATGGCTCCCTTTTCTTAGAGGTTATCTCAAGTTATTTGGTGTTTTGTTTTGTTTGATAAGATAAGAAGGAAGGAGGTGGAGGTGGAGGATTACTGCGGCGTCATAAGATTGTCATGCCTAGATGAAAGAATGAACCTACTCCTGTCGTGTGTAATTGTGTTTACTTTTAGCCGTATCTCACCGAACTTTGAAAGTCAGTGAAGTCCAAATCCCTTTACAACTTCTTCTCTCGGTCTCGTTCAGCAAAACAAAATATTTTGTATATCAGTTACGTGTGAACTTACACCCTCCAACTGCAACAGGTACCTATTAGAAACCTCCTTTAAAATGCTAGTTGGCAAGCAATTTTCAGTAAAACTTTCTATCTGAATGTTGATTTATTAATGATAAGTCAATCAAAAAATTTTAAATGCTGAATGGTGAGTGAATGCAAGATGAAACACTTTAAATAAACTTATTCTTCCGTGCTGAGCAATGGGTTTTCTACAATGCTTCAATTCTTACCAAAAGCAGAAATGCCCATATTCTTACCTGGTTCACATTATAGTAGTACAACTGCTTAAGGAATTGCACATCAAAAGTTCATTTAAAATTGGCCAAGTAGGCACTGGAATTACCGCTGCTATCTCATTGTTTGCTGTGGCCTAGGAACAGACATTCCTTAAATACCTTACATTTTTATGACTTTGGAGCTTTAAATAAACATTAGTGGAGGCATTGCGTTACAAATGACAAACAATTTGACATGAACTGATAGCCACTTTAAGGACAAATCAATACAATCAAAGAAATGTTATGTAATAGTTTAAACTGCTGGACATCTGCACCTCAAAATTTTTATGCTGGTGTGAGAGGAGTTGTGAAAAGTTTCCTGGCTCTTCTTTACAGTCCATACCAAATAATTTTATGCACTTCAAAAGTATGTCTGAAGATCCATCATGATTCTTATATTTTTTTCTATGCACAGCTACTTAACAAAAGATAGCTGATCTTCAGTTGTAAGCACCTCAGAAGTGTGTAAAAGTAACTTGCATGGACTCTCCTATGCTCACTTGCCCTGTTTTACCTGCTATGCTGTAAATCGTAAAGTCTTCTCCAATTAAGTTTATGTACGCTTTTTAAAAGTGTCGCAGGAGATCAACTGTCCTCAGTTTAACATGAACAGTGATTAAAGAATTAAAATGGTGTATCTCCTATCTCACATTAAGGCAGCGCAAGCATAATTCAGTATTGCTATTTTAGTATAGTTATTTTGTCAGTTGACTCAGTCATAGGATCTCCTTTCAATTGTCGTAACTCAAATGACTGGGAATAAGTCACAAGGTGCCCAAAATGTCCTCCGTCCTCAGAACTATAGTTTAAAGTTGAAAATTAAATTGCTCCACCTCTGGTTTTTGATTTTGTTATTCATAGCGTTTTCTGTATGTTTCACCAGCAATTGGCGCCTTATCTACTACCGGGTTGATAGTATCAGGCTGGCCTTAAATTCCTAATTGCAGCAGCAGTTTATGCTTCTAATCACTGAGGTAATATTTCTTGCATATCAGTTATGCTATTAACTTATTCGTTTAAATTTGAAATATTTTTCTACACTTCTAGCAATCAAAGGTGTAATTCAGGGAGGTAAATACCCCACTCTTTCACAATCAGCCCTCTGCACACTAAATTTGATTTTCTAGGTCAATTTCAATCAATTATGAAGATATTTATTCCCCTCCCCCCCCCTTACGGATCAAGCTGCACATTATACTTCATTTATCAAAAGCCAAGTACAGTCATAGAATTCCAAAGAATCCACAATTTAATTTTCAAGGTTTTCAAGTTAGACCTAACCAGGAAATCAGGATTTTGAAGTGTCATTGAAACATAGAATAATAGCTACCAGAAGGGCAGCAGTGGGCCATCTTTGATTCGATTCTTGAAATCCCCAAGACCCCCGCTCAGCCTACCGTTTCAAATTTTGCGGGGGAAAAGAGCAAAGTCCGCTGCTCTGACCCTTCGTCTCTCTACCGTTTCAAATTTTGCAGGGAAGAAGAGCAACGTCCGCTTCGAAAAAGTGACTATACGTGATCTTACTGGAGGATCTGCCAGATACCTGTCTTGTAGCTATTGTTCTATGATTGAAAACAGGAAAATGAAAAAAACGCCGGTGTGAAATTTTTGAATCTCTTTTATTTGTTTCCTAGATTCTAGTGGACATTTTAAGCAGAGAAGGCTTTGTATTATAATTTAGAAGTAGTAGTTTTTAACTATACCACATCCTCTCATGTCAGTTTTTCAGGGAATTTCATTTTCTAACTTTTTCTCTTACCAACTTTCTAACTTTGCGATTTTTTCTTACAACAGGATTCTCGAAGTATGATCATCGGTAACTCCTCATCATCCTGAATCTTCCATAGAGCATATATTTTGATGAACTGTTTTTACCGCAACATGTGTTTGGTTTTTTCTAATCTTCAGTAAATTATCTCTCCAGGTAAGCTAAGATCAATACTCATTGAACATTCTACCTTCCATTTCAGGCTAAGGAAAATATAAAGGCAAATTATTCTTAGAAGTTTCCTTTTAATATCATCCACTTGATAAGGGACGTTAGTTCGAAACAATTCAAAACTGGAATAATGGTCTCATCAATCAGCTGTGTGATTTGAGAAAATTTTTGCCCAAAAATATCCAACAAAATCAAAGTTTTGCCTCTAACTTTGCTGTTCAATAAATATAGTTTTAAAAAGTTATCAAGTTTAAACCTCCCATGTTCAGGACTACTTATTATTTCTTTAAAATGTGAGTCAATGCTTTGTATGGCTTGAGAATTACTGGACCAATCGCAATCCATTCCTGGGAATATTAAGTTGAGAATGTCTCTGTCAAAAACTTACATTTTGATTTTAGACATATTATGAAAGAAACACCCTGCTGTTAAATCTGCCCTGATGCATAAAAGCTTCTTTTTGAATCACTGCCTTTCTATTAAGAATTCTTGCTTGTGTCTCCATAATCATGTCATGGACCACTAGACAAGGTACGAATCGGAGCATTCCGATACACATCTCTTGACCAGAATTTCACATAGAACGATATTCTTGCATCAAAAATTACTGAAAGCAACTCCTAACTAAGATATCAATGTTTTGATTTTATATTGGTCACGGGAAATTTGAATTGCCTAGTTACTAGAAACTCAATACTCTACATAAGTCAAATCGCGTAACACAAAGGTGCCGACAGGTTTCTTAATCGAACACTTTTCATTTCCCACTCTGTATAGTTCAAACTATCTATAACTTGGTATATTGCTGAGCCAAAGCGTCAAAATTGAGGTTGCCAGATTTTTACATTGCAAAGACTGTCATGGTAACGTTTAGTGTGCGATTTGACTGACGTAGACCATTGAGTTTTCATGAGCGGGAGGTTTCTTTGTGAGGTGTTAATTTCAGTAATTTGCCACCCTAATCGTGTTCTACGTGAAATTTTAATCAGGGAACATGTATCAGAATGCTTCACTTTGTACGTTGTTTAGTGGTCCATTTAGTGAACTAACTAAGTGCAAAATTCCACAATATATTTCTGAAATTTTTTACGAGAGATGCTACCTTTTCATGACTCCAGATGTTTTTTATGCTATGAAGGAAAAAATTGATAGCTGTATAATTACCAGTGGTTTAAAACCTTGTTATTTTCAGGTATACAAAATAAAACGTATTGATAGAAATTTCTCCTGCCAAGAAAATTTTGTTTTACAATTCTTACTGCACTCCCTCAGAAAAAGTTTGAAGTAGGGGGGGGGGGCGAAAGAAATCAAAGAACGATTCAATTGGCAGCCACTTGTCTACCTAAAGCTGTTTAACAGAACCCAGGAATTTGGATAGCCCCCAGGGAATAATTGTTTATCAGTATGATAAAAATAATTTTAAGTTTAATGCCACTGAGAGATCAGTTTTTCTTTCCATGTTCAGCTGTTGAAAAATCTATTTTCACCCCATCCAACAGTAAAATTTTCAATTTGTACCATATTTAACCATTTCCTCATGTCCTGTAAAGCATCGGGCAGTATGAACTAAAAGAGAGATTTTATACCAATATGTAGTCAATAGTAATGAGTTTATCTGAAATGAATTCATCATTTTCGACATTGTATCGATAAACATCATGTAATTTTTCTTGGCGTGTGTTTGTTTTGAGTCTGATTCTATATCTTGAAATGAACCTATTTAGATCCAAAAGGAGTGCTCAAACTCGAACACATTACGGGCATCACAAGTTTCAGTTGAGTTTTATGAACTGATTTCTCCATTATTTACAGCATTTTACTGCTAAACATAAATGATCATCAATGATTAGTAATTGTAAATTATCTGATCTTTGATACTATGATTGAGATTGATTTACTGCACTTGGTAAAACAAGAGGATTCCTTGTCCAAGATGCTTTGTGAGCCCAAATTATTTGAATTTTACTGGAAGAATAATGCTTAATTTTTATAAGTGGTAGCTAGGATAATTATTGTGAAATTAACGGCAAATCGACAGAAGGGCAATGTAAGCAGGTTGTGCGCTGTTTCTCTTAGATATCAATTCGCAGAATTTCTTGGCATTAAAAGCAGCATTGTTGCCAGGCAGCATCGAAAGGTCACCACTTTTCCACCATCTAACCCCATATAAAGTACCTATCCACATTTTATTGCATAACCTGACAACCTTAATATTAGATGAGAGTAATCAAAACTTACTAGATCTGACATCAAACTCATGATTTGAAATTGTCGGCTCCGAATTATTTTCTCGGCTTCAATGAAAAATTAGCAACATTCACAGTGCAAAACAACTAAGTTTTAAAGATCCTCTTAAGCATGATATCATGTGTTGCGCTTTTGTCTTTATTGAACTCGTCAGTTTTGTTGAATGTAATTCGTTTTCTCCCTCAGTGGTGATTCTTGTCGGAGTAATCAGGAAACTATCCAAAAACCATGGACAATGGTACTTGGGCCAGAGATGAAAACGATGGAACCTTCAAAAGTGTCGGGGAGGTGCAACTTCGCAAGTATGGACATCTTTTGGAAGAGTATGAGACTAAATTGCAGGACGTTGAAGAGACTTTTTCGTTTTCATTGAACTTTAGCAGCATACCTGTCCCATTGGAGATCTCAGCTGAAGAAGATACTGATATTGTCAGCTTAGTCGATACAGAAAATAGAATTTTAAACAAGATAGTTACAGTTTTTGCTACACTTTGCTCTGAGGTTCAGTTCTTACACGAGACTGCAAGGAAGGATTTCATCAATTCCATTTTATTCTACGCAGATGGATGGGATAGTGAAGTTCCAGATGGGCGTATTTTGAGAGTTATTAGTCAGTTTTTACCAGTGTTGCAAGATTTATGGAATTATGTCAAGCACTGTGAACAAGTGGTACTGCAGATTATTACTCAACTAGGAGCTCTTCATGACTTTCAATGGGACACACCAGCATTGTCTCCCTCGGCTGCTACTGGACAAATTCATCTTCAAGTTGTGTTTGATGAGTTGGGTAAACTTTTGTTGGTTTTGGCCACCTTGGATGAGGCCATTGCATCTCACCCTTTACTCGTTCAACATTTTGTGTATTACAAATCTTCAGTTGCTGCGCATTTAGCTTCAGCTTCATCAAGCGTAAAAGTTGATGTACATAAACTGAAGAACTTGGACAGTGTCCTTAGTAACTTACAAAATGATATCCTCTCCCGCCAGATATTCAAGAATGTATTGCAGCTGCCATTCACTTCAAATCTACCTGTGCAGAAAAACGGTAAACTGTGTAATGAATTCAATTTGTACCTGAAAACAGCTGCACAAGACTTGGAAAGCAAGAGCCTGCAACAGATGGACCACAATCAGCTCCTGAAGTGGGCGAGGCTATGTTGCGTTTGCGTCTTCAGTGTTCACTTGTTTGGGTCAACCGATAAGAAATTATTGAAAGTTTTCTTTGACTTATGCAAAAAATTTCATTCGGTCACTCTCTGTGGAAGTGTTGTTTGGTTCCCAGACCAGTTCTTGTTTGAGCATCTCTCTGGACTGTCCAACACACTCGATAGTAAAATGTTAACAACTGTCACTAATAACCGCAAAAATTATCTAGTAACCAGCTCTCAGAATATTAGCAAAGAAGTGCAGCTGTACACAATGCAAGTTTTCAACTGGGCCCTGAGGATGGAAGTACGCATGTGTGAGGATCTAAGCAATGTCAAATTGAATGAAATGAAGGATAAATATGATATTTTGATTGAAGGTTGTCACCTCTTATGCCAGATGAAGAGACTGGTTAGTGTCCTCACAAATTTGCACGGATCGCTTGGCAAACCAATGACTAAATCGTTGGTATTAGGTATTTGTAGACTTATCGAATTGATGAAAGCTGTTGAACATGTATACGAAAGGCTCTCTACAAATATAGCAAAATGTATCAACCTTCTTTTCCAATTTTTATCATATCAAATTCTTCGATTCATTCTCGTAGCCAAGAAAAATCTATTGCAAGACAAAAAATTTAGTGATAAGCAGGTCGACATCCTCTCTTCCTTAGTTTTAGTCGAAAAGTTGCTCAGTGGGCCAGTAACAAATAGTCGACTGCAAATTATAGCTATTGCGTTGACATTCACCAATCGCATTAAAACATTCACCGAAGGAGATTTTTTGACTCTTAATAATTTACTTTCCAAGCTGCAAGTCATTTGTAATCTCTCAAAGGAAGTCCAAGATGGTGCTAACTGTGACTTTTTGTATTGGCAAGTCATTATTCCTATTTACTTTGAGCACATCAGTAAAAATGTACAGGATTTTCAGCATTTAATGTATATTTTCAGAGCATTAGAAAACACCGCTGATGCTGTGGATGGATGTCTACAAAGATCATCTCCATCGCCAAATAACAGCTCTCTCGATGCTGATATCTCTCATTTTTTACGAAGTCATCTATTAAATCCCCTGAATCGTGATGTTGAGACAAATCTTCGATTGCACTGTCACACTCATCTTGAAGTAAGTCAAAGAACACTAGATCCAACCATAGTGAATTATACAATAGCTCTAAGAAATAACCCAGCCCACCTCATCAATAGATTTTTTAATATTAAAGGAAACGTAGAGCATTATCTGAATCAAACATTTTATGACTTAACCACAGTAGCCCTTCATAATTGGAGAACGTACGGAGAAATGAGGGTATTGGGGGAGCTTAAATTTAATCTGCAGACAGTCGAAGATAATTTACCGAGTCAGACATTAGAACAAGGTCTTGATGTGTTAGAAATAATGCGCAACATTCATATTTTTGTCTCAAGATATTTGTACAACATGAATAACCAAATTTTCATAGAGGCCTCCAGTAATAATAAGCATTTGAATGCAATAAATATCAGACATATTGCAAATTCGATCCGAACACATGGAACTGGCATCATGAGCACAACCGTCAACTTCACTTATCAATTTTTACGAGAAAAATTGAACGTGTTTTCTCAGTTTTTACACGATGAACGCATCAAGTCTAGACTAATGAAGGACATTCAGTATTTTCGAGAATTAAAAAATCAAGACAACACTAAGTTTCCCTATGACAGAGCAGAAAAGTTCAATAAAGGCATCCGGAAACTAGGTGTCACCTCAGAGGGTAGCTATTTGGATCAATATCGCATCCTTGTTAGTCAAATTGGAAATGCAATGGGTTATGTACGAATGATACGCTCTGGAGGCCTCCATTGCTGCTCGAACGCAATTCAATTTATTCCAGACTTGGATGATATCGTCAGTTTCGAGGAACTCAGCATTCAAGAATCCATGTCACCAGCTTGCATTGAAGCTGCCAAGTCTCTGGACCTGATCATTGGAAAAATGACTCAAAGCCTTTTAGATAGCACCGATTACTTCAAAGCTTTAGTGGACGTTTTTTCTCCTGCTATGCGAGACCCAAAAAATAAGCATCTACAAAATTTTTACATCATCATCCCTCCTCTGACGTTAAATTTTATCGAACACATGATAAATGCCAAAGAAAAAATGAATAAAAAAAACAAAGTGGGTGCTGCATTCACTGATGATGGCTTCGCAATGGGCGTTGCGTATTTATTGAAAGTGCTGGATCAGTATCCAGAATTTGACTCTTTATATTGGTTTCACTCTGTTCGAGACAAATATACGGCAGACAGGAAAAGTTTGGAGGAACAAAAAATATTTGCTTCCAAGGATGATGAGAAATTACAACAGACCCTTAATTTAACATCAAAACGACTTGAAGCTTATGAACAGGAATTTGAACTTCTTTACTACAATTTGAATAGTGCCCGAATATTTTTCCACAGAAATCATTTTATCTCTAAATCGCACCTTGAATCCACATGAAAATTAAAACGGAAGTTTGAAACTGACAGCCATCAGCAGGGGCTGAGGATTCTTGTGTGTGTGAAGGATTTAATCAAGCAGAACCATGACATCTTATTGAGAGCTTACACTTAAAACTAGACTACGTTTTGCACTTAGGAACTATTATTTCTGGTTTATATTGCAAACAATATATGTGTCATTACTTTCCTCATGCACATAGGCGCTTTCATGGATGAGTCAGAAATAATTGTTCCTTATTCCAAAATGCAATGCAACTGTTCATCAGTGCCTGAATTCACTATTCCAATGTCACACATGTTCATTTCCCAAGTATTATTTTTCTTTTTTCCTTTGTCTTATTTGGTAGTTACAAATCAGTCACAGTAAAGAAGACGAATTTTAACCTGAGTTACTTTCGAATAAGTATAAAATCTATTAATTTAAGTGTCAAAAAACATTAATATCTTGGTTAAAAGCTACTTTCAATTATTTTTGTCTCTTGCATTGTGTTCTAATTGTTTGATGAGAAATATTGTATCATTTTGCTTACACCTTGTCTAATGGTCCATCGTAAAATAGCTGATGCAAAGGGAACTCCCAATCTCTCATGCAATGAATAGAAGTATATAATCAATCCTTAATATTTTTTAACTATGGATTTTCCACAACTCAACTAAAGTCTTTTTAGAAAGTATATTACAGAAAGCATATCGCTCTACAATACGATATAATTCAAAAAATGAAATGGATAATTAGTATAACATGAATATGTAGAATGTAGACTAAATTTAGCAGAAATGAATCAAGTTTCTAGGTACATCTCAAAACGGCGATTCTTCTCTGAACAGTTAAATCATGCTATATTGTCTTGGATTGTACCAAAAACTTGGTTCCTCTCTGCTAAACCCAGCTTAAATAATTATTATTTGGTTGGGAAAAATTGGGAGCCTGAAGGCTAACAATTGTAAAATTATGAAAAAACTGTGACTGTGATATTTATTTTCTTTTGTAAGAAATTTACTCGTCAATAACTATACAATAAATCTATATTCTCATCATCAACATTTTATATTTTCTCAAATTTACCTTCAAAATGGTTATCAAGTGCTCACTCGGCAAACATGCGAAAATTGATGTTTACCAACCCGTCAATGAATGGTATATTGTGACTCCTTAAAGATTATTTTAAAGGAGATTGTTAAAAAAAGAAATAAAGAATGACCTATGTAGGATTAATGAAATCAAACGAAAGTTATCTCTCAATCATCATAACAAAAATAACAGAGGAATCAACGACAGCGAGGAGAAGCAGAATCTAGGATAGAATATCCTAGAAATAATTGGTCACCTAGTGGACAACTAAAAGACTGGAAAAACAGTTTACCAGCATATTAAAATTTTACTAGAACGTCATATACATTACTGCCAGGGAGGATTGAAAATAGATGGATAGAGTCTATGAATGAGTCTTTTGCTTAATTTGCATAAAGCTCATTGGGCGTCAAGGAGTTAATAATTGCCTCTGAAAGCTTCATAGTAATCTCAAATTAATTTTACTGTGATCGGAGTATTTTTTGCACCACAGTCCCACTTTCAGCTTTAGCTGTGTCTCCACGGGACGTTTCACAGGATTTTTCCCAAGTTCGAGTCGCAGGAATGAGACCTCTGGGCTTTTTTCCCTTTAAACAAGGCAAAAAAATTTCTTTTTCTTCTTTTTAAGTAGTTTCTAGGACTCCTTAAGGACTCTTAGTTGGTACTGTGATTAGTATCGACATTGACTAACTCAATATTTTTCCCAACTTTGCAAGTGAGATTTTCCCTTGGGACGGATCGCATGGAACGTCCCTCGGAGACAACGCCTTTATCAATGAAAGTCGCATTATTTTATGAGCTCTTGTAACATCATCTTTCTATGAATTTAATTTGTTTCAGAAAGCTTTCCTAGGACTGTTTCTCATCTTTAATTTTTTAGAAGACTGCTAATAAAGGATTTTTTATTGAATTTATAAATGAACAACAACCACAAGTTATCCTTACCATCCTCAGAAGTTGAGCATGCATTTTTAATTGATTTTATTGTTTCCATTAACGGAGTTCAATCAATCAACAGAAGCTTCACCTACTCTTCGACAAGACTTTATACTATGCAGAAAAAACTACTTTAGTAGATATCTACTTAGTTGTCACCTAAAGTAAGGAGATATTTAAGTAAGTCAAATTTGTAAAGTGCAGCTGGATATTATTCAGAAATTTTAAGTGGCACAGATACAACATTTTTCTGAATTCAACTATGTTGTTTAAGAATATCAAAAAAAATTTTGAATCACAACTACCAGACACTCAACGTATTGTTAGCACCTCGCGAGGCAGTCGTAGGCAGTCGAATGTTTTGTTTGATTATGTTGTTCCAGCACTTGGGCAAGTCAATAAAGAGGCAGCAATTGACCGTTGGGAATTACTTCAAGCTGCTGCCACTGGTAACATAGAGTTGCTTCGTTCCAAACTTTCAAAAGGCTCAGATGTGGATGCCAGAATAAGTGTCGGGGCTCATGTTGCTGGGTTTTTTGGTAATGTTTTCACGTACAGTGACGTTCCCAAAGATTTACCGAACTCTTATGTAACACCATTGCATTATGCAATTTTAAACGGTCATCCAGAGGTAGCAGCGCTGTTGATTTACAGGAAAGCTCAAGTCAATGCTAAAAGTAATCAGGGTTACACACCTTTGCATTTGGCAGCTGGAACAGGTTGTAAAGACATCGCTGAGTTACTAATAGAAACGGGAGCAAACATAAATGTTACCAGTGCCACTGGCGTAACACCATTACATTTGGCTGCAGAACAAGGGCACTTGCATTTAGTCCAGCTTTTAATCTTAGAGGGAGCAAAGTTTAATGAAATGACTGAAGTATTTGATTTTAAAGAAGACTTAAGTCAGAATTACACTAAAACACACTTTATTCACCGCTGGACACCTTTACACTTTGCTATAAATGGAAATCATTTTGATGTAGTGAAAAAAATGCTGCACATAGGAATGGCTCTTGGAATTGATTTCATCAGCCCTTTAGAAGTAGCAAAGGAGGATTTCTTTCGGAGAATCATCAAATTCTTCTCATCATTGAGTGAACCTTTAGACCCATACAGCTTTCGTCTACTGTCTGATCTGGCAACCAAGAAAAAGTGCTCAGAAGCATTAACGAAAATGATGAATAAATACAGATATTAACCTTAAATAGAGCTCAATATGTCGATGAGTTCATTGTGCTACCCTCAAAGTGAAATTTGCTTCAAAACTTGTCTTTAAATTTGTGCAGTGTAATTTACTTCCCTCGACGTGCCACCCTCATTTAAGAAAAATTAAACAGGTCGGAAAGAGTCAGAGTTAGAGTGTAGCTTATTCGGAAACAAACCAAATGTAGTTAGTAAGTACTTTCTCAAAAATGTCTTTTTATGCCAAAGTTGATTCAAAGAATCGTTGATTTTCCAAATTGTAAGAAAAAAATCCTCTGTGTCAAACTATACATGTAGACTCTGTCACGTAGGTATGTGTGTCAAGTTCTAGCAATGTCCTGTGCCTTATATTTAGTGGATAGATTTTTTAGTCTTCTCCTTCTCCTTTAATTGTTTTAAAAGATAAATTGAATTAAAAGGTAATATTGAACATTTTTTCTTAATTTTTTTGAACTTGGGTATTTATATTTTTATAGGGTATTTGTATTTTTATATCATTTCTTCTATAATATACGTTTTCACAAAACTCTCTTCTTTCATTTGCAGAATTTACTTCTTCACGCCATTCTATTTTTTCTTCTATGAAAGAGAATCTGTTTCATTTGTCAGTCTACCAATCATGCTCTTGATTCAATTTTCCTTCATTACTAAATTTAGTATCAGAAGATAAAATTATCTGCAAGTTCTAAGATTTTGGCGAGTAAAAAAAAAAAAAAGAAATGAGAAAGAAAGTTGGCACAATTTAACTTTGAAAATTCCAACAAGTCAAGAGATTTAGATTGTTTAAATGAACATAAGCCCTTTTCCAAATTTTTTTGGCACCAGACAATATTTATTAGAGAAGTTTGATTAATAATTTAACATAGAGAGGAATAGATTGTTTACTAACAAGCCTTGACCTTGTATCCTAATCAAGTGATAATAAGAATATCAAAGAAATTACTCGTCAATTGGTGCACAAGTAGTGAACGTTCTCGCAAGTAAGGGGGAAAAATTAGTGTTTATAGCTTTCTTATTCTTCTTTAGTGTATTTTTCAAAGAAAATACACTATTGTTCTTTTTGTATTGTGGCTTGCACTGAAGTCAAAATCACCGAAATTAAGTATTAGAAAAAATCATATGTTTGCCTAAGTTACAAGAAAAATGTCTCATTTTTTCACAAATTACTGAGCAAGGCAACATTGCATCTTATCATGAACACAACAAACTCATTCATAGGCTTTTTGATTTTTAGCTGTATACTTGTGGTCGCAGGTCATGATAGTCTTCTTCGCTGAATTTTTGGAGAAAGCACTTCCTTTGTTGTGAGTTCATCTGTGCACATTTTCAAGATTATAGCAAAATTCTGTCTAAAATCTACGGCTTGAAATGACTCCTTATTTCTGCGAGTAGGTAAGAATTTTTTAATGAATCATGTTGCATCATTCAGTTACATCTTGTTTTGTTAAGAGCTAAGGCAGTAATTTTTGGCCAATGAAAAGATTACCGTTTCAAAAATAAGGAATTCTTCCGAGCACCAAATAATGAGGGGGAAAATCGGGTTTTTCCTAAGTTTTAGTCATTGCGAGAAAATTGCAACAAAATAAATATTGTCACATTAATTTATAATTATGCTAAGGATGGTCCTATAAGTTGCCACAATTCTATCTGAATGTGTCATGTTTGAAATTTTTGTAACTAAAAACAAATAATAACTAAATAATCCACTGAAAAAATTATCTTTTGACTGGATGTTTCCAATGGACCTATGAATATAATATTGAAATTGGAGACATTTTTCATGTATTTCCTTTTCAAAATTTAGTGAGGCGGAAACAATTTTCTTGCCAAAAAGTCCAGAAGTCAGCTGTTATAAGCTGTACCTGTACTCTCATATAGTTTTGACAATTTGACTCTTTACTTTGAGAAGAGTATTCTGTAAGCTTTTCAAGTCATGATGTTGATTTGGTCTTTTTTAAAAAATAAAGTAGGATCGGAGATTTTGAAACATCACGATCGAGATACCTACGCTTTTTTCCAGTTTTGCTGTCCATAAACTTTCTTCTTTATTGCAAAATTTAGTCAACTTCAATTGCATATTTGGCTCTATATAAGTTTAAGAAAACCACAATCACAGCTTGGATACTTTATTATGATGACTTATCTAATCACTTTCGCCTCTATTGCCTCCTAAAAAAATATTTATTTTTGTTTCAGGGAAAAACAGTCACCCTTCCACATGCATTCGAGCCCTCTTTAATGTACCTAAGAACTGGCCGTAAGATGTCAATTTGAAAGCATAGCTATATGTGAAATTCATTACAAGAAACCATTCAACGATTGCTAATGTATGTGTCAAATTTTATCTAAACGATATTTTCAGCCCATGCAATAATTTTTAATTTTCTTCCGTTCAAAATTGTATTTTTTTTATGCAATAATTGATTGCATTTTTCATCATTCTAAAGAAATCGTGGAAAAATGACCAAGCAGTTAATAACAGTTCTTGATACGGTTTTGAAAGGCCTGATGCGCCGTTATAGTGAACGTGTTCCTGATGTACACCGCATTATTAATGCCATGATCAATGAAGGTATCATCAAGTCTGCCGATGAAATAGAGAATGACCACATAGCATTTCGGACAATGGGAGTTCGGAACCTGGGCATCGCATCGCTTGAGAAAATCTTCTTACATTATGGATATGAAAAGCGTGACCCCTACAACTTCGCAGAAAAAAAACTGTCTGCATATTGGTACGCTCCCCCCACTATCGAGCAAAACTTGCCTCGCATCTTTGTCAGTGAACTGCGTGTTCCAGAGCTATCTAAAAATGCCCAGAGTATCATTCATAACTACACAAATGTTGTAACCAGTGACCCGGTAGATTCGCTTGACCTAAATGATGGGGCGGCAGTAGACCAATTTCTACATCAGTCATTGTGGCCTGTACCTAAACTCGCTGATTACCAGGCACTTTTGTCTGAAAGTGAGTATGCTGCCTGGGTCATTTATAACCGATACTATCTGAATCATTTCACAATCAGCGTTCATAATCTAAAACCAGGCTTCAATACAATCGACAAGTTTGTAGCGTTTCTTCAACGGCATGGCATTAAACTCAATTCAGCCGGAGGCATTGTTAAGGTCAGCCCTGATGGAGGGTTGCTACAAGCATCAACTGTCGCCCAGATGACCGAAGCTGAGTTTGCAGATGGAGAAAAATTTTCCATCGCTGGCTCATATGTAGAATTTGCTGAACGGCAGGTACTTCCTCAATTTGCTGATCTGCCTGCAGATCAGATCAGCCGAGTTCATCGACGAGAGGGGTTTGAAGCGGGCAATGCTGACAAGATTTTTGAGAGCACATTCGTGGCACAGGTTAATCAGTAGGAACTAGCTTGCAAGTTGGCAGTTCAATGTGTGGCACTCTGTCCTCCTTCATCTTCCCTAAATAACATCTTGATTTACCTACTCGAAGCATACCTTTATTGACTGTGATGTTATAAAAACTTTTATCTCATTTGTGATGTTTCAAAATTCCAGCCTCTTTTTATTTTCAAGAGAATTTTATCTCACATTTTTGTGTGTGGAGTATATATTCTCAAAAGGGCAAAAGAAATTGACTCACAATTTCATGCCATAACTTTGGTTGATCATCCTTTGAAAAGATAAAATATGATATGAAATCTGAACTGTGGCAAATTTGAGACTTGCGGAGACTTTTGTCCTTTTACAATCAATATATTGATGACCAAAGTGGAAAAGCACGTAACTCAATCGCTGTTTCAAAATTTCCTTTTCTATTTTATTTTTTCTAATAGAAACAATAAGCCAACTTTTTAGCTTGAAATTTATATAGTCTATTCTGCTAATTGAGAAGAAAAATCAAGGAATTTTTCAATAAAATTCGTTGACCAAGTAGTTCTCCACAGAAAAAATGAAGTAGGTATGAAAGAAATCCTGCAACATCTAAAATAGGGATATACGTTTTTGCCCTTTGACCGTGGGATATTGTTTCTTAATGTAGGAACCTCTGGTTGGACTTTAAGAAATGGTTCATCCCCCTGTTTTCTCAGAAATTTATCTGATACCGTTGATGTTATTACCTAAAAAGTTATGTTCGGTCATGAAATTCAAGAATAAATTTATGTCGAAAATGTCGCTAAAAATGTCATTTTATAATTTCTTTTTTTTTTTTAGTTTAACAAAGTGATACCTGGTATACTTTCAATGTTCTTGTTCTGTGAACTTGCCTCAACTAGTGCATAATTTGAGTATTAATACCTGGTTATTCTATAAAAAATAATATGAAAAAAGTACTTACCTAGATGTTGTCTACAGAGAATATTTCAAATTTTAATTTTTCGGTAAACGTTAAAAAATAAAAGTGCAAGTACTATAAAAGCAGTAAATAAAAGCTTTGCTCTTTGACTGATGGTATTAATCAATCTAATCACTTTGGTGAACCATTTCCTTTATCACTAGATACTTTGGCACTTAAAAACTTAATACAACCTTTACAAGACTATTATCGACTTCCTGTAGGTGTTCCAATCCTTTAAAAATAATCTGAAAAACTAGAAATTATTCATAGGAATACAAAGAAATTAGGCGCCGGTTTTTAGGTATTATTTGATATGATTTTCCTTATGGTCCTCCAAGAACAATGAACTTTTAAAGTCAAACTCTCTATGTGTCAATTTCATGAGTGAACAGGGGTGTTAAGTTATTTTTTGACCTTCTGACAGGTGCTCTCCAATGGATTTGTGGAGCTATCACTATATCGACGGTGAAACTACCAAACCCTTGTATCTCGTTTGCGGTGTTTAAAAATCTACGCTCCCATTTTATTCTTTTGAAGTCGACCAAATCAATATCATTCCTTGAAATTTACACAGAATTTTCTCCGCACAAAGAGGAAAAATCACAGAAATTTCCAAGACTAGACGTTAAGTAGTATTTCATTTAAAAAATATAGTATGACAGGAAGTCTGCGACGTCGCAAACCGAGATACGTGGTTTGGTAGTTTCACCGTCGATATGCTTATGTGGACATTGCCATTACTCTGCTAACTGTTATCATTTGGTGGAATTCAATTCTGTTCATCTATCTCATTCTCTTCGCCTGATAGGATTCAATAAAGCCCAGCTCCATTACCAATCATATGTCCCAATATTTCCACTAGAAATTGCGTACTTAAAAGTAAAAAAATTCACTTTTCAGCCCTACTTTTCTCAAGATTGTTACTTATGTGGAATTTTCGATTTTAAAAGCTCATGATACTATGGAAGCTATAAGGAACATCATATTAAACATTACAGAATTCAGCCGGTTTCAAATTTCTTGTTATTCCGTGCATTGTCCTTTCAGCAAAGTCAATTACCTAACTGTAGAATTAAGATTATCCATCATGATTGGTGATGAATTAGCGGAAAATAATTTACCAAAATCTTGTGTAGTTTAAAATCACAAAACAGGGATGTAAATTGAATAATAACTGCTTTATTCTTCAAACAAAGTACATGCAAGAACTTACAAAATGTAGGCAGGGAAAGTATGATTTGAATTATAAGTAAAAAATTAATTGAATCCACCTTTTGAAATAAGTTTTCCAAGTAAAATGTCCTATTTCAAGTATGAAAAGTCAAAACAACTGTGTATTTTTGTTCCTGAGGACCTGCTTTGACTTATTGGAGTTCAAAACTGCATTTCTTGGCCAGCAGATCTGAAAATTTTCAAACATTTTGAATGCTCTTGAAAGAAAAGTACCTAATAAAAATTTCATCTTGAAGTTTCATCTAATTTACCTTCCTCTTAATTGAGCGCGAATTAGGATTTAAACTTCTGAATACTGTATAAACAAGCAATACTAAAATTATAAAATTCAAATTTAAAATCACTCACATGCATCTCAGGAATTGTTGAAAGCAAATGTCTCCTACGAAGCCCTGCTCTGTATTCTCAGTATATGAATGACAATTATTCTGACTAATTAAGTCAGACAAAAGCTAGACTGAGACTTGTCTCTCCACTCTGTGGAACGCATCCTTTTTTAACAAATTTTAAAGTGCATGTGAATGTTTTGATTTTAAATTTCATCATTTCTAATTTCCTCTTACCAAGAATATTCAGTTTAATATACACAATACATGTATAGCAATACCTATGCAGCGGTTGGCCTCTCTATTTTTGAAAAACCCCATTGGATGGTTTTAAAAACTTATGGCTATCATTTTGGAACATGGATCCAGGCATACCTGAAAACTTTACGGTCTGTGTTCTTTTTTTGCCCCCTCTATCCATCCCCTGTCGGACATAATATCACAGAGAGAGCGTTTCCAGTTGAAAATTCTAAGATAAACCTTTCTCTCAGAAAAAAAAAAAAAAATCCCTTGACACAAGTAATGCTCGTTCAAACGAGAATTCTTTTGACGGATGATCTAAAAGTTCCTTCCACCCTCTCTAACTTTTTACTTAATTGAGGGAAGATTTGAAACTTTAGGAGTTACTCCCAGGTCTAAGGGAGCTACTTTTTGGCTCCCCTAAAATTTTCAGGAGGAGCCTCCTAGGGGGAGGGGGGCAACGAACCCAAACTTTTTTTTCAAATGGAAAGACCCCTCTGGTGATACCTTGTTCAAAAGAGCATAAATAATGCAACTTTTTTGCGCAAACCCGATGTTAATCATTCGAATCATTTAAAAAAGGTAGCCGGATAAAGTTCAAAATGGCAGAAATTTGATATCTCGGTTTTTTGTCGGTAAATTCATCACAGGATGATGAAAGTTACTCTATTTATGTCTCGATTAGCACAATTCAACAAAAATATTGAAATACCTTAAGTTCCAACTTAAAGCAATACAATTTGAATTTTCAAACTTTCGAGATGGCAATATTTTTACATCATTTGATCAATGAGCCGATTATAAGTAAACTGAACTCCGTGTACCTATCTGAAAGATCGATATAGACAGTCAGCAACTCGAAGAAAATTGCAACTTATTCCAATTTACTTGCACTGGATTCCAATTTGAGGAGCCCCTTCAATTAAATGGTAGGCAACATGCTCAACACCTTGATGCAGTACGCAGCTACAGCCTTACCATGTAGGTATTTGCAACTTATTGCGATCTGTGCTGTACTTGGGGGCTCAGGTAAGTAAGTGGCAGGCGCTGTGACACGCTCTATGGCCCTTTGGGGTAAGTATCACGAAAAGAAACGCTCAAATTACAGTGAAAGAAATCAAATTGGACTATAATTTTTCCCTCCTCATCTGAGTCGTGAAGGAAGACATCAAAGTGCTGGCTACTGACACTCCACGTGCGTATTTCTGTTAAAGCACGTGCTATTGCGACTCGCGAGGTCCCGCTTTTGCCTACCTTGTCGATTGAAGGCAAATCTGACAGCTTCCAAGGCAACCTTTCATTGTTGTCTGAAGTAGAGTCCCTTTATACTGAGAGTCAAGACAATTCGGCTCATGGATGTCACAAACGGGAATAAAGATTACAGAAATTGAACGTTTTTCGTAATCTTTGATCGGCCCATTCTCAAATGCCTTTCTCCGTCCCTCCTCTCATTCCGTTTGTTCCTTGCCGAACCCGTAATTCCCTGGTCCATTCCAGATTATAATCTTTGCAATTGGTGAAAATGTAATCTTTATTCCCGTTTGTGACACTGTGGAGGCCTAAAATACGGGAACCAATCAGAAATGGATTCAAATTGTCTTGACTCTCAGTATAAAGGGACTCTAGTCTGAAGTATAGGGAAGGGGTTTTCTGCTATTCGTAAAGCACGTGAATACAACTATTGCTACTCGCGAGTACCCGCTTTTGCCTACCCTGTCGATTGAAGGCGAATCTGACAGCTGCAAAGAAAACCTTTGGTTGTTGTCTGAAGTAATGAAAAGGGGTTTTTCTCCTGTTCGTAAAATAAAGCACGTGAATACAACTATCTGCTCCGCGGGAGGACCCGCTTTTGCCTACCTTGTCGATTGAAGGCTAATCTGACAGCTGCAGAGAAAGCCTTTCATTATTGTCCGAGGTAATGGGAAGGGGTTTTCTAGAAAGGGTCTCTAAATTTCCTGTTGGTAGCGGGATCCCTCAATATCCCCGGGGCAGGGGATGTGGACAGGATTGACAGACACGACACAAAATATAGTTGTTTTTAATAATCTACTCAGGGCTGAACCTGCGTATCATCTCGATGTTGTCGCTTCTCAGCGTAGCTCACGCATTCGTGCAGAAACTTAGGCTCCATGATATTTTTTTGAAAATTTGCCTCAAATTGGTGCCCTGTTATGCATCCTAAAATAATGGTTTCCTTTCATCTTGCCCAAAGTGTTTTATGCATGCGGCGTTTTATCTCATACTTCCGCCGAATAATTTCGAGAATTAGCCTGACAACTTCGTATTTACTTACTCGAAGTATGCGCTCACAAGGTCAACAGTGTTTGCAGACTTCGATTTTTTATTTTCATACTCCAAAATAGAGGTACCACCATCACAGGACACGAACTCAAAGGATAGACTTTATGGCTTGAAATTGTGTATTCGAGTTCCCGTAAAAAATCTTAATCGCAACTTTCATAAATTATTGTTAAGTAATCAACCACTTGGACGCTCGCTTATTTCGGCGATTCGCCTGCATTCAAATTTTAAAAACACGCGCGCAGCGCTGCTGCATTGTGCTCTTTTCCTCAAATCGAGTTTACCCTGAACCATTTTCTCAAACCCGATTGATAATTACTGTCAACGCACAATTTTCTCCTAATTAGTCTTTGGAAAGATAGAACTCCTATTTTTTTTTGGAATATTTACTTGATTTCTAATTTTTGGAGGGTTTGTAAAGTAAGAAATTCAAAATCTAAAATAACGAAGTAAGTTTCAAAGGGTTTCAGAAGTTGCAATACTGATTTCGTGAAGACGCCCTTCCCCCTCCACATCGTTCGCGACTTTTCTTTATCAGCTGATGAGTCCTATCATTATTTTTGAAAGGAATCGTGTGTTTTATGACGTTAATGTTTAAAATTTACTATCCTAGTTAGTAATTAATCATGTTGTCCGTTAGTAAAGTGTGCACCCATGGATACTTCCAAAGGTAATTCAAAGTACATGTCCTTAACTCTTTAGTTTCGGCGTTATTAATCCGATGGTTTTCTAATGACAGTCAAGGCTAAAATACATCAAAATCCAAACAATACTTTTTGGTCTGTGGGTCAGTTTGTTTGAACTGCCCCCACATTCGGCTCTGCTCCCTTTATTGATTTAAGTTTTTTGCTAAACGTTATTTACTTCAATAAAGGTACTCTCTTCATATCGCTTGCTCTAATTTGTCTCTAATCTCAAACATTAGTCGGGTGAGTCGATTTCGAGACAGCGGCGCAGAGTTGCATCTTGAGTAGGCATTCAATCTATATTCATTAACTCATTCAGTACGCAACTAATACTATACTTTTAAACAGAAATGCTTTTGTCTTAATTCTAACTCAACAAATTCAATACCAAAGGACCTCGATCCATCCAGTGGGTCCAAGTTCAAGTGTAAGAACGGTAGTTCGCATGTGGTCTCAAGAAATTTTTATTATCATTGAAATGCCTGGTTCTAAGGAATGGGAGCTAAGTACTTTGGATCTATGCTGCCAATAAGGTGCTAAACCCTGAACTTTTCCCACCTGCAATATTCCAATCCATATCTCTTATTTCTCCATCTGTACCATATCAGGAGATAGGTATTATTTTTCATGAAGACCCCAATTTTTATTTACTCTATAAGAGAATGTCGCATTCTACCTAGTCTAAAATTTTTCAGGCCTGTTTTAAGATCTCCAGTTTGCGTAAAGGTTCTGTATTGACTCAAATTTGATCACAACCAGATACTGTCCTAAGATAGTTCTCAACTATTGCAATCTGGAAGAGGTTTTAAAAAGTTGTAAGGCAACTTAGTAACATCCAGTCAGTATCTGCTATCTTCACACTTAATTAATTACTACTATGAAGTAGAATTCCTCATCAGGAGCAGATTTATGGGTTCCAAAGCAAGCTTTCAAGCTTGACCCATTTTAAAATGGTATTCATGAAAGCGCTGTTTTTACAAGTAGTAAAGTATTAAAATCTTTGTAGCATATTTTTAATACTGCCTTGATCGATTGTTTTATTTTTTTACTATACTTTGCAGTTTTCAAAGATGATTCCATAGAACACCTGCATCCTTAGAATATGTTATTTTAAGTAGAACTTATGAAAGTTGTCAGTTCAAAAATATATGAAGTGTAACAGAACTAAAAAACATACATTCTGATTCTTAATGTTTCAAACTTTATATCGCACTCTCTACTTGGAAAGATATTACTAGCATGGTTTTTAACAAAATGGATTTATCGATGAGATATTGTCAGATGCTTTTGTAGGAACATCATGGTTTCCTGTGAAAATAAAGTCAGTTAATTTTAATGAAACAAATTTGTTTGAGCCAAAGGAATTGTGTACCATAACGACAGCGTAACTCTGTAATCACATATTTCGTTTGCGGTGTCTGAAAATCTCCGCTTCAATGATATTTTTTTTAAAGGAGAACAAATTGACATCATTCCTTGAAGTTTTTTTCGGAATTTTCTTCTCACAGAGGAGAAAAATTACGGCAGCTTTAAAGCATTGCTATTGAGTAGTTTCCCAATTAAAAAATAAAGTATGACAGGAAGTTTGCTACGTCGCAAACCGAGTTATGTGATTGCCGACTTACACCGTCGATAAGCGATATGCAGAAGGTAAAGTGCCAAGGTTGGCAACACAGCAATTTACATACAGCCTCTTTAGTGTTTTTAGTTATGTGTCAATAAATTTTCCTGTACTTATTTCTCACCTTCCCACACTCTCCTACCAGGAAAAATTGACTGAGACGATAACTGACGCCAACTAAGTTACGCAGTCATTTTCTTTTAGTTATGAGTATTTTCAATATATTTTATTTTACAGACAATGTCAACCAGCATGACAATTGCCACAGCCAGGGAAAACCTGGAAATGTCAAGTAAAATGGTGAAAGTGTTGGGGAAAAATTGTTAAATCAGCTCTATTTGCTTTCCTAAAAAGTTATTTGACACTCAGAATTAAAATGTTACATGCTTGGGTTTGGAAGTGTTGATTTTTATTTCTCTTTTCGATCATCTAGTACAGCCGCAAGTGTGAGGGAATTTCATTTTCTAAATTCTGTGGCAACCATGTCTCACAGTTTGTTAGTTGATTGTTTCTACATGTGAAGGATTTATTGTCAATCCACTCACCATACGTGTCTAGTTCCAAAAATAATGAAGTAGCTCAGTAGCCTTTTTGAACTTTTATGTTTTCTTAGCCAGAATCTATTTTTGGCTTTTGAATTGGTATAGGCTCAATCTTATGTTTATTGAATCTCTCATTCAACAATACATGACCTAGGGTAACATGAAGGGCAACAGCCCAAGACAAGGAGCCAAGTTCCTAGAACAATATAACTAATTTGACTTCATCCCAATAAAAGAAACATGGTTTTTGTGACTGGAATATCAGTTTCTTTTTCCCTCCAAAGAGCGTGTTTCATTTAATAAAATCATTTTGCAGTACAGGACTAAGAATAGTTTTTTAACTCAAAGTTAGTCTAGGTACTTACTTAGATAATTTTTTTTTTTTTTTTTTTTTTTTTTTTTTTTTTTTTTTTTTTAAATGATTTTAGTACCTAGACCAAAAAATTGTTATGATAGAGAGAAAATATGATTTTATTGAATTCATCAATTATGCTTACTCAGCTGTGCCCAAATCTTGCAAAATAAATGTTCAAATCAAATCTCAACAGAATTACAGTTCTCAGTTCTAGTCCTGGATTTTTTTTATTTTATTTAACTTTCATATCAATAAAGTTTTTCCTTCTCAGTAATAATTACTGCTGAGGCAATCTTTAATGCTAAATATGCAATGTTTCTTTTGTCCAGGGTCTGCTGTCGTCATTTTGGGTCAGTGCTACCCGAAGCTGGAATCAGTGATTTCGGCGTAAAAAATGAACCTGTTCTTGGTAAGCTTTTAAATTCTAGTTTTCATCCTTCTCTATATATACAGTCCTTCAACTAGAACTAACTAAACTACATCAGACGTCGCCAATTTTTTCTCAGGGATCATTTTTTAAACAGAAAACTAAACAGCTCTGGAACTTAAAATTGTGTGAGTATATTCTTCTTAATGGAAAGTAAATTCACAGAAATTTTAAAAGTATTAAGTATGTAGTTTAATTCTCTGTTTAAAATAGGGAACATTAGAGAAAATTAGGCAACACGAAATGTAGTTAGGCTGATTATAATTTAAGCCTGAAGTTAAAATCATTTTTTGGAAAATAAGTACTTATTTTCAAATTTTACTCATATTCCTCAGATTTTCCTCTGCAAGTACAATAATGCTCAGTAATGTCTTTTTAAATCTGCTAAAGTGGATCGGGGGGAAGGGGGGGGAGATTGTCAGAGGACTTCGCCTTTTTTTTATAAACTACAGTGGTTCCCACTCTAAAACATTAAAAGAGACTTGTGCCAATCATTCGATGATATAAAATCAGTAGTGAATTATCATCGTTATATCTTTATTTCATGGCAGTTTTGTCTCTTATTCTTTTCTCATCATCGAAGAAGTATTTTCTAATGATACAACTCAGCACTTCCAGTTCCTTGTTACATTTTATTCATTCCTTCCCTTCATCGAAAAGAAACCCTCAAAAATTATGAAATACCTCCTTCTTCCTTTTACCTAGAAAAATTAGAAGTAGTTGAAAAGAATTCTCTTCAAGTATCATAAAGAGTGGTAAACATTATTTTCTCCTGTCCTTTTTTTTTTAACTGGAGGACAAGCTCTGATTTTTGTTTTTTTACTTTTCTGCTTTGATCTTTCTAAAAGCAGCACTTATGCACAGAAGATTTATAAGGAGTAGGTACCTTGATTTTTTTCTTTAATGATTTTAATTTTTCCCTGAGGTTTTTGAAGTCGTTATGTGATAAAGTAATAGCATGTTTTCAGACAAGCCAACTTCTGAGCATTATTTACTGAGCTTTTCCCTGATTGAGTTGAGAATTTCACTAGCAAGAGAAAGAGCTTGGGATTGCATTAAAATTTGGGCTGATTGCCATGAGGTTGGTTTTTATGTCAATGTTCTGCTTGTGAGCGTTCACTCATCTTCCTGACAGGGCTATTAATACAGCACTCATTGATTTTCAGGGTTCCTGTTCCCCAAATAATTTAGCTTTTGTTGACTTGAACTGTTCTTATTCAATTTCATGAAGAGGTTCATAGCTGAATTTTGAGTGTATTTGAGCAAAAAAGTATATTCAAAAACCGATTTTAAGATTAACCTCCTCCTTCATGGGCTATTTTTGTCCTCCAATGTCCCCACCAAGTCAAGAGATTGCAACAACATTTCTAACAGTATTGCCAAGTCTTATAATTCTTCAAGTCTGATGATTTCTACTTTTCCATCTGGCACAATTGCACCTCTATACCCTTGATTCTTTCTCAGTCGGAAGAATTCAGTTCACAGTATCGAACTGATGAGCTAAAACTGATGAGCTATTACTTACTCATGTGATGCTAAGTAGGATGTTTTTACTCTTGCCTCTCAGTCGGGAAAGGCGGGTGGCTCCCTAAGATTTTTTTATCGGACAGTTTTTTTCTTTCATTTTTTAATCTGTTTTTCTTCCTAACAATTATCTGTCCTCTTAATGAAAATCAAGCAAGATCCTCTTTCTGTCTAAATATACTCAATCATAAAAGTGATTTGTAGGGGTATTTTTTTTTTCTTTTTTAAAAAAACCCTAGGCACCTAGGAAAAGGACTTTTGCAGTCAATCATAAAATGTAGTAATTATGGCTTTGCCAAAATTTAATTGTACTTCTGTACCATGATCTCAGGATGTAAAGTATTTATTTGGTATTAGTTGAAGGGCCGATGAATAAGTGAAGGGAGGTTGCTGTAGTCTATCAGTGAAGAATATATTCCACTGAAAAATGGGTAAGACCAATAAAAGGTCAGAAACTAAAAATATTTAAGTATTTGCACCTCCCCCCCCCCTCATTTAACTTAAAAGTATTTATAATTATTCCTTTGAGGAGGGTTCTCTTTTTTAAGGTTTACTTGTACCCATGTCATATACAAGTTATGTAAAGCAAGAAGAGAGTACCTTATCAAGGGGAATCTAGGAAATTTATCTCTCTTTCCAAATTAAGTTTAGATGCCGACTTGGATGTTAAATTATTCCTCATGAAATGAAAGCCATTAACTTGTCTTAACTCACTAACCATTTATCTCTGTCAATGCCCTCCCCCCCCCTCTTTCTCTTGCTCTCTCCTCTATTTCTCCCTCTCTCCTACTTATAGACAGGCGGAACAAGATAATTAGCCCCAGGTGTGAAAACCTCCTCCATGCCCACACAGCATCTTCGATTTCTCTGTTCCTCATGACACCAGCATTTTTGCTGCTTAATGCTTTCAAGTTGACAAGTTGTTTGTCTTTTTGGTCAGTTAAAATGGTCAACAATTCCAGTAATGCATCAGCTGAGTGCTAGATGTTTACCTTTTTTCCATCCAAGGCCGTGTAGTTGCAACTTGCAGTTTACTGTTCCACATTTGCACCTAGAGGAGGAGCAGTATGCACAGACTCAAGTGAGAGAGATCTGCTATTGCTGTGAACTGTCACCTTGGATTGATGTTACCCAGATGTCCCTTGTGATCTCAAAAACGCTGTTTCAGTCGAATTTTAGGGCAGGAGATTTAGAAGTTAATCCGGGCTGAAATGATCACTAAAATAAATCAAAACTACGTGGGGAAGAAAAAAAAAAAAAAAGTCGAATTTTCACCATGTGAGAGGCAAAAAATTGTAAACACTATTGCCTTTGTGAACAGTCCTGTTAGGCACTGCAAAACCAGGGCTCTCGTATGAACAGGAGGAGCAGTTGTTGAATCTCCTGCCAGAGAGAGAACCAAAACGTTCATTTTTAAATTTTGATGAGGTTTATGCATTGAACAGGAATAATTTTCAGGTATAGATGATTTTTCATATGCTTTCAAGGTCTGGGTAGGACCACTGTTGAGAAAGGAACATTTAATGAAATTTTGAAGTATCAAACATTTTTGGGCTACATTACTTAAGCAAGGTTTCTGTACCTATTTTTTTCTTTTTATTTATTTTGTCAGCAATGGTTTCCCAAGTTTAGAAATTTCGATGAGTGTTATTGTTAGTTTTCAGAATTGTCTTAAATCTCTGGCAGATCGTATGGTCTAGTTAAAACAGAGTGGATACTTATTTGCTGCCATAAACAACTGTGCCTTTTTCTATTTTTGTGTAAGACAATAGAGAATTTGCAGGTGTCTGAAATTTGATGAATTTTGTGTTTAAGTGGAAACTACTTAGCGAACTAAACACGAGGATACCCTTGGTTTATGAATTGAACAATTATTGGAGAAGATATGACAAAATTATCTAGTCTGCTAAAATACATGTGTTTAAATGGGAAATGCCGCTAGATGACGTCACTAGGCGGCGCATTTTCTCACTTTTAAATCGATTTTTATACTATTTCCCGTACCAGGAAAAAATTATAAAAAATACTGTGAAATCAGCTCTTTAAGCACTTTCAGATGAAGCAATAAAAAATTTGCATGCAAAGTCTCCATTCAAAGAATTGACCTTGACACCACCATGACATTGATTCTAAAATTGTTAAATATTATTCATGAACTTTGTTCAGTAATTTGTGCTATGTTATATTTATTTTCAACAGGTTAAAAATGGCATAATACACAATCTTAGCAAAATTAAATATTTTTCAAATTTGCTGTATTAATATGGTTTTTAATGAATGTCGTATCCGATTATGGTAGATTTAATTTTAGGTACCCATCTTCCTAATAAGCTCTTGCTTGTTGGTAAAATCCCATTTTCTCCCTTTCTACCTAGTTATTATAATAATTAGTAGGTGGCTTAACCTACAAGGTAAATTATACTTTAGCCTCAGAACTTTCTTACCCATCGAACGGCCACACAACTGGTTTAATGCACAAACAATCTGGCTGATAGTAAGGTAAATTTGATATTTCATAGCCAGTAAAATAATTTAATACTAGAAACTGGAGTAGCACATTCTCAACTGAATGTCAAAATCCACTCCTTGTATCTTATCTCCCCCCCTCCCTTCCCAACCATTTTTCTGCTGTCACTGCACTTTAAACCCTGATAAATAACAAAAGCTTCTCTCTCTAATCTCGTCCAAATTATTAATCAGAGGCACCTACTTTAATCACGTTACTCTTACCTTGGTTTAATGTATACTCGAACATTTTTTTAGAGAAAGTTTCACTTTTTATCCTGATACTAGAGATGGAGAGCCTGAGTAAAACTACTGTGAAAAAGCTTTGAACCAAGAATTTTTAAGTATCCAAGTCTGCATTTGTTCATAAATCCAGTACATACGTTTTACTTTTTTAATCCTCTCACTCAAATAATCCCAACAGGGCTGCCCCAGTCAGGGAATATCGGGAAATATCAGGAAAAACCTGGAAATGTTAGGACGAATGACGAACGTGTCAGGAAAAAATTGTTAAGTTGCCCTCATCACTTTCTGAAATGAGTTTGACGTTTCAAACAACAAAGTTCTTCGGAAAAATATTATTACCGTCTAGCATATCTTCAATTGTCAGGGATTTTTCCCAAACTTTGTCAGGGAAATCAGGGATATTTATTTTCTAAAGTCTGTGGCAACTCTGCCCCAACCTCCTCCTAATTCAAAATATAAGAAAGGCTGGATGGTTTTCTAATCATCATTAGTCTGCCAGATAAATCTGTCCCAAAAATTTTTATTTTGGCCGAAAAATGAATGCATTTCACCAAACAAGGTTCTAACTTATACATGTTGATTCTGTTAAGGTTATTTACCAGGAAGCAAAGAGCGATCTGAAATCGAGGCAGCGCTTAAAAAAGTCGGTAGCACTACCGAGGAAGTTCCTATCATTATTGGTGGTGAAGAATTCAAGACAAAACATGTTGTCCACCAACCGATGGTAAGGGATAATGAGTGTCTGTTTGTATTTTATCACAGTTGAGGGGAAAATTTTAAGCCACTTTTTAAAATAATTTAATTTGAATTATGTAACTTCACCTTAAAAACCTTTAAAAGCTCCCCTCCTANCCAAAAAAAACTCGGATCTCTCCAAAACAGTGTGAAAAAGGAATAATGTGAGAGTATTCACTTGACTAGTGAACATCTTAAAACTCATCTGATTGCTGAAAGCAACCACTGCGACTCTCACATTTGATGGAATGTGAACCAGAGGAACTTTATTACATTTCAATGTTACCAAGTTTTTTCTTGTCAAACGATTCCCTAATTGTTATGAATGGTGGTTCTTCAGTACTTTAGAGAATGATGTAGCCGATCCATCAATTTACAATTTCTACATTTTAGGACAATTCTTAAGAATTTCCGAGAATAACATCATGCTGGAGTGCGTCAGGTATTTGCTCACAAAATATGAACAAGGAACCACTTGAAATAACTCCAGAAGTACAGTTCCAGTGAATACTGCAAATTGAATTTGTGATTTTCACTCGGACCGTGGATTTTGAGACATTACAATGTGTTTCTTGGTCAAACTTTGTGTGCAAATACTTGATGCACTACAGTGTAAAATGATCCTCGAAAATTCATAAAAAAATGTCCAGAGTGCAGAAATTAACAATTGATGGATCAACTATGGAATCGTCCTTCAAAATTCTGAAGAACCACCTTGACCTGTTCATGCTTTGCTCTTAAAATTTCATGGAATTTTCGTCAAAATACGAAGAAAATCCCCTGAAGACTTCTGAAAGAGAAGTTTTGTCCGTTCTTGAGTAAATAAATAAAATGTCAAATAAAATTTTACAACATTGCAAAAAAATTAAGCCTTTCCGACTTTCACCCCCATCATTTGACAATATTCTGATCGTTTATGTAAGGAAAATCGCAGTAAAAGTTACACCTGTCTTCTCTGATTTGCTGATTTCTTGTGCTTATTGAGCTTATCTTGCTGAATACTGTACAGCAAGTCGGTGTTTTTTTTAAATGTAGTAAATTTCTGTGATCCTTCAGAAGGAAATTTCAGTATGTGACACTAATTTCAATCTATTCTATCTTTTTTTCAGCCACATAATCACCAGAAGAAAATTGCTAAATTCTACTATGCTACACCTGTAAGTATCGTTGGTCGTTTTTCTTCCTTCCTTTTAAAATTTCAGTTTTTTAGGAAGGTTCACAATGGGGGAAAAAAGAAAAAAACTGCCGTCATCAGCTGTACCTTTACATAGTCAGATTTAGAAGCCTACAGCCTAGGAACTCATGTTTTTATGTGTTTGAGTCTCATAAATATCAATGATATCCAGATGAATTTTGGATTAGCCCGAAGTTGCAAAAGGGACTAATTGATTTTCCAAGTCACTAACGTTGGATTGAATTGCAGGACTTGGTTCAAAAGGCCATCGACACAGCAGTTGCTGCCCAGCCCAAGTGGGATGCTGTACCTTTATCGCAGAGGCTTAAAATTTGGGAAAAAGCGGCAGACCTCATGGCAACGAAATATCGAGCCGAACTGAATGCGACGACAATGCTTGGTCAGGCGAAAACTGTTATTCAAGCTGAAATTGACTCAGCTGCTGAATTAATCGACTTCATCAGGTAAAATATAATGTAAATTATTATGAGGGTAATTAGCCTGATAAGGATGGTGTTTTATTCGGTAAAAAGTCAAAACGAAAATTCAGGGATGTTTGATAATTTTGGCCAGGGAAAACCTGGAAAAGTCAGCGAATTTTACCCTGCTGAGTCTATAGACTTTTTAATTATTGAATATTTTAACTCTTTTACGCTGATATTGGACTAGTTTCAGAACTATTTAATGATAAGGAACTATGTTAAAAGTTGCTCATCCGGTCAAAATTCTATATTGAAGTTAAGCTCTGTAACCAAGAGTGTGATCTGTAGAGAACGGGTAAAGGAGTATCTTTAACAATGAACTCAAGCCTAATCAAACTAATTAATGGTCACACTTGCCAAGATACTCCCAGGTTTATAGTTTTTTTTTTTTTTTTACCACATCATTTTATGTTTCAGATTTAACGCTTTCTTTGCAAAAGAAGCAACCAAATACCAACCAATCAGTGAAGAGCCGAAAGTTACTCTGAACTCTCAGAGGTATCGAGGTTTGGATGGGTTTGTTGCAGCTGTCTCTCCATTCAACTTTACTGCAATCGGTGGAAACTTATCCTACACTCCAGCTTTAATGGTATTTCAACTATTATCAGTGCCAATTTCATTAATTCAACAGCGTTTGTAATCATAACTATGTTCATAGGCTGAAGAAGGAGTGCAAGGCCATTCAGGCATAATATTCTCCTCCCAGTTTCAAGAAGGAAGTAAACGTGAAACTCTTAAAGTATTTCCCAAAAGTGCGCATGCATCACTTGTATATCTATTATTATACTGTGGACAGATGATAGATATCACATTGAAGTCGTTTTTAGACTCATTACTAATATTTCTCTAAAAGAAATCAAAGGAATGTTTCTTTTTGCACTCTTCAGGGCTTCTGAAAAATTACACAGGCACTCGATTGTCTCTCTAAATTTTTTTAGTTTAATCATGTAAAAGTCTTTAGTAGGAGGAGAAAAGCTCATGGTGAAGGAAGGTATAGACAAGATTCAAACTTGCTTTCAATTGGTCACCGGCAAAAATTAAACCTGTATATCACAAGCTTAAAGTTCAATAAACGGGTGTATGAACTTTTACTGGTAGGGAAATGCCTGACTCCCATATCATAGGTCCCAAATACATAATTTGTAAGCTCTGTCATAATGACTGTGAGAGAAGATCCAACAAGTTCATCACACTGCAGAGACTTTTTTCCCATGATATTTTGCTGCATCTGCTTTGTTCGCACTCGTTCTCCTTCCATTATGTTATGAGTCCTTGATTTTTGTCAAAGAGATTCGATTTTTGTCACTTATTGCGGGCCGAGTGGCACAGGTACCCTCTATTTTTACGATTTGTCTCAGATTGGCTGATCCGCCTGGTGCCCACTTTCTGGGGCCTTCATGAAAAATAACACAGGGTTCACATATCGAAAATATCTCGAAAACAAGGAAAAAATTTTATGTCAAAGATTTCAGCATCAGTTCTCCAGATTCTTCTGAAGAGATTGATGGGTGAAACCAAACATGTTTTTATCAAACACTCTGAACAGTTCGACCTGGAATTTTGTTGTTTCAACTTGAAATATGACACTAGTTGTCATGAGAAAACAAAATTCCAGGTTGAACTGTTCAGTGTGTTTGAGAAAAAAGTGTCATATTACCCATCAATTTCTTCAGAAAAATCTGGAGAATTGATTTCTAAAATCTCTAATAGATAAATTTTCCCTTGTTTTTGTGGTATTTTCAATGAAAAATGAACCCTGTGTTACTTTCCACAAAGGCCTCAGAAAGTGGGTACCAGGTGGATCAGCCAATTACAGACGACTTGTAAAAGAAGGAATTGCTGCTCTGCCCACATTTCAAGTTGCTGCTCTTGTTTTTTCTTTGATTTCTGTCTGGAAAAGGTGTCATGAACCATGGTCTCTACAAGGATACTTACCTAAATATGAAATTTTTCAGTTTTTGGCCATTCATAATGAAATCAAATAAAATACTGAGCTATCGGCCGATTTTTACTACAACAATATGCGAACTCAAGCCATGCTTCCATATAAAACAGTATGCAAACGATTTATAAATGTAAACATCCTCTTGCCCATTGTTTTTATCAAAGCACAGCCTGAGTTTGCATATCGTTTTAGTAAAAATTGGCTAACAGCTCAGTACTTTCCTAATTATTCTCTTTCTATAAACTCTTTCTTGGTGCCTTAATTTCTTAGTGTTGAAAAATGTGTATGTTTAGGGATGCGGTGTTTTATGGAAACCCTCTGATACAGCTTTACTCTCTAACTATGTGATTTACAAAATCATGACAGAAGCAGGAGTACCTCCTGGCGTTGTAAACTTTGTTCCTGCTGATGGCCCCGTTTTTGGTGACACCATCACGAAATCTCCCTTCCTCGCTGGAATTAATTTCACTGGATCTGTCCCGTAAGTCTTGACTTGACCTTTAACTCATAAAGCGTAGATGTCAGAACAGATGTCAGAAGTTTTACTTAAATAAAAATCCTGCTCGTCTTTTATAATGAAAAAATGTTATTGAACAATGCCTTTCTCTTTTTTTAAAACTTTGACTTTTGACATAAATAATCTGCAATTTCAAAAGAAGTATTCTAAGGGCTGAATGAAGAAATGTTTTTTCCATCAAGTTTTTTTCCTCCGAGTTACTTCACCTCATCAATTTTTTTTTGCTTCATAGGACTTTCAACCGATTATGGAAGCAAGTTGGGCAGAACATTGACAGTTATGTTAACTTTCCAAGATTGATTGGTGAATGTGGTGGAAAGAACTACCATTTTGTCCACCCATCAGCCAATGTTGAGAGCGTTGTGAATGGAACTATTCGTTCTGCATTTGAATTCTGTGGTCAGAAGTGCTCGGCCTGTTCAAGAGCTTACATTCCCGCTTCATTGTGGCCCAAGGTACCTCATCTTATCCCTGGTTTTATATGTTTTGTCAAGATATAAAAGTGAAAACACTTTTTAAAGGACAGCTTAACAATAATGTATTAACTATAAATAACTTTTAGAAGACTCACTGATCCCTGGTTTTATGTGTTTTGTCAAGACATAAAAGTGAAAACACTTTTTAAAGGACAGCTTAAAAGTAATGTATTAACTATCAATAATTTTTAAAAGACTCACTTGCCTATGTACATTTACTTTTACATTGAATGTGTTTTGAGAGTCCTGCCCTCACCTCCTAGGATTACCTGTGTCTGATTGGGCTGGAGTGAGGAAAATACTGATGTGGTATGATCAGCTTGTCCATTGACTGCGTTTAACATCTAATATCGACTGGCACGTCTAATATTTTGTTCAAATTCATCAAAGTTGGCAATATAGTAACAGACAAAAATAAACAATCTAAACAACGGGTAATACGGCTTTTTATCACACAAAAAATACCAAAACGTTTCTGCTGAAAACTCAGCTTTTCTCAGTTGGATGAGAGACAGTAAAAAATTTAAAAATCTAAAACCTCATCACTTGGCTGTACCTTTCAAAGAAAGTGAGAAGAATGTTGTCATTTAGTAGTAAATGGATCAGCTGATCATTCCACAACAATACCTTCCTTGCGCTAGCCTAATCGGTTGCAGGTAATTGCTGAAGATGAAGGCAGGGTTCTCGAAATGTGTCTGACAAAGAAAATAAATGTACACACCCAAGCGAGTCTTTTTAAAAATATTGATAGTACGTAACTATAAAAAGGGAGACATTTTTTATCATCCGTTTTGATAGTCCTCTCAAATAACAGGAGTTGATCACACGATTCTGCTGATAAATAAATTGTTTGTATCCATCAATGATTAAAACATTCCTTTGCAAATTATTCAACTTTAGCTGAAATGCCAAAAATGATGTTTAAACAAGAGAGTGGATCCATGTTTGGACATAACATAAAAAACAGGGGGGAAAAACGGAAAACAAGGCTAAAAATACACAATAAAACAACGAGACATTTGGGCTCAGAACTGAGCCGTTTCCAGTCGGAGAAATAAGTGAAAATAAAAACTTTTCGAAAAAAACCTGAAACCTGCGTAATAGTGGCCAAGATTCGAGAATAACACTTTGGACAGTTTTGGACTTAACATATGCATTTCCTAATAGCCGCTAAGTTCATTATAATGCTTTGTGCTAGAGCTTATTGAAAAATAGATGCATTAGATTTTGATATCATGACTTTAATCGAAAGTACACAAAAGAGGTTTGAACGCGATTTTAATCACACTTGATTTTAACACTGACCAAGACCAAAACAATTCATAATAACCAGTGTTGTCACATTTAGGGAACACTGGGGAAACCAGGAAATAATAGGAAATTTTGAAAAGTCAGGGAATACCTGGAAATGTCTGAAGAAAATTACGAAAGTGTCAGGGAAAAATTGCTAAGTCACCTTGATTTGCTCTCCAGAATTGGTTTGATATTTCAAAAAATAGATTTTGTCTGAAAACTAATCCAAATTAAGTCTTTCTTACCATCGAGCATATCTTTAATTGTCAGGGAAGTCCATTCTCTAAATTTTGAGGCAATCCTGAACAATCGAAAGTCGCAAGACTGTCAATTGATTTGTTAATCGGTGACCAAAAATTTACATACTGAAACATGTTTCTTACTAAGATAGTAGAGGGCAGAAAATAGCCAGTATAAAGGTTGACAAGAAAGTGGAAGTTCATCACGATTTTAGAAAGAAAATTTTTATTTACTGTGCATTTTCAACTCTAAGTCATCTAATCATCTTTCTGTTGTGTCCAAATGCTTAGATCAAAGAGGGCCTAATTGAAACCAGGAAGCTTCTAAAAATTGGCGATGTTGAAGAGTTTGACTCCTTCACTTCAGCTGTAATCGACAAGAAAGCATTTGACCGGATCAGCGGTTATATTGAGCATGCCAAAAAATCTCCCAATTTGGAAATTGTTGCAGGAGGACAGTATGATGACAGGTAAAACAGACCTCTAGCTAAGTAATGATCAGTAAGAACAAGTCTTTTCAGTTTACAGTGAACTCTCCTTTTTTTCATTTAAAGGGGTGCCTTGTAAAGACTTCCTCAAATGAAGACTTCTGGAAGCATGACTTGTAAAAAACAGCAGTGAGCGACAACCTGAGGACCACAAACTATGGATAGTCCAAAGCATAAGAATTATCTAAAACGATTTTAATTGAAATGTTCTGCATTTAAATTGGACACAGAATTAATAATAATATAATTTAAATAGATAACGCATTGCTTTACAATCTTTGTCATCAAATTTAAAATTTTTTTAGTGTGAATTTTTTCAAGAGTTTTTGCATACCAGAAAAAGAATATTTTGTAGTTAAGCGCTGAAATCCAGTGCAAGTGCTACTAGATTAACTTGGCAGAGAAAAATGCAACTAAAACATTGTTTTCCTTTGAATTGATACTTCTATTAAATTGATCAGATGAAAATCTGAGTATTTTAAAAAAAGTAACAGCATTCATGTTTAAAATCGCCCACATTTCTAAATAAAAACGTCACTCCTATACTACATTTCGGTTGAGTTTCCCAAAAACGAAACTAGTCTCTGTTCAAGTCTCTGGATAGTTGAGAGCTCAATTTTTGACTGTCAGAACTTCATCAGTTGGAAGGAGCTTTCCCTGAGCATTTGGTTCATAAGTTTTCGTTCATTTAATTTTTTTCTCTCCGTTCACAGTAAAGGATATTTCATCCAGCCAACCATCGTTCAAACTAAAGACCCCAAGGACAAAATAATGACTGAAGAAATTTTTGGCCCAGTATTAACGATATATGTCTATGAGGACAAGGATTTAGACTCAGCTTTGAAACTCGTTGAAAGTTCTACACCTTACGCTCTTACTGGTGCTGTGTTCTCTCAAGATGAGTAAGTTTTGCTTTTCTATTATAATTCAGATTCTGTTCAGATGTTTGTTCCCGAATTGTTATTGACGGTTGTTCAAAAATTCCTTGGTCAGTATCAACCTTTGTAAACAAACTGGTACCTAATGATGACAGTTTCTTTGTAGGGTAATTTTTTTTTTTTCTCTCTCTCTAAGTGATCGTTGGGATTTTTGTCGGTTCTGATTTTTCCTCTGTTAAAAGCGAATTTTACAATTATTCACATAAGATATTCTTTTTCTTTATGTTATGAAAATCAGTATTGTCTGCTTGATTCACGTATGCTTAAAGTATGATCAACTAAATGTATTTTTAAAATTAAAGGAGATGGCAACCTTAAAAACAAGTTTGGCTAAATCAACGAAGAAAAGTGTGCAATGACCAATGCCAAAATCCGTTTGTGAATATTTGCATTCGTTGAGCCGCTATCGCGAAAAAACAGCTGAGCGCTTGATGTCATGAGCTCTGTCTAGCATTTCGTAGTTCGCACTCTGCATATCGTCTCCGGTGTCAAGTGGCTGACGCGTGTTCGCGACAAGTTATTAGTTTGCCTCGATCTTGCTCGTTCCTGGCCGACTCTTTTTTCTTGGCTTAGGTGTGACTATAAAGGCGACTTTGCGGCGCTAGATAGCAAACGCGCCAGACTTCGAGTTGTGTGCGTGTGAACCGCAGTCGCACCAGGAGTGCATGAAGTCACCAGTCAGACTTACAATCTTTCATATCTCTGCCGATTTTGTGAATTTTTCATTCGAGACACAGCTATTTTGCTTCTTATACCATCCCCTTTCAATTTTTAATACTATCTCATTTTCAATTTTAGGGTTGCCGTCCTCTTCAATGAATGCAATATTTCTTCCATCAAAATTCGAAAGATTTAAAAACATTTATAAACTTAAGAAAAGAGCCAGATGTTATCTTTTCCACCGAAATTTCATTGTTTTCTTTTATTTATTAAAACTAACATTTTTATTTTTCCTTATTAGGCAATTCCTGAAAAGGTGTTTGACTGAATTGAAGTATTCGGCTGGTAATTTCTACATCAATGATAAATCCACCGGTTCAGTAGTTGGACAGCAACCTTTCGGTGGCAGCAGAATGTCAGGTATGTTACTAGCCTAATCTTCAATGCTCATCGTTATGTTACCTTGTAAGTTATTTACCAGCATTCGAAACTCAGGGCTTATTCCTCTACTTAAGGTTTTAAATATGAACAACAGAAAAAATCAATTCTTCTTTTGGTTGAAATGAGAGGACGTAAAAATTTTACATAAAAAGAAAATATCACCACTGGAGAAGAATTTTTTGCACTTGTTAATTTAAGTTTTTTTCCTCTCAGGTATTCACTTTTCGGGGTGAAATTCTTAAGAGAAAAAGTATTTAACGTGGAATATGGCTCTATGAACCCCACTTCATTGCTCGGCCTATCATCATCTCATTTCTGAATCCAGCATCCTCAAAGATAATTGGACTACATTTTGCAATAAGGTACCACTATCTCTGGCCCCTCCATAAAAGCACATATCTGCATAGGGAAACCAATGACATGTATGTTGTTTCTAAAATGGGCCAGAAATAGTGGTTCCTTATTGCAAAATAAAATCCAATTGTTGTACAAACTGTCAGTGAATTCTAACATCGGGGAGTTTGTCTTAATATCTCCTTACTTTTGTTTGTTTATTTGCTGATCCATTTGTCTTCTTCCATTTTTCAGGAACTAATGACAAAGCTGGTGGACCGCATTACATTCTGCGTTGGGCAACTCCACAATCCGTCAAGGAGACATTTGTTCCATTGAAAGAATGGAAATACCCATATATGGGTTAAGCTTTTGCTTCTGAAATCAAGACTGTGATATATTCAAATTCAAATGATCTAAGAAAAGGTTCCGCAACTGTTCTAAGTAATATTTCCGCATAGACCCCCTTTTCCTCTGGCTATTGCTACGGTGACGAATCTATTGTCTGGTACTATTTGGATGGTTAGGTGATGACGACACAATAATTTTTTCACAGATACAGCATCTGCTGTGCATTTTTAAAGAAGAGTATTTTTGTAAGTCCTAATTAAGAGATACTTTATTTTGTTACTCGTCCTCGGAGTTTTTGGTTTTGTGGATTCAACATATCGCAGACCTCAAGTCTTTTCCTTATTCGTTTCTGCTCTCTTTGCTTTCCAACAACGGCATTTTGCAAGAGAGTGAGGTTTTTGTGAGGAAATTTTACTGGGAGAAAAATCTATTAAAAGCAAAGCATTTGTTTTTTGAAGAGCTTAGGCACTAAACTGACCTTGAAATAACTTTTTTAAATTCCTTTACAGTGCGATGAATCAGTTTGTAATTGGAGACGACAAAATCATACTCCTAATTAATTGCCCTTCAAAAGCCCAAACTGGAATCTCATTTGTTCAATTCTTTTGAGAAGGAAAGAATAGACAATAAATACACATTGCTGAGAATATGATTGCACATTTCTTCACAGACTGGAGGAGTACAGGGCCCGAATTTTGTTGACAGATTTGTGGTTGGCTGCAAGTTGAGGCAGGAATGTTGACTTAGTTATTTGATCGCTGATTAATGGTTTGCACTGTTTATATTTTAAGAATGGCTGGAACCTGCTGTAGAAAATGATCAACTTGTGTATAATTTGAGACCAGAACGTAATTTTCCCGGCTTCAAGTCGAATTTATAGGGCAGGTTTTGCAATTTGTGGTCCATCATTGTCAACAAAATTCGGGCCTTTATCTTTGGGAGAATGCAAGCATTATTTTGATGTTTGTCAATTAATTAAGATAAATTTGAAATTTTACTAGGGTTGTTTTGTGAAGATGGATTTCTAAAAGGAGAAATTGACTGGGAGAAAAGATCAAATTGATTTGAGGTCCTGACAAAGTTGAGGTTGTAATTTCAGTGGAAAATGTTTCATTGATTGACACAGTCCTCTCTATAGGGTGGCTTTTAAGGCTCGCACTTTTCCTTTTATTTGGATACTTTGACCTCGAAATTTCTTATTCTAATTCCTAGAGGAGGATCCTTTTCTTGTGAGCACTATGTGTACCTTAAAATTAGTTCAAGTAAAACTCGGACCGGAAAGCCTCATAATCATAACCATTTTGATATGCATTGAATAATACTTGCATTCATTGATCCCAATCACTCAAGTCTAGGTATGGCAGTGGGCAAGTAATGTAGGGTCACTCTCAAGAATTTTGTGTGTCAGGTAGTTGAATTGAGCGTTTAAAAAATACCAGCATTAACTAGGCAGATAAGCATGACTTCAGCACATGAGAATAGTTCATTTTTTTAGTGTCAAGTTCAAGTATAAAAGCTTTTCAATTTCTGCTTATTTTTTTGTAATGATGCAATTAAAGCCACTGAAAAGGTCACTTGATTATTTTTACTTGTATTTTTATTTAGTAAATTAAGATGCTCCTTTAATTATATAAATGTCATTTCTGAAGAATGACAGTGTTGATTGTTGATCATTTTCAGAAGGATTTAGTCATTTCTTGTTAACCAGTATTATTGATTGAAAAAATAACGTTACTAGAGCCTTAAGCAGTACATAAGATGTGTATAAATTATGTAAATTTCGATGCAAATCCAGCATTTTTGAAACGTTTGTATTTTAATTATTAAAAAAAATGTCATATAGGTGAAAGTCTCATCTATCAGAGGAAGAAAACTTGACCTTAGCTTCAGAATAGCTCAAAAGTTGTCCATGAATTTCTTTTTGTTTTAATTCAATAATTATTTATCTCTTCTCGGTGATCTGTGAAGTTAGAAGATCCTGATTTTACAGTTGAGGCAATTGTTTTTTGTGTTATGAAAAGTCATTGCTGTTTGTGATGTATTTGTGAAGATACTCAAGTAGTTGTGGATAATATTTCTGTAACTTGGTTCTGTATATTCTGACTATAGACCTTAGATTCCATTGTCCTTAGTCTCTAAAAAGTTCAATAGTTATGTGTTGTAATATAGGTTAACTACTCGACAATGCGATAAATTCAAATATTCTTTTTTCAAGAAACCTTCACCACTGCGGCAAGAAACGTATGTATTTGGTGTCCTCATTTTAATCATTTTAAGTTCTATGTGTTATACTTTCTTCTGAGGTGTAAAAAATCTCTTTTCAGCGTTATAACCCGTGTTTTTGCAATATTTTGTCAAGCGCAAGTATTCTTTGTGATAAAGCCAACCTATTTGAAACCTTGTTAGTCTAATAATTGTACTCCAACCCGAAAGTTAGGGCTCAACAGTGAGCATTGTCAAAGTTTCATATTGTATATTGAAATCATTTAATTTCCAGTATGATATAAGGCTATTTTAAAGCATTAATGAAATTTGATTGAATAACTTGAAAATTGATCAAAATAGCGCCTATTTTGTTTCAGATATTTTACTCCGTGAGCATCAGAGTCAAGCAAACTAAGATTAAATAAAGAAATAGAATTTACACATTTTTTTTTTATTTCTTCTTACCATTAAATATAATGTAACTAAGTGCATACCTAGCTGCATTCATAATACATCCTGAACCTTGAGAGGGGAAAATAATTTTAAGATTACCAAAGTTTTTGAATGAAATTACTTCAAAATTTTAGAAAGAAGATACTTTATTTCTATTTCTATCCTATGGCAGTCTGGGAACTTGAAGAACATCTGAGGATAAGCAAAAACATCTGTTTCATAATTATTGAGATTGAACCTTTGTTCCCTCTAACCACATTTCAGACAACTCAAACTGTTGTACTCCAGTTCCTAAAATAATAATTAAGAAAATAAAAAAATCTTTAAAATCAGCATGTTGTGGATCACTAGAGTCAGGTATGATTGAGAAGACAAACATTCTGTTTAAGGTTTTAATAAGGAGAACACACAGGCATTAGAAAATACTTCATGTTACATTACGTTGATACTTACCAGCTATTGATGGATCTTATTAATTATTTTTGATCAGTGTTCAGAGGTTTAAAATCAGTCTTTTCTTTTGACGTATAAATGCTGAAAGGAACTATGATGATTTAAATCAAAAAGAGCTTTGTAGTATGTAAATCCCTCAGTTATTCTAAATTTAATGCATTTGCAGATAGTTCCGCGTAGCATGAATGCATCCATTCAAGAGATATCTGCTTTATCCTTGCAACAATTTGAAGTTCATACTTTAAAGGTTTAAACTGTGTGAAAATAAATTTTAGGGCTGACTGTGCGATTAAAAATCTATTTTCACTTGAGAAGCATTTGATAATGCTGACTTAGGACTGGTATATAAACTTAAATTATGTGAAGCTCTGCCTAATGATTCCTGTGATTTGAATATTATAAGAATGAATATCCTCATACATCAATAGGGGAACAAAGTAGAAAATCATAGTAGTTTCACACTATTGATAGTATTTTTAGTCCTGATTATTAAGTACCTGAGAAAGGACACAAGACTGTTGCTCAGTTTGGGGCTGTCCACAAATTTATTTTTGGGAGGTGAGGAAGGACACAAAGAGATTGTAAGCAAATGGACAAGATTTGGAGGTTTCATTGGCTTCTAATTCCTCTCATATTAAAACACGTCCATTAGGGTGAAAATCCCTGAGACAAATTAAAATGGAAGTTAAGCAGCAGGTCAAATTCTTAAAATCGTCTTTTCAACTGAAAACTGAGTGATAAAAAACATTTTTTTACTCACTCTTGGAACAGTTCTACCGCAAAATCAACTTGTTAACCAACAAAGCAGAGCCACTGGTTTTGATAGAAAATTTGTTTTCATCCTCGAGTTCTTCCTGCAGATAAATAATGTATTAATTTTGGTATGTATATAGTTTATCGCATTTCTTGCACAGCTTGAATTAGGAAAATCTAATTATTCCTAGTACCATGCTCGGAGCCAAAAACTGTTGAACTTTCTCTTTTTTTTACCTTACAACCACATCTTAAAACTTACATGTAGTTTTGTACTTCAGTCAGTGAATGGTAACCCTGAGTTACAAACAAAAATGATGACGAAAACCATTCTTTCAGTCCATTAATTTTGTTCACTGGATACTTGAATTTATTTCATCAGGACGTAAGTAGGAGCTGTTGTCACTCCACAGATATTATTGACAGGAGAAATGAGTATGTAGCCATCATTGCCCCAGTAGGTGGACCATGAATTTTTCACCAACCAATATTCTTTACCGTTGAGAGACCCGTAACCAACCAGAAGCACAGAGTGATCAAGCTCATCCACACCATTCTCTGAAAAAAGAGATGCAACATCGTCAGGATACAAAATATTACAAAGGATCATTATTTTTATTGAAACTTAAGTCTTGATGTACATACATAATGTACTCTCTTTGTAAAATTTACCTATCAAGGCTGAACTTAGCGCATCCAGGAAACATATTGATGACTAGGGCTGTGCGAATATTCGAGTTCGAATAATTTTTCCGAACTTGGAAACCTCGAATAATCGAATAATTCGAGAACATTGACAAAACTTCGAATATCTAAAGAAAAAGATCGAATACTCTAAATCTACAATTATGTTTTATTTTCATCAAGGAAAAGGTATCCTTGCAATGGAGGTGTTGCATGTGTGAGGAATTTGCGATTTGACGGTTGATTCTCACGTAAAAGTTCGCAAGAGACACGATCGATGGTGTCACTGGTTTTCTCTCAAATCAACTCCCAAGCTCAAAAAAAGCTCTCAAGTTGAGGCCAAAATGGAGGGATATCCCACGCTATCCTGAGAGTCCACCTCTACATTAAGAAAAACTCTCCATGCAAAGATAGGGAGCAAATACATTGACAGGGCTACCACTTTATTTGGGGACTCGAAAACTGAAAACACGGCAACCCTGCTAATGTATTTGCTCCCCATGGAGAGTTTGTCTTGATGTAGAGGTGGACTCTTAGGATAGCGTGGGATATCCCCTCCATTTTGGGCTCAACTTGAGAGCTTTTTTTGATCTTGGGAGTTGATTTCAGAGAAAACCAGTGGCACCATCGTGTTTCTCGCTAACTTTTACGTAAGAATCAACAGTCAAATCGCAAATCCCTCACACATGCAACATCTCCATTCTGTTTGATTTTTGAGATAAAGAAAGAAAATTTTTAAAAAATTTTGATGGAATGATTAGTTTTCCTTTAAAATGTAAAACATTAATAAAGACTTACAACATCTCACTCGGTGATATGGAAGTTTTGGCCTCAGTCATCGATATCTACATTATAAGATGATAAAATTGACTAGAGAAACCTTGAATAGTTGCTTTTGATAATACTTCTCAGTGCAGTATATCTACAGTGAAACTACCAGTTCTCATATGTCGGTTTGCGACGTTGTAAACTGCCTGTCATACTTTATTTTTTACATGGAAAACTATTCAAGGTCAACTTGCCAAGACATCCGTGATTTTTCTTCTCTGTGCAAAGAAAAGTCTGAGAAAATTTTAGGAAATGATACTCTGAAAAAATAAAAAGGGAGCGAAGATTTTTAAACATTGTAAACAAGATACATGGTCTGGTACTTTCACCATCAATATGCACAAACAAGTATCAGCTCATTTTTATATCTACTGAAAAAGAGGAGAGATAATCTTTGGAGAAAGATGCATTCATTGAGTCAACTCACGTTAAAACTATTGTCCTTCCCTCACAATTAAAAAAGTAAAAATGAAGATGTGCTTACTACAATCAGGATCATCATAGATTCCATTTGAGAAGAAGGTAAATGTCCTGGGTGACGCATCAATTGAGATGGAAATGGGACCTTTCTTGAACAAGGCAACCTTGAGAGCTTTTTCATCATTTACAGTAACATTCACATAGCCTGAGATACCTCCAAAAAGCCTGGAGTTGTTCACATGACAGAAACCGTCCTGAAATTTAGAATTTAAAAAAAATGGAATTACCCTGAAAAAAGCAGGAAAAGGAGGACTTTTATGCTTCTCTAAATGAATGACATGAATGCAGAACAAAGAAAAATTATTTTTTTCAAAATTTCAATTCCGCCGGAGTTTTTATTTGAAACAAATTTCTAGTTATGGGTGATTCATGAATTTGGGTTCCGGTAACTGGAGTGCTATAAAACCTTACACTTAAGGCAGCAAATTATCACCTGATTTCGAGTCAGAGAAATTGGAGGTGTCACATCATTGCCGCCCATCAAGAATTGCTTCTCTGAGCAAAAAGAGGGCAATGATCCCCACTTTGGTAACAACGCATCATCGAAGAATTACAAAGTGATCAATGGTCGCTAGATTGCAACATCAAAATTAGATAGTTTCATTTGATAGCAAGTGCCTTTTTCTTATCAAGGGTTTCTTACATTGATAGCAGCCCTATAACGTGCTGAAGGACTTTATCTATCTGGCCATATTCTACAGATTTACCTTGGTAACTAGTAATTAGAAATATTAATTTCGCTGCGGCTAGCTTTTTAGAGTATTTCCAAAACTGCTAGCGATAAGCCATTTGAATAAAATAACAAGAGATTCGTAGAGAAATTTTACTAACCGCTCCAAGGTAGGGATAATCTTCTTCAGTTGGAAGTCCACCATGCTTCTGAATCCACTTGTAAGCCCTGTAGTCCTCCCCACCATCACAACCATTGTTTCCATATCCCCAAGAACAATCCACCAACGCCTGAAATGAAGGTATATTCATTATATTCTGCTGATTAAAAGTAACAATGACAATTCTGAGTCAATAGAACTATTAAGTGGTCATCAATGATGGAGTAATATTTTTCAGTGACATCAAATGATGAAGATATGACACATCACACAAAATATATGAATACCATAATGAAGCTACTTAAAACTAATAAATGACTATTCACAAAGAGGGAACTTTAGCATAGGAAAACTCATGATAGAAACATTGATATCACAGCTTAGATGAGTGTTTTATAGACATTTCGACATAAAAGGCGTATTGGCACAAAATGTCTGACTGAACTGGAGTCATGGCGATCAGAAATTTGCAGTTTAAGAGAAAAAAGTAAGATTGAGAATTTTATCCACCATGGTTGGGACTCAAAAATAACAGGTTAAAATGTAACTTCGCCTCTAGATTGGAGTAAAAAAGGAACAAAACTGCTCTTGCCTTATACTTTAAGATACTGGCTTGTATATCTTGTTGATAGCTCAAAAATACATTTTTTGATTGAGTGTGACAAAAATCGACTTTCCTGAAAATTCTTTCCCCATGTGCAAAGGTGGCTTTCTGTGAAGAAAATACACTTGAAAGTTGATTTGTTGAGCAAAGGATCATTACTTACTTGAGGAGCGAGGACAACTTGATACTTATACTTCAAGAAGAATGCGCCTTCAACAGTGCCAGTTGTTCCAAACGTCCAACAGGAGCCACAGACAGATTGATCTAAACAATTAAGTTTAACAATTACATTTTGAATTTGAGGGGGAAAAAAATTTACCTCTCACACTCATAAATTTCATATAATTATATATTCTTTTTCAAGCTCGACCTGTGTAAGTTGCTTTAATTTGATACAAAAGTGGTTTTTAGCCTAAAATTCAGGGATTTTCCTGGAAAAATTAAAACAGGGTTGTTGGCTTCTATTGCAGTAAACCAGGCGCCTGTGATGACCAGCAAAGTATCCCTGTTACAGAGCAAAGCTTGGTCTCAGAAATATGTGGCAGATTGCTCTACCTTATACCTTTTTGGTAGGGTGAATTGAAACCCCTTAGGAGGCTGCGAGAGCCCTTGAGGAATGCCTCAGGAAAAAAGATACATTAATAATAGAAGACTACAAATTGAGTTGTGTGTATCACTGCATGAAGGAAGGGTTAAAATGATAGAAGACTACAAATTGAGTTGTGTGTATCACTGCATGAAGGAAGGGTTAAAGAACATTTTGGAAAAAAAAAAAAAACTTCCAAAAATGTAATACTGAACCGAATTAATGACAATAATGATTTCAAGTTGACAGTTCAAAAAACACAGTTTTGCAGAAAGAGACTTAATTTTTTAATCTGCCGAGTTCAGGATTTAAAATTGTCAGAATAAAAGAAAAGAAAAAATACACCCTCTTTAAACAAAAATGAAACAGCAATGGCTAAATGTGAAAAATGTGTAGGTATTAAATTGCAATGTTCAAAAAAATCTTCAATTATGCTTTATTCTCTTGCGAGAATACAAATCAAATTTTCCCTTGCAATTTTGAATAATTTATTAGAAAATTCATAGTACATTCGGTGATACATTGAGTGAATCCTGCCGAATAAAACACAACCTTTGAAACAAGAGAGTTTTTTGACTTACCTTTTACTGGTGTAACAGCACCAAAGAGTCTCCAATCCAATGTTTCAGGAACATCTGCTATCTCTTTTTCAGCATCATAAGGGAATGGCAATCCACCATTGTATCCAGCAGAGTATTTCCTGCCTCTTAGGGCTTTCAACTCCATTTCACTACGATCCGCCAGATGGTTGACTGCCATTTGGAAGCCAAGGTTTGCACGGTTCTTTGAATGAATGAACCTGCAATGTTAAAGCACTATGAAAAATGTACATCATCATTGTTAATACAATTTTGTAACATGTCACTATCATGTAAACTTGAGTAGTTAGCTAGTTGCCCGATTACTGCCTGATTATTGAAACTATTTCTGGCTATGTTGGTAAGATAAGACAAAACATCTGTCAAACAATTATCTGTGCCGTATAATACATCAATTTTTGAACAACTGGTGATGCTGATATTAAGTTCAAAAATGAGGCTACAGTTCAGCAAATCCTGAGGGAGTTATAAAAAATATTGTAGCTGAACAGAAAATTACTATTCGAAACATTAGGTTAGAAGCCTGTTAAGGCCCTAATGCAAGGGATATCAGAGTCAATTGTTTCATCTTTGATACAAAAAGGCACGCCCAGCTCAGTTTAAAAAATCTCACCTTAAATTTTGTCGGAAAATTTCTTTGCGGTTGATGTGTTCGTGAGTGGAAGGACTGTACGATTTGTTGTGCTTGCGTTTGAATGCATCAAAGGAGTTGTCGACATGTTCATCGTAATTTTCAATGAATTCTTTGATAGGATTAAACGTGTAGATATGATCAACTCCAGGGCCAGGAAAACTCCCGCACTTCAGGTCTGAAAATTCAAGTATTTATGTCAACATAGACAAAGATTATAATGATGTTTAAAAAAATGATCGGATTACTCTGCATTACGTAAGAAGTTCAGCTGCTTTAAGACTCTCATATCCCCTCCTCCCGCCAAATTCTCTTCGTCACAAATACCACTAAAATATTATAGAGATCAGCAAGAACTTCTGGGCGGCAAACATTTTAATAATTCATTGTATCATCGGTATGCAAATAGGATTTTTTAAATTTTTTCTTTTTTTTTTCTGATACTTGTTGATTATTGTAAGCTATTATCCACCTTCAAAATTCAAAATTGAGTCCTGGACTGACTCAGATTGTTTAAGTATGGGAGAATATTTCAAAGGACTTGGTACTCACTTTCTGCGATGATGAATACATCTGGATCTGGTGACTCTGTAGTATATGAATCATACGATAAATAGTAATGATCAAAGTGAGAGCCTAAGAGTGAATTGTAGCCGTTCATTTCATACCGAACAGGAATAGGTGTCTTGCTTCCATTGACTCGCTACAAAGAAATAAGACGAGAGAAATAGTTTTGGTTGAAATACGCTCCTTGGTGGAAACTTTCGAGGAAACAAAGTTTAGGAAAATAGAGACGTAAAAATCTTTAAAAATCTGAGGGACAGTAAACAAATGTTATGAGCTCAAGTTTGTTAAGGAAAAAAAAGAAATGCAATATTTTCTCTTCAAAAGGGAAAGGAAAGGGAGTAGGTAATGGAATTCTACACATTTCAGCAACAGGTAACTCCTTGAACGGATTTGAAAAGTTACAAACTAATCAGTGCTATAATTGTTGATTAGAAAGAAGATGGTGGTTGCTAATTTACAAGCTGTCTTCATGGAGGTCAGCTGATTTTTAAAAGCATCAACATTAATAAACCACCATCAACTGCTTCCTCTAGTACAGCAGCTAAAACTTTTCATTTCCTATGGTTTACTTTACAAAAGCCACTGCTATTCGACTTATGTCTTTTGATTAGTGTCTGCTTCTGGAGATATACGCTTAAATTTTGCAGATACAGAATCGGCCCATTCTACAATGGTCACTCCAAAATTTGCGACAGAAGGTCTAAGTCCTACTGGCTGATAAATAAATAGACCTTGGTAAAAATTCAGATTTTTCAATGGGCCTCTAGACAAAGTGTGAATTTAAGCACAACACCACGTGTTGCCTTTTCAAAATTTCACAAAAAAAAAAAAAAAAAAAAAAGAATCACACAAAAGGAAGTCTGAAAAACAACTCCTGAATAAGATATACGTGTTTTCTGTTAACATTGGTGAATGGCAAAATTACAAATGACGTCATATCTAATTGAACTTCCATTTACCTATGTTTAAAAGACTTGTTAATATCTCGTTCAGGCGTTAATTCAAAACTTCCCATTGTGTGAATTGTTTTCTATGTGAGATTTTGAAGAGAAAAAATAGGTATGATTTTTAACATTCTTGAATCTTTTCTAAGACTGCTTTGAATCAGAGAAAGTGACAAATAAAATCAGTGGCTAGGATGAGATTTTAAAAGTTTTTCTTTGATAAATCTCACCTCGTATCTGACCCAGGCAGTGTACTTGCTAACTTTGTGGCCATCAGATTCTACATATCTCCACTTGTCAACTGGAGTTCCATCAACTATATCTTGTCCGATGAACTGGAACAAAGAGCACAATTTAAATTAAGCCAGACTGTCTCTCTCCAGGAGTATCTTGATATTGGAGAGTGTTCCAAACTCATTTTAAAAATTCTTTTTTCCATATTTCTTCCTTCTTATTCTCAAATAATTTCAATGTACATGAAGTTATTGATGCTAAATGAGTAGTTACTATAATGTTTTTCCCTCCAAAAAAAGAGATTATCTTGGAACAATTGTAGAAACGCTGATAAAGAATAGGGTGTTCAGAGATTTATTTTTGAGAGAAATAAACCAAGAAATCGTTACGTAGACTTAAAGACTGACTACACATAAGATAAAAAAAGTAGGCATTAGATCAAAGGCCAATAAATGCGGCTCAGACTGAGATAACTTCAGAGAGTAGATTGCAGAGAGGCCGATAAGTAATAACACGATTATGATTGTTTCTTATCCTACTTCTGATGTAAATGTTTTTTCTTGAGAGAAAATGAAGGTGATTTATTTGCCATTTAGAGCAGGGTCTATCATAACAGGTATTCAAAATACCTTAATTGCCATTCAATTGATTAAACGAGGTTTCAGATTTTTATTCGACCCAGCATGAAATGGATGAAACTCACTTTGAAGTTGGTCAAGTCAGGGACGACTGACTGAGGGGTGATATGGTAACTGTCTGAACCATTGACTTGCATGCAGCTTTCAACATTGGTCTCATCCTCTGTTGTAACAGGCACGACTTTGATACTAGCACCATACTGCCCTGAGTTGGAAAGCTGGTAGGTTTTCATCATTCCTGGCGAAGAAAGGAAAATTATACATTATGGTGATGGTAACACGATATGAGTCTTTAAACATTTAAATGTACGTATTCATGGAAGCATGTAGAATACTGTTATCCTATTTTCTTGTTTATTTCAATGGTAGAGATTTTTGTGAGGTAAAAATGCTGACTTCGTCGCAGTCTAACTTCTGGTGAAAATTTAAGACAGAGCATTCTTAAAAAGTTTGCTAGGGTGGCAATAAAGGAACAGGTACACCATTCTTATGTCACTAAAAAGATCAAGTAATTATATATACTCAAGCTGGAGTGTAAAATTTAATAATTCAAATACACTGCCCTGCGGAGAGATTCATGTTGCTGAGAGTCATTCTGAAGTATTGTCGAAACCAAATGATGAAGAGCACTCATTTCAGTGGTTTCCATCTTAAAAAGGAGGCTGTTTTCTAGCAGCAAAGAGGAGCTATGCAGCTATCTACTAAGTACCTTCGACCGCTTTCAAAGTATGCCGACACTTCACATTTTTTGTGCATTATCCTGTCTATTATTTTTCAATTTGTCTTAACAAATAAAAGAACAATTTTTGTAAAACTTTAAAAAGTATAATAATGCAAATTTTTACTCAAAATAAACACTGGAGGATTCAACATTTTAAGTAAAGTTGAAGAACCTTTTGATGAAGGTTTTTTTTCTGAATTGTTTTACTACTAGTACTACTACTACTACTACTAACAAGCTACTCTTATAGCACTTCTGTGCCCTCTTTGACATCCAAATGCCACTGATAGTCTGATAGCGATCCTGCTAGGGGTCCTCCGGCAAATCCTGTCTCCTCAATTCCTGCCTTATTCCATCGACCTACGATTTGGCAGGGCGTCCTTTATACATTTTCTGCTAGGGGAGACCCAATCCAGAATCTTCTTAGGCAACCTATCATCTAACATCTTTTGCACATGCCCATACCAGACAAGCTGTTTTGTGAAAATGTCATGCACTATGATGTTTTGGATGCCCATAATTTCATGTATTCTTTCATTCAGAATGTGATCTTGAATTTCCTAAATTTTTTTGCCCCTCAAAATTATAGCTCTCCTATAATAATAAACAATTTTGAAAAAAAACCGTATCTTTAAGCCATTAGCACTAATATCAAAAAGAGGGGATAGGTTCTTAACATTCCTCCTTCCAAAACACAGAATTGGACATCTTAAAAGTTAACTAATCTTTACCTCCATAGTAATCAATTCGGCTTGCTCCTACATTTGAGTCATACCAGGCGAAAAGAGGTTCTCTGATTTCAGCATATGGTATGTACAAAGTAGCTGTTAAAGAATAAGTTTTACTGAACACTGGACTGGACTCAGATTCCCGTACATCATTTTTAGAGTGGTGTATACGCAGACTGCATTCTTTGACGCCTGAAAAAGAGGAGAAATGCATTGAGAAAAATGTTAATAGAGCCTGCTTTGAAGTTTTGGCACTGGTTTTTGCTCTGAAATCTCTGGAGAGGAAAATGAACCATTGAATGTTGAGTTACAGAAGAATTCAGAAGTTTTCAAAAAGAATTTGTCATAATTTTTTAAAAAATATCTGAATTTTGCATGATGGTAGCTGGACAAGCTTGAAAAGCCTGAAGCAGGTGAACATTTACTTTATTTTTACCTTGACTTAGATGAAGAGGTTCGTACGGATAAGAGAAAATGTGTTTTCTGGTTTACAAAAACTACACAATTAATATTAAAAAACAAAAGAGAGTTTCGTCAGAAAAAAAAAGAAATGTAAGTTTTTCTCCCTCTTCGCCACCCCTTCCCGCGGTATTTTTTTATTATACTTATTGCTTTCGATCTTTTGTTTTGGTTGAGAACCAAAATGAGGAAAGAGAGAAAAAATTGAGAGTGACTGTACTAGGCAGAGATACTTGAAAACCAGGTAGAAAAACCAAAAAAATTAGAGTTTCTGAGCGATACCATTCCTCCACCCCCTCCCCTCCCGAAATAAAATATTTCACAATAGAATGTTAAAAACGAGAGGAAAAAAATCACTCACAGAATGATGCGCAGCAAATAATCAGGGCGGCGAGGTGGAGCTTCATCGTCGGTTATCACTGCAACAGAAGCTCGGCTAAAACCGACTGATTGACTGATTGCCGGGGCTCAGAGACAGCGACGGCCGGCGTGCGTCAGGGCTGATGTAAACAGATCCAGCATTCGCTCACACGCTGATAAGCCCGGAAAAAAATCAGCGAAAAACGCGTCGAGAAGCGCTGACAATGAGCCGAGAATCTGAACCGCGCGGCAGTTATCGGCCGTGGCGCGGACAAAGGTGGGAAGCTCTTGCACCTCGTCACCAACGGGTCTACGGAGCCTTTTCAAATGCGTAGTAGATAACAGCACAGCTAATACGGCGATCTGTGATGAGAGAATACGGCTTCTGCCCCCCCTCCCCCCCTTGGTAATCGGCGACAGCACGGCGGGGGGGTAGAAGGAGAGAAGGGGGACAATTGAGATCCACGGCAGTTTAAGTAGGGGAAGGTTGTCTACCTGCGGGCTGGACAATGGGCAACCCGACCCTCCCCCCCTTTCACCCCCCTCCTCCGTTCTAGCTGTGTGCAATTACTCGTCCCTATGTGAGCAGGATCTTGAGCTCCATCTTTCCTATCTCAGCAGCAGACAGCTGAGATGTAAGTACAGGGTGTGGCGAAAGTCCTGAGTCTTGTGTCCCTTGAACCAAATTGTCTTGGATTGAAATCCAACTTCGGTTCAAAGAGGTTTGACCTCAGCTTGGTTTCGAACCCTCCACCTCTGAAAGATTACCTCTTCCGATTGAAAAAAAAAGAGAATTGAATAGAAAAAAATTCGGAGTCCGTATTTTAGCTCGATTTCCTTTAAGGATCCTTGTATTTTCAAACATTGGTCCTTAAATTGCCATCTACTGCTTGTGAGCTTGCGACAAGAAGTTGTGATAGCAGCGAGCCATGAATATTTCCTAATCTGGCTAGCAGTTTGTAGCAAGAATGTGGGTTAATGAGAGAATGCACTAATTTCAGTAAAAAAAAAGCCACAAGTTATTGAATAGGGAGTACTTATTGAAAAAAATACCATGCCTCTAATTTTTTTAACACATCGAAAATGGGTGAGATCTCAAAATGGGAAATTTCGAAACTTCATTAACTACTATTTTGAAAGAGGGAATTTTTACTTTGCACCTTCCCTGAATGTATAGCTTCTCAGCAGAGAAGAATAATTTCTCAGAATGTCAATTCCATACAGGAGAAAACACTGCAACAAATGCGCAAAAAGTTGCTTCTTAAAAGTAAGTAAATGGTTGAAGAAACTCATGCTCTCCCACACAACACCATTGACCCTGGAAAATCATCAGACTTAAAATTTTAAGCGAAGTCAATTTGATTAGAGTCAAGAATCTCAGAGAAGAGTATAGGCACCTAGAAGCTCAACTACAGAAACATTCAACATGGTTCAAATGGTATTGAACAGTACTGGGACCATTGCAGCACCCTATATACAGATCTATCTTCAGTTGATATAGAAAGTGAAGGAGGGCTGGGGCTGACATTGAGAAGGAGAAAATAGATTATTTACTTGTTGCCTGTTGTTAGCTTAATCCACTATTTTTTAATATGTCACTTTTAACCGTTTGAATATGATCGTGTTGTGAGTTGACAATAGGACAGGGTGACAAAACCCCAATAGGAATAATATAGTATTGAAAATAGGTACTCATGAGTTGCTTCACATTTATATTACACATGAGAATAAAAGATAGTATTTACCCAATCTCAGAGTAATTGGTTATTTTTTCGTTTCAACAACGAAGGTACCTAATTCAAAGTTTTGAGTTCTCTATCTTTTAATACAAAAAATTCAATTTTGGGTTCTTTTGACAGAAGCATGGATAGGTATAAAAGTAAATTAAAGAAATAATATCAAGGATAAAATTTCTTGAACGAATGATTTATAAATCAACTGTATTACTACCTAAATTTTATTTACATTTGTTTTCTTTTTCTTTATTCTTCCTTAATTTTTAGGTGAAAGAGACCAATATTTTTAAAACACAAAATAGGTAGTGAGCTTTTTACTGCATCAGTAAACATGCTCAAAATCCTTTCACTACCTTTCATGATCTTTCCAAGTAATTCCTATGACTCAAGTCTCAGGCTAATCTGATAGCTTTCTAAATTCTATTGGATTATCAAAAGGTCGGTTTGAAAAAATCAATCTCTAATTTACTTACATGTTATGTTGAGAACAGACAATAGCTGAAAAATTGAACGAATCATTGGCTAATGACACAATACAAGAAAGTACTTTAGCTCTTCGGTAAGGATGTTAAATAATATCTTTTAATCCCTAGATTCCCCTCTGGAACTATAAGTTCTGTATGAGTTTAAAGATGGTAATCTTTGAAATTGGTTAGAAACAGGGAAAAATACTCCTGAGTTCTAAAATAAAATTTTACTGTAAATATTATTTGGGAGGGGGAAAAAAAGGAAAAAACTCAGCAGGATTAATCTTTGCAATATTTCACTCTTCCTTAGTTGAGTAAGCAGTGCTTAGCACTAAGTCTCTATCTCCCTATCCTATAAACATATTTAACTTAATCTATCCTAATTAAATCAACCATCTTGCAAAACTGTTATCCATACTTTATTCTTATTAATCCAAAGCATTCAAAATAAGAGACGAGAAAACAACCTGGAGAAATTTGCACAATAAATCCTTGAAACAATTAGATTATTCGTTTAATTTAATAAGGTTGTTTTAAATCTCTTTTGCAGTTTTTTTCAGTTGTTGGTTTTTCCCCCTGAATTTTCTGGCTTTCCCAGGATACAGACAACCCTGCTTCAAGAAATTTTCTCCGCTGGACATCCAATGTGCAACAGGCCTGACAATGACAGGGGTCTCGTCAACTTGATGGAAAAGGTGGCCATTTTATTCAAGGCTCTCCTTCTTGTCACAAGTGAATTTATGAGACTAAACAAAAATCATCTCAAAAAGAGAATTGCCATCGAATGAGCCTTAAAAATCTTAATCATTTGGAGTAAGGCTTACTTAGATCAATTAGTGCTTGCATCTAATTCAGTGGTGCAGCATGCTTAGCAATGAATCGCTTGTTTTGCCATTTTAACATACAGAAAATGATTGACTATCAGGGTGCTTGACAAAACCTTTAATGATCGATTCTTTACCATGGCTTCAAATCGGAAAGTATGGATTGCCACTGATCTAATTCTGAACTGATTGAGTGCACTTAAAAGACGACAGCAGGCTGAATGTTGAAATTGATAGACAAAAAAATAGACAATAAAGACAAAGGAGAAATGGGGCAATCTCATTGGTTTGAATAGATGGGTTGTTATAGACTAAGTGGAATACAATGGACTAACTACAGGGTCTCTGAAGGGTTGCTGTTAGTTAGTCTATTACTCACTTCATTTGTCCATTGCAACCACTTGCTACTACAAATGGGATCACTCTATTTTCTCTTTCTCTTCCTCTTTTATGTCCATTGCTTTGTCTATGAATTTCAATAGTTAGCCTGCAAGTAACAAACGTAGCTACCTGTAAAACTAATAAAAAATACTTAAAAATTAAGAAATTTTATTCAAATTAAAAAGCAAATGTACAATAACTTCAGTTGAGCTAATATCACAGATCTTGGATTTTTCACTTAGATATTAAGAAAAATATTAGTCGTTGTACATATAAACAGACTATGTACACAATTTAAAGACCTACATAAGAGATTTTATAGAAACGTACCGTGGAATGAGGAATTAATTATATAATTATTGCTTATCTGTGACTAATTCAAACCACTGTCGAAGGGCATCACTGAGAACAGCAGGTAAGTTGTTCACATCTCTTAAAAGAAGATAGAAGGGGAACGGGAAATTGCTCATGTATGATGTCATTCCGATAAGTTGGTTTCCATTGAACAAAGGCATACTTATATCCAACACTGAGCCCTGAAAAAGAAATTTTAACATGAAAATGAGTCTATGATATGCTGGTGATTACTTCAAAGAGATCAGGATGTTCAAATAAAAAGACAGAAAAATAAAACCGAGCAAGAAAAGCTCTGAGATGAAGCAAAATTAAGGCTAATTTTGCTACTGTTAGTTTGAGTTTTGTAGTGACTTTTCGGAAACTTTCCTAAATTTTTTTTTAGTTAAGGCTGGTAGGGTCTCCTATGTTTCTTGTATCTACCAACAAAAAAAATCCTAATAATGTGTGAGTACTTGGTTGGATGGTTTCAGCTATGATTCCTCTGTGGCTATGATCAAAATTTTGAGACAGCAAATTTTCCGAGAGTGCACAATATTTTTTAATGATTCGCACGATTCAGCTCCCCAACTTTTCCAACACAATTACCTATCAGTGCTCATTGACTATTGAGCTTCATTCCACTAACAAGGGGAGTCTACGAAGTGACATCCTGGGATTGGGTTCATTTTGCTTGTACATGAAGAAGAGACAAATCTAAGGTTGACGTATTTTTTTTTAGCCGCCACCTCCCAACCGTTCTCGAGATATCGATTTTTAAAGTTACGATTTTTGCACGTTTCCGCGCGGAGTTCCGGCGAGTCAACAGAGCGCCGGCAAGCTGCACGAAGCGCGTTTCTTATCAGCGCTGCAGACCGGCCGACGTTATCAACTGTTCCGTGGCCGGGTGGTAGAGTGTTCGCCCACCGTTCCATCGATCGCGGGTTCGAATCCCGCTTCGTATCGTAGCTTTTAGGGTCCGCCGCAATGCGTTTTTACAAGTTTCCTTTATTTTTATCACACACCAAGGGGTCCGCCCCCTGGCCGCTACGCGGCATAACCCTCGGGGCGAAAAGGCCCGCATCGCGGCAAGCGAAATCATCGAAATCAACCGTTGACGGTTACTGGGTAAATAATTTGAATTGAATGATAAAATGATGTTTCAAATAAAAATTTCCCACCACACAATATTCTTAATGACTTTTTCCTTACTCTGAATTTGCAACCGGCAACGGTCGATTTCGATGATTTCGCTTGCCGCGAAGCGGGCCTTTTCGCCCCGGGGTTTGTGCCGCGTAGCGGCCAGGGGGCGGACCCCTTGGTGTGTGATAAAAATAAAGGAAACTTGTAAAAATGCATTGCGGCGGACCCCAAAAGCTATGGTACGAAGCGGGACTCGAACCCGCGATCGATGGAACGGTAGGCGAACACTCTACCACTCGGCCACGGAACAGTTGATAACGTCGGCCGGTCTGCAGCGCTGATAAGAAACGCGCTTCGTGCAGCTTGCCGGTGCTCAGTTGACTCGCCGGAACTCCGCGCGGAAACGTGCAAAAATCGTAACTTTAAAAATCGATATCTCGAGAACGGTTGGGAGGTGGCGGCTAAAAAAAAATACGTCAACCTTAGATTTGTCTCTTCTTCATGTACAAGCAAAATGAACCCAATCCCAGGATGTCACTTCGTAGACTCCCCTTGTAAGTCCTCACCTCTTTGGATGCGTCATCATTTTTTGTAGCATTGTACCCTTTTCTGTCTTATTCCAGTTCCTTTGTTTTTTTTATCTTTTCCCCCTCATAAATTTGCTAGTCTAATTCATCGTTCTCTAATTTTTATTCCTGTAAGATTATTCTTCTTCTAACCGTCTATTATTTTCTAATGGTTTTCTTTTTCCAAAGCTACAAGTAAATCCTTTATCACTTGAATTGAATTTCTTGAGGCTATGTATTCTTAAAATCAGAGATGAATCTTACCGCTGCTGGATTGTCAATGATGACAAAAACAATGAAAATTCCAGCAAGCCTTGCTCGTCGAACAGCTGTTTTGACAACACTCTGACCCTCACTAAGAATACCACGGCCATCAGATAGGATGATCAACAGCTGAGCAGAGCGGGGTAGTTGTCTTCCAGCAAACATTGCAATGCAATACTCAACGAGTTCACCAACTCGCGTTTTTGTCTGCTCAAATGAAAACTGTTGTAATAACCTGGAGACACGGCAAATTAATAAAACAACATTAAATTTTTATTCAAAAAAGAAAAGTGTTTTCCCCTCTTTCCATGTATTGATACCATTCAAACCAGGATTTTAATATTTTTTTACAAATTCTTAAAAGACTATTGAGAATAAACTGGGTATGAAGGTGGGAAAGTCTTCAAGATTTTAATTTCAGAATAGTCTGTTCAGTAAGACATTCATTATAAAATTATCAGGGGCTCTAAAATTTTATACTGATTGAGATAAACTTTTCACTGATTTTTTGAAAAATGTAAACAGATTCGGAAATCATAAACATAAGCAATTCCTATCTTGCTTGCCAGCAAACCCCATGTGAGTTCTACAGGGCAGCTTGCAAACCCCAAGCAGAACCAGTAAATTTTCGTTTCATCTTTTATGAAGGGCCTGATGCATTAAAATAAAAGCATTTGCTATGAGGGTATGAACTTACAATAAAACCTGTCGATGTAAAGAATTTGCTTGAATATCTCTCAGTAAATTTGGTCATTTGGGCTTGGAGGACTTAACTTCATATGCCCATTATTTTCCCTTTATATTTGAGTTTGAATTTGGTAAAGGCAGAATTAAAGTTGTAAAAACATAGAAAAAGATATTGCACATATCATATCGATATGGCTAAACGCGATAAATGCGTACCTGAATTACAATGTTAAAAATATCCGATTATATTTTATTTCCTTCCAGAAGAAAAATCAAAATGTATCTTTGCAATTTTATGTTCTTTTAAAAGAATGAGAGAAGAAAATTCACAGGAAATAATGGAGGCTGCGGTTATGTCCTTTATGAAAAATAAAATAAGAGCAAAGACTTACAACATCGCAATCTGAGATGAACACTTGTCGATTCTATTCATAAATATAGTGTAGAGTAAAATAAAGAATGCACTACATGCACTTCAATGTGTGAATGATCTTTTTGTCAATTTTTGCTGAGTTTGATTCAGGTTTTGATTTTGTCTTGCAGATTTTAACTACAAAAACGCAGATGAAAATTCTAGAGGGCCTTTGATTGGTTTGTTGAACATGATAAACACCTGTGGACCTGAGGGTCTTGACAAATTTCTCAGATAAGTCTTGAAAAATGAATGATCAAAGACAGATTTGAATTCACTCCAGTATTTACCTGGCTCCACTATGTTCAGAGAATGGTTCCCCAAGTGGATGTAATGTTCCGGTCTCTTCTCCAAATTTAACCACTCCTAATTCACCAGCTTCGAGTAAAGACAGCGCACGACTGATGGTAGCAAGAGATTCAAATGCCAACTATCGAGGGAAAAGTTTAGAAATTAGTGGAACACACATTAAGTCAAGATATGACATTTTTATGGGATGAAATAAATTAAAAGCTCTGGCATCGAAACTTCCAACACTGATCTATGAAAAAAATGTACACTAAATTATATAATTTGATTTTGAAAGGAAATAAGTAGAATAAAACTAACTGATTTCAATGATTTTGGATTTTTTACAGTTATATACTTTTTTTTACTTCAAAAATGAGTTTAACAAGAAATTCAAATATTATTGTTGAAAAAAGGGGTCCAAATATGGAATACTTAAATTATGTTGGGGAACTTACCTCTTTTGAATGATTATCTGACATACTTGATGAGTCATCGACTGCCATAATGATTTGGTAGTCCCTTTTCGATGGTTTGGTTCGCCTCAGCCAAATTTTATCTTTCCTGAACTGACTGGCAATGTACGGAATCACCTGCAATTTTGAACAACTATTACTTTTGCATTCTTAAAAAAATTGCAAATCAAGGGTCGATTTAAAAGAGAAAAAAAATAAGGGATTAAGGGACTCTGAATCACAGATGAAACTCCGAAAGGCAAGGATGATCAGGAATGGCAACAATTTTTCCTTGTTGGCAAGATCATTTTTGCTGATTTCCATTCTGCAAGATAAACATATTGACATTATTCTATTGAATTACAGTGGTTCTACTAAAAAATCAGGGTGTCCTGTATCAAACAACAGAGGTTTGTTATGCAGACATAAAAAAAAATTAAAGAACTCTTTTGAGAGAAAATTATTTGAGCGAACTTTTAAATGTTGAGGTAGAGGCAGGGCGCAGATTAAAATATTCATAAATTATCAATACTTTTAACTTTTTCCAACAATTACAAAGTATTTTGGTAAAGCTCTGCTTTACTTCTGAGTATCTCAGTTGAGGAGAGTTCAGAGTGGGCAAAGAACTGGTAAAAACAACTAACAAAGAACTTTGTGATAGCTGGAAAAAGTCAAAATTATTGGTTAAACAATGTAGAACTATACAGAAATTTACTCTTGACTTTCATAAATTCACAAATTACTTGAAAACTTCATCCTTTTTACTATAATATGAAGGAAATATGGATTGAGCAAATTTCTAGGCATTTCAAAGGATAGAACCAATTATTTTGGATCCTGCAAATAAAATTCAACTGTATTGAGTCAGTAATGCTGAAAACTGCCCTATACGATTCCAGCAATCTCACCTTTCTCATATTAATTCGACGTCCAGTACGGAAATCTCCTTTAAGCCGTGTTGCCTGGCAAGGTTCCAATACTAGGCGCAGTTGTTCGCTTAAATCTTGAGAGAGGGAATGGGTTGCAGCTGTAAGAAGCTGCCAAGCTCTAGAGGCTTCGTCATTCGATGGAGTCTGCAAAATTAAAATTTGATTAGAGCAAGCTTTCAGCGGTCCATATTAGGATCTTATTAACAAAAAATTTTAATTCTGAAATGACAGGGCAATTAAATTGTCACGATTGCTGGAGACTGCAGTTTTTCTGCTGAACTTATCTTCCCATGCCCCAGAGCTAGCTGTTAATGATTCAATCCATGAGTTAGTGGCACTTGAGAATCTGACATGCACAGCAACACCTGTCAGTCCTAGTATGTTGCAAGGAGATTCTCTAGAAATCTCTCTTGTTTTCCAAATAACACTTTAAACCAGCTTTATTGATTCTTCCCTATGTTACTCAACAAGTGTCCCCTGCTCCCTACAGCTTTCAGGGTTTATTCATTCTCCGCTTCCCCAACTTTTCCCTGACATTTGGTTCGGACTTCCAATTAGACTTTTTCTTTTTAATTACGCTTATTTTGATGAGCACTGCTCAGAAAATTTCCTGACTTTTCCCATGAATTCCCTTACTGTCCCTAACTTTTTCAGATTTCCATAATTCCCCGACTTTCCAGACCACCGGAGGCACTTAGCTTTCAATGACGAGGATCAATAAGATATTCCTTGTGAGATGCTGAGCAATTCTTGGAAAATGAAGTGGGAAAATCCCATCTAAATTGCACCAAGATCTAACTAAACCTTTCGTTAAATATTGATGACACACTTACATTTGTCCAGGAGGCCAATTGGTTTTCAATCTGATCACGGATGGCTGCGACATCCCACATCTCCGGTTCCAGCTCAGCATCCAGGACATCTTTTTTTGTATGATGGGAGCTTTCCGGTTCTCTCTCGACTGATGCAGTCTGTACCGTTTCACCTTCGATCTGAAACAAAATTATATTGGCTGCAATAATGAATATACATAATGGCAAATTATTCTTGCCGTTAAAATTTTGAACTATACACTGTGAGACAAAGTCAGGAATACTGTGAAAAGCAATGGCCGACAGAGAATGCTGGAGAAGATCTCTTTAAAGTGCTGCTACTACAACATCCTGGCCTGGGTCAATCGGTTAGTCATTTGAGCCATCCTGACTTTTTTTCACCTAACATGTATTATGCAGCTATAGTTTCAGAGTTTTCAAAGATTTGAGACATTTCAAAAAGAAAAAAAAAATCGAAACTACATATAATTTTTTAAAAAAATTTCATGTTGTTACCATTGGCGACTATCACATTGGCTGCTAAATCAACTAAGTCATTATAAATAAAATTTTTGTTGGATTTTAATAAGATTTCTCTTCATGCTGTATGATTACTCAAAATTTTTCAAGCAATCAGAAACCTTCCAAGTCAGATGACCTTCCAACGAAAGAATAAAAACAAAATCTCCGCATCAAAAGAAAAGAAAAAAACTGTACATATATTGCATACAAGACGGTACATTGGGCCTTGCACAATAGCAACCAGACTTTACAGCACAATGTGGCATCCAGTGGCTAATTTGAGAATCTGAGATGATTTTGTGGCGCTAATTCTGGAGGAGCTACAATAGCGCTGTGATACTTGAAGCAAAGTGCTCAGAATACACAGTAAGACTTGGACTGACCTCGATACCAGCTTCAGCATTGATGAGTTCTTCATCAGCATCATCAACATTGTTATCAACTTTGTTTTTGCTTGTTTTCTTGTTACTCTTTGTTTCTTCGGGCTTGATTTTATCAACTTCCTCCACATCAAGATTCTCATCTAGTAAAATTCAAACAAATACAAATAAAAATACATGTAAATTACAAGAAAATATTGAAGAAAATAATTTTCAGGTCACTATAGAGGATAATTGTTCTCCCCTAAAATTACTCATACTTGTTTCATAAGTGAATTTGATTTGACACACAAGGTAAGGTGATTCAGAAGTCCCATATTACCCTGATAACCTCTAGATTTATTGCCTTTTTTAGGGAGGTCCCCTTAAAGTTTTAGGGGTTCTCAAAAGCCATTTTTTTTGACATAGGAGCACTTGTAAAATTTCAAGTCTCTGTCTCAATTTGCACAAATGTTACCAATATGCAGGTTTTTACGGGTGGTGTGGGACTCTTGTATCACATTGTACATATTTGAACTGACAAGATTACTGAAAATGGAGATTTTTAGTGTTGTTGTTGAACAAACATGACAACAAGATGAAACAAGCTGAAAGCGTTCGGTGATATTTTTCTAGGAAATGAGGTGTCTGCTTTTCCAATAAAACTTTTTTTCGGAGCATATTCTAGAGAATACTAATATAAGAACTTACTTTTTAACTTTATTGGAGATTTAAAGTTTTTTTCTACGATAAGACTTGTACAATTTTAAAATTTTATGCTGTACCAGTGAGGAATGGGTGCCCTGTGTCATAAGGAAAAAAATATAATCGGCAATGCAAAATCAAAAAGTAGATGGTAGCCTTCTTCATAAGAGCTAAAATGGAGATTATGGTGCGACAGAATAAAATTTCACCTTCATCAATGTCCATTTTGTCATCTTCAGCCACACTTTCTACATCAGATTTTTCATCGTTCTCAGAGTCTGGAACTGGTTGCTTCTCCGCTTGCTCCTAAAAGCAGATGATGAAGAATCATTTTTAAATTCAATAGATGAAAGAATTGATCATTAGAGTGCTGGACATGGTATAAATTTTAAGCAGCCGGTAAATATTTCCTCTTCAGAATCTCACATAAAACACAATTTGTGCGATGATAGCAGGATTATTCCTTTTACAGAAAGAACTGAGGCTAAAGGTCTTATTCATGGTCATTCCTCAAACATTCAGACCTCCTTAATCTTTGTAATTCTGATGGCTGAAGGAGGCCTTAACAGAAAACGATCTACTATGAATACAGCCCTAGGACTAAGGCTTAAAGGCTTTCCGCTGAAAGATTATCTCCTTTACAGATATAATTTTTGGTTCAATGAACTACAAAACTTTGCATTGGAAGCTTATTTTTAACCTTCATCATGACTAAAATCAAAACTTAATTGCTGAGAACAGCTTGAATTCAATCCCTTACCTGCGTTGCGGCATCAAGAGTTTGCGCTTCAGAGGCTCTGTCGTCGGCATCTTTCACATGCTGGTACAAATCGGCTTTTTCACTCTCTTCACCATCTTCATCATTTTCGATATTATCAGATTTTTTATCATCAGCAGAATCATCAGTGGTTTTAAGGCGTTTTTTCATGGGCTCTTTCATATCAGCTGCAAAAAATGATACCACATACAATAATCACATGAACAAAGGAGGCTTCATTAAATGGAATGCTTACTTTAGATTCAAAAGAGGAAAATTATTATGAGAGCTAAAATAGGAAAATATTCCTAGCTATAAATAAGCTATAAAAAAAATTTGAAATAATTAATAAACAATGCGCTTCGGAAGGTAGTTTTTCTCATCATCCATGAGCTTCTTTAAGCTTGGCCATCAAGGGTTATAAGATTTTCTCAACGTTTCAATTGAAGCAGACATCAGATCATCAAAAAACGTATGTAACAGACTGCACATAATGTAGGGAATGTAAAAGAAAAATAAAATTATCGACTCACTTGCAAGTTAAAATTCTTTTAAAATCATTTTTCCGACCGGTTTTGAGCATTTAGGTTATCTTTAGTGATAACCATAACTGGTTATGGCTGGAGATGAGCGTATTGCTCAAAACCAGTCTGAAAAAGAAGTTGTTGTAAAAAGAATTTAAAAAAGCATATGAGCCGTTATTATTCTTTTCCTTTTAATTAATCGGAACACCAATTTCCATAAACTGCTAAATTAATAAATATATGCTGTTATTTCAAAGTCAAAAATTAATACAGATGAACAATACAAATTTTAGAAAAACTTGGCAGCCCTCGATTTTTTTAAAGACCTACCTAAAGATCGGTTGATGTCACTCTTCCCTGGCTTCTGCTTCCGCTTCTTGTCTTTTTCTCCTCTCTTTTTGCTTTGAGCCCCTTCATCTTGCGCTCCTGAGTGTCCGTCTGTTGTTTCTTGCTTGGCATCGCCTACACCCTGTTGATCTGAGCCTTGATTTTCTTGGTTACTATCTGATTTGTCTTTGGTCTGGTCTTTGTTTTGTTCTGAGTCCTGTAAACGATGCATAAACCTTTTAGTAACACTGAAGATGTGGAAAAATCCAAGTTTTCCACTACTTTGAATTGACTTTCCTAATTTAAAAACCTCTTTTAACTCTATATTTTTTAGGTGCTGACTTCCGTTTTAGCTCTTTACTTTTGAACAGCTGCAGTTCCGCTAAAAACGCACCATTTTCACACTGGAAAAAGCGTAACCTTTCTTCTCTCATTGCTCCTTTTTACGGCATTCTCATTTGTGGGAAAACTATGCGCTTGGCCACTAAATCAATCTGCTATCAACAGTTTTAGAGCTGATAAATAGATAGCCTTGTTTCTTCTGCTGTTTGGAAGAAAAGACAAAAAATCAGGGATAAGTATCATAGCTTCATAAAACATACCACTTGATCAGTCGAACCACCAACTTGATCTGCTTGCTGAGCTGGATCAGTACTGGCGTCATCTTCGGATGGTTTCGCTTGCTCTTGCTCTAGGTTTTCCTCGGTTGATTTCGGTTCCTCTCCTGACTTTTCATCATCCATTTTCCCTCCTGAAAAAAACAAGAAAGGGAATTTCAAAAACAAATGTTTCATATCATATTCGATGCTTTAAAGTCTTTTACAGATCTTAAAAGAAGAACTCTGAATTCATCCAAAGAAGATTTTAAAGGATCTCTGAACTCTGCCTTGATATACTTGCCTCAGTTATCTTGTATTGGAGGATTAACAAATTTGGTATAATTCTTATACCTGTTTGACAAAGCCTTGTAGGAAAATCTTGAATTTGTTAAAGAAAAAATAAAAAACAGTTGGGTCTCTTGCTTACCATCTTCTCCCACATTTTCTTTTTCGGATTCTTCCTCATCATTTTCATCCAAATTTTCCTGATCTGGACCAGTTTGTCCCTCCTCATCACTTCCTTCCGCCTCACTGGCTTGAGCTTCATCCACTTTCTCTTCCTCGTTGGCATCTTCTTTGTTTTCATCTTTTCCATTTTCTTCTTCATCGTTCCCATTTTCTTCTTTATCTTCTGGCAAATTGGGCTCTGAAAAAGTATTGAACTGAAGTGTTAAAAGCCTCTTGAATGACCATCATACACACAATTAGAAGTAAAAAACAAAAAAGACTGCTTTCCACAAAAAATTAGGCTAACAATTAATAATTTCCTAGTTGCAAGTGGCGTGTTCATGTGAGGTCGGTTGCACCCAAATGTACAGAAAAATTTAGGGGATGAAAAAAAGGAAAGAAAGAAATTTACGAAGACAGATTGAAGTTATTGAAACATTTTTGAGCAGAATTTTAGAAAATATTCTTGAAAGAGCAAAGAAAAATTACATAAAGCACAGTACGATAGCAATGGTCCTTCAAAGAGCAAAAGGTAACGAGGAGCTAACAAAATCACAAATCAGATAATACTGGTTTCTTAATTTTACCATTGCAGCACAAGAGATAAAGTATTTACGTACTTACTTACTAGTTATTTGGTGCTACAGCCCCTCGTGAGCTTTGAAGGGGGGGGGGGACTCCACCTAGGGGTGAAATTTTTTTCCTAGCTGGTCTCAAGCCCAGGTAAAGGTGGAGGGTTGCACATGGGGCTAGCAAGCCTATCATGTAACAAAACCCTTGAGCACCCTAACAAAGAGTCTCGGTACAAACAGAATTTAAGAATAAATTTAATAATTTCTTCGGGTTGTTACCCGAAGAAAGAATGAGAACTGAAGGACGGAAATAAAGTATTTGAAAGAGATAAAATACTAGCCAAGAAAGTCCTGCAACACACATTGATTAATTAAGTAACATCAATTGATTATTGCATCCCTCTTCTCGATACCTACTATTCTCAATGATTTGACTGACTTGTTAAACTCCCTGGACACCTAAGAATTATTGCTACATAATGGATATGAGGTAATCTTACGCTTCATAGCATCAATGTCGAAAGGATTTTCTTCATCATTCTCTTTTTCATTGCCATCCTCATCATCCAGTTGTAAATTGTCTGGTAAATCAAATGCTTCAGGTTCAGGTTGAGGTTGATCTTGACCTACAAACAAAAGAGTAAGATATGATCGTTTCTCAGCAGAAAACAATTATAATGTTTAATGTTGGATTGTTAGCCAAAGAATTTAAAAGGTAAATTTCACTGAAATTTCCCTGATTTTGGGTAAAAGTTTGATTTTTTGGAAAGATTTTTTGGTAAAATTCTCTGACAATTCAAGACATGCCATATAGTTAAAAAACAACATTTGATAAAGTTTTCAGGAAAAATGTATCGTTAAACGTCAATTCCATTCTAGAGAACAAATAAAGGTGACCGAACAATTTTTTTCTGACACTTTTGTAATTTGCCTGACTTGTGCCAGTTTTCCCTTTATGTCCTGAGGACGGCAGCCCTGTTCCTGAGAACACAGTACTAATATCATGAATCAATCTTATGGTACACAATAAAAATCCCAGACAAATAATTCTAACTTATTGAGAATTTTGAAAAAATTAAATGCTTTTGAAGTTAAAAACTTGGGTTATTTCATAGGGATCCTAGTGAATCTTAATAACCTGAAAAAAAAAATCCGATTAACAACAGTTTGTTTGATCCAAACAAAACTGTACAAAATGTTTGATCAAAATGTTACAAGCAACTGAGTGCTTTTATTCCACTTAACTTACTCCATGATGTAAAATCATAAAAGTACGCGTAACGCACTGGAGTGCTTTGCGCTTCAGAGGGCATAGTCCTCTAATGATGAAAAAAACTGCATGTTGAGACTCGAGAATAAGTTATGTAAAATTCTGACTGGTGCAAGATCTGAAACTCTGGCTCACGCAATCAATAACATCGTTTATCCAGGGAAATCTGTAGGACTCATAAATTTAATCAGTTCAATCAAAGTCTCAACTTATCAAGATTCCACTGTATGGGCCGAAATTCCGATTTTTGAATTTTGGTGGTAAAATATCTCTTGAAAAAAGGGACCGCTACTTGGAAATCAATTGATTTGAATATTAATGAAAGTACCATGATAGGGATCAACTTGGTCATCATCTTCTTCTCCATCTTCATTCATTTCATTGATGTCTTTTTTCCTATCATTTGTTTCGTTCTGGTCTTTCTCATTTTCATCATTCGGTTGTTCTTCGCGGGAATCGTCTTTTGCGCCTAGTTCTTTGTCTCCAACTTGCTCTCCTTTATCACCTTCCTCTTCGTTTAGCTCTTTGCCATCATTTTCTTGTTCATCTTCTTCCTCTCCTTCGGAATCACTTCCCCAAACCTAAAAATCCCGATGAACAGATTGATTGAAAAAGAACACTTGCTAAAGGTAAAAATATTTCTAAAAAATGTCCAGTTCCTTACCAAAAAGTAATATACATAGGGGCACTTGCATTTTAAGTGATGTGAGTATTTAAAAACATTTCTATGGATCTCCCTTATATGACTCACATTAAAAGTATAAGATACACGTCTATGTATTGAAAAACCATTAATATCTTCATCACACTATTCAAAATGACGTTTTTAAAAAGCGCTAGGCTCATAAAAGACAAAATCATTGCTTTAAAAATATAAGAAGCTTGGTGCTTGGAAGCTTTCTAGTACATGGTAATGGGTCAGTTTTACCAGTCACAGAATCATGTTTTAAGTATTTCAGATAATGGATCAGTAAAAAATAATCTGTCCAGACACTTTTTAAATCCAGTATCAAGAAAGTTATTGTCCTCTAAAAACATAGCCTATGATATCATCCACCATGGTGGTGACCACCTTAATTTCGTCTGTGTTTGAGGTCGAGCGACCAGTGCAAATATGTAAATCCCTAATTGATGATTCCAATCTGGAAGAGACCATAGTATGCACTACCACAGTGAATGACATAATGCATTATGTTTTTCAAAGAGAATTAGATTTGTTCATATTAGATGTAAAAACTAAGTGTTAGAACGGATTTTATTACTTTTTAGTAAGCTATGAGTCTTAACTTATAAAACAAGATTCTGTGCATAGCAAAATTGACCCATTTGTTTTGGCTTTTAAAAAATAGACGAATAGTAATGTTGACGAAAACAAAGAAGAGGTAACAAAACCTTGTCAAACCCTAAATAATAATGAGAAAGAAGAAGAAAAAATTGAATTAGGGACAATAATTTAAAAACAATGAAGTGATTAGGTTTTCAATTCTCACAAAAAGAGCTATCTTATCTGGGAACTTACCCAACAGGTATTATTCTTTCCCTATTCCAAAATTGTTTACTTTATGAGGAGTATTGATGAAAAAGTCTAAGACCCCAACACTTGACTGATGGAAAATCAGTCCACGATGATTGGTTGGTTAAAACCAAGCATCGATGATGAGACACTCTACCTACCAATTGAACAAATCTATTCGCTAATTAAATTAAAGAATGCCCTACCTTTTCATCTAAAGTTTCAGCTCCCTCTTCCGTCTCTCCCATTTCTTTATCAGGTTCATCATCATCAGCGTCACTTTCACCACTATTGTCTTCATTTTCTTTCTCATCAATATCTTGCAGTTTCCCGCCAAAATCATCTGACATATCGATTCCTTTTTCTTCTTCCTGTAAAAATTTGTTCAAACCAAATTGGAGATTAAAGAGGAAAGAAAGAGAGACAGTAATCTGGCAATAATATGAAAACGTTTGCACAGTAATTTACTAAGATTTGTAAGTCTCATGGTAATTTTTTACCATCAGATTTTCTTGTTGTCTGGTTTTTACTGAAATTGCGTCACTCTGGCAGGCGCCCTATTTGGAAGATGGTAGGCCAGGCATTTGCCAGGCACTGCGTTTTGGAGTCGGACCGGGGAAACTCACTCAGTAATATGAGAGAGGAGAAAAATCGGAGGGAAATCGGAGGCAGGAGTTTCGGCGTGCTTCTCTTTTGCTTCTTGAGGAGGAAATAGAAATAGCTAATTAACTATTTCGACAACCTGATCGATAATTTTGCCCAAGTATGCAACCATAGCTACCCGCTACTTCACTAAAAGGTAAATATATATTTATACATAAAAAAAACCTTGTCACTTTTTGCCAAGCCGTGCCAAAACCTGAAATGGCGCCCCTGAACTCTGGAAAATAAATCTGCTGAAATCTCAATAGTTTTTTAAATAATCTTATTCTTCATTTACTGAATAAGTAGTTTTATTACACAAAGTATGACAGTCCTTTTTAGTGATCATTTACAAAACGACAAGGAGAGTTCATCGAGTTGAAAGATAAGAGAATGAGGACAATTTCGACTAAAACGGCTTTCTGCCTTGACTGTTTCATTGCTTACATTGCAAGAGAATCTTCACTTAAAAATATGAAATGTCATTGCTAGGTTCAATATGGATCAAACATGCGAAATTGTTTTCAAGAAAAGCAACAGATGCATCATCTCTATGGAATTTGTAAGAGTAAAAAGATGTAGGTGTTTAAATGCTTTTTATGTCCAAATGTTGCTTTGTGTCTTCAATTCTTACGCTTTTCCTGTCAAAATTGGAGAATTTTTTTTCCCGCCCAAGCAGCTTTTCTACAGATGAAACAACTACGAAATGTGACATTTTTAACTTGTCCGGTATAAAATTTTAACCAACCAGAGAATACTAGGACTCGAGTAGCTTTTCGTCTTTAAAAAGGTTCAACTTAGGAAGCTTTTAGTATTTATTCTTACTTTGCAGTCTTCGTCATTTTCTTCTTCTTTTTCACCAGGTTTCTTGGCATCCTCCAGCTGATCTTGCGATTCGATTTCCTCTGATACATCTTTCTCACCTTTACCATCTCCGAGACCCAAGCCTCCAGAAGTACCCCCTTCACCTTCACCTTCCTCTTCCAGCAACTCATCTGGTATACAGAATCCCTGAAAAATTGACCTGAAATTAGCATTTGACAACACAGAGGGAAGGTTTTGGTATTAAATTCTAATGATCTGTTGTTTGCAGAGAGATCTAATCCCTTAACTGTTATCAGTGTTGTCCTGTTGTTTGCATCTGCGTAAGCGAGGGAAGCACTGCTCCCTTCATCTTAGCCGGCTCTCTCTCTCTCTCTAAATAAATTATTCTCACAAGATTTATCTGAATCAGAGATAAAAATGTCAAATTATTGTCCTCTGCTACATGGTAAATGGAGTGAAATGTTTTCACATGATAGTCGAACTCTAGTTATCAGCAGTCAGATATGATAACCAATCACTGATATTTTGTTCTCTTGGGTGGAAAGAATGTGAAAGAAGTGGTCTAAAAAATAAACCATTCAAAGTTTCTTCATAAGAAGATTATACTCAAAAAAGTAAATTTTATCATCGTCTTGCTCAAGTTTACTTTATGTACTTACAACTGTACTATTTGCAGAAAAACGACTTATACAGTAATTTTTCGGCTAGCAGTTCATGAGTTTGGATAAACCATGGTTCCTCCAGTCCCAATTACAGTGGATAACCAGGGTTCTACTTAAGACAGAAATTTAATATTTGCAATACTGTTTGAAGATTTGTATAATCACCTTCTGGACTAGCTCCAAAAAGATTGAAGTCAGAATTGAGGACAATTTACACGATGCTCTCAAAGCTTTGACTTGCTGCGTGACAAAAAACTGTGCTGTCAAACTGAGTTGCTCAAGGAGTGGAAGACAAGTAATCAACATTCTAAAACAAAAAAATTCAAGGTTACGCTATGCAGCTATGAAAAATAAAAACCATACATGAGATCAAGAGATGATTATGATGGAGAAATTTCTTTACTGAGGATTATGCACATTAATCTTAATTTAATTGAACCATTAAGGGCAGAAGTTTAAAAAACCAATTTTTAGAAATAAAAAGAAGACTTCTTGCAAGATATACATTTATAAAAATAAACTGAACCATTCTGCAAAGCAAAAGACCATTCTTATAGAGTCATAACAGAGAAATGAACAGAAAATTTTGTAGCCCTGGGGACTTTTTTGAACAGTATACACATTGTGTAATTCTAACAGTCTACGACTAGTTTTAAGTTGGACAACACTAGCTTTCTTCAGGACAAGAAAAGACTAACAAACCTTTTACAGTCTCTGCCTTCTTCCGAATCATACATAGTTGTCAGCTGCTCCAACAAAGATCCTAAAGTCTTGTTAACTGCTTTTAACTCTATAAGAGCCATGTCACGATCCAATGAGGCTATAATTTCTTCAGTCAAATGTTGATTTTTTAAGTTTAGAACTTCATCATCTTCACCTTCATCATCTGAAGGGTTCTCCTCTGTTTTTTCTTCTTCAAAAACACAGAACTTCTTATAAAGTTCTTGAACTGTGAGTAACAACTTATGTATCAGCTTGCTCAGTTTTGATTTGAACCCTTCACCAAAGTCACTCTTGATCGAACTGAAAGTATCACTTTCAAAATCATTGTACTTCTCCAAAAACATAGAGATTTTGTCTCTCAAAGCTGCAATGCCAACTGTCAGTGGACTATCGCATGTTTCCAGCGAAAAGAGGTTGTGGATTTCTGCGACACCTCTCTGAACGTCGGACAACGTTTTCAAGTGGCAAGTGATGGTTTCTCTTGTTTCATTGGAGACAAAGGCAAATTCAGCAAAATAAGACGGCGGAAGAGTTCTGCTGAGCTCCTTCTTCATCGCTTTCAATTGAATAAGGAGAGAGTCAACAAGGTGATCCACTTTCCGCCACAGTACATCATCTTTGGTGACCTGAATCATGACAGGCTCACCAAAGTTTTTCAGGCGGATTGACAATATTTCATCTTGATTCTCGCTCAAAGACTGCGCTTCAGGACAAACATTCATGAGGACCTTGAAACCTTGGAGACAGTATATTGCATTGTTTAGGAGATCCTCATAGTCTTCCTGAAACAAGTACAACATTTTAAAATATGGTTAAGAAAGCACGCTATGAGAGAGTATCAAACCACAAAAATATTTTTCGAGTAAAGTTGATGGGACAAAAAGTTTGCAGCACTATGTTGAAATCAACAAAATGATACAAGCGATTCAGACAGCAACTGAAGCATTCAATCTGAACACATGTATGGGGAAAAAGGACCTTGGTTCACTGAGAAAAATATTAAGTGCAGAGGTATTTGCCTAGTTGGATTGAAAAATCAGCTAATGAGATTTTAACCGAAGACTCTCCTTAGATTGACACTTACTTTTCTTTTTCGCCCGATGAATTTCGAAAAATTTCGAAGGATTTCGGAAAAAAAAAAAAAAAAAAAAAAAAAAAAAAATTCATCGGGCGAAAAAGAAAAGTAAGTGTCAATCACGTAGCTCCCGATTAAGAAACAAAGGATTAGTAACTCTCCTTAGAATTCTACAGAATATGCTGGGAGTGGTTTGATTCATCAGAGAAAAAAGATAGAGGAAATAAGTTCATGAAAAATTACCATTAATAATGAAACCACACTAAAAGGGTGATATCGAAGAAGATGCACCACCATGAAAAAGATTTTAAAGAGCAAAAAACTTAACACAAAAAAGCCCATTTTTTCAGCGAACCATTTAGTTTTCTTAATTTTCTTTTATGTTGTTGGAATTCTTAAATTCAGTAACTTTAACCATCTCCAAGCATACTAAAAAGTAATAGACATTGCGTTGATGATCCTCAGATTTACTTCCTTGCAAACTTTAAGGTCTTCCTCATCGGTAAATTCGAAGCTCTCAGAGTGCTTATCATTTCGTTCCTACCTTTTGCTGGATGAGAACAGCTTGTGGTGCAACCGCTCCTTTTTCAGAGCTGTCTTTCATTCCTGCGATTAGAGAGACCAAGCAACGTAACTGACATAAGGCGTCAAATGCTTCCGTAACACTGCATCGCTGCTTCAGTGTCAGGTTCACAAGATGATTCGGGAACCCTTGCAGGCGGTCTCTGAAGTAAGGAGTATTCATTGACTTGTGGGCACCTCCGACAGCTTTCCTCAGTTGAGAGTGCCGTGCTACACTTTGCAAGAAGTAATGCTCACATTTGTCCCAAGAGGCCAGTAACTCATGATCTGCACACCTGGAAATCAATTGATTGGTAGTAATAACTCACCATTTTAAGCTTTTCATATTCATCTTTAAATGAGTTTGAAACATAGATGGAAGAGGCATGGGTGAAAGTGTTAAAACATTCTGTATTAAGTATTTTGTTCACGTTGCAAAGGAATCAGGATTTGCAAAATATTGAAAAAAAAAATACGAAAAAGGAGTTTGGAGACAAGAGTGCTTTCCCAGCATGTTCTGCAAAAATTTAAGGTCATCATTCTCACCATTTTCTGCCTATTCTAAAAAAAGTTGCTGGACAATTGATTGGTTTTGTGCAGAGGGGCTGTTCATAAAATACATAACCCTAAATTTCAGATTCTCCCATCCTCCTTGTACCACTTCTGTAATGTAGGCTCCTATCCTTCAACACGTAAAAATAAGATTACATAACCTTCTCCTCAACCCCCCCCCCTCCGCCTTAAAGCTTTACATATTTTATGATCGACCCCCAAAGATGTTCAATGTCCAACATATTGTTTCAGTACAATCGTAGCGATTTAAACTAATCTGCTACGCTCAGAGCATTAAATTATTTTTTTAAAAGCTAGATAAGTATTAATAAGATATTATTAAAGACAGCAACTTAGTATATCAGTAATGTAAAGCTAATTAAGTCTTGGCAATTCTGAAAAAAAGGCGATAGACTTCAAACATTTTTGCACAAGTTGTATTGATTGAGAGGGAAATTGGTTCGAGGAATCTGAACAAAATCAAACTAGAGGGCGGGCTCTACTGTTTATAGAATCCAGCTTTTCATTGCTGACGTGCTGGTATCACTTCAAACATTTCTTAGTAAGAAAATTTGAAATAAATTTGTGCTTTACCTCGTTCTTAAATTCTGTAGTGAGTTATTGATACTGAGTGGCGCTGAGCGGGTGAATTCAAGAGGGACATTGATCTGGTCTCCATACATTACTAAACCAGCTTGGTAGCTCAATCCAATTTTCTGGAGGGCCTTGAACAAATCGATAATAGCTTTGCGCTTCTGTTGGTGAATACTCTTAGCTTGCGATTTCTGCTTCTCTTTTGAGAGATTCATGTCCACATCCAATGCTCTTAGTTCCTCAGCTGACTCAATGATTATCGTCGTTAAGTTGTCCACAGTCTGGGACAACGTTGGATATGAAGTTGACAAAAACGTCCGCATACTAATTTTATTAATTTTTTGTAGGACATTATTTGGTAAAACTTCTGTCAATTTCGAAAACTGATCTTGGAAAATTTGAGAGAAGAGCTCAACTTCATCCTGTTCTGAAATTTTGACATAGTTTGATACATTGGTCTCAATCATTGGAGAGGGTGCTTTTTTGTTTTTGTCCGCATCAGGAGAGTGTAACATAGCAGTGGCAACTGACTCTTGTAGAGTGGTCTGAAACATTAAAATTCGATTATCAGAAGCTGGAAAACTTGAAAATATGATCAAAGTAAAATATGTCTACAGGAATTCGGGAATAACTTTTTTGATTTTCATACATAACTATAGCACAAAAATGCCAAAAAGTGCCAAATTCTAAAATAGAAAAATGTATCAATGTATATCAAATTCTAGGAAGAAAAAATAAAGATTGAGACAAACGGTAGCCTGAAAATTAAGCTTCACATGAGGAAGTTTTAGGGAAATTAAAACACATCACTCAATTTTTCAATTTTATAAACAGGGACTTGGATCCTAAAAACAACAGAAAAAGCAAATTGAATTTCAGAATTTTGAGACATAATATCCTGCAGAGTTTCCGGCGCAAGGTAAGATGTTAATGATGAGCTCGCTTGAACTATCTTCAAGAGAACATTAACAGAAAACTGGAGTTTTCAGCTCTTTTATTTCTATTTTCAAAGGAAGAAAAGGCATTGCTGCTGCAAAACTACTGCATAAAACTTGATCTTCACCTGATATTTTTTGATGCATCTATGAAGGAAACGGTGAGTTTTCTTGACAGTTTCTTTGACGGTCCAATAGTTTGTATCATTCCAGCGAGCGATTTTGATGAAGTCACTCAACTCTTTCTGGACTGGAGCACTGAGCTCTTTGATTCTGGCACGAACTTCCGACAAAAACTGAGAGTAGAATGAGTGTAAATTCCAGAATACAAAAGATGCGCTAGTCTGCTTTTCAGATGATGGCATGTTGTTAGTGTGACAGTGAAAAACGTACAATAGATCCAACCGAGGCTCAAAGTCTCCTAGCGTGGCACTTTCGATGAATTTTTGGACTGTTTCGACAAAAGCTTTGAACTCAACTTCTGGAGAGTTCGAGTCAGGGTGAATGTACGCAGAGGTGAGGGAGTAGAGATGGAACCACCACTTACTGGCACTATTCTTCATTCTGCATCAGAGAAAGAAAATTCAATAAATCCATTGTATCTCTTAGTATCTTAGTTGTGTTGTTTCAAAATTTCCACTTTTATTTTATTTTTCCAAAGAGAAACAACCCGACTTTACTTTGTGGCTTGAAATTTGTACAGAATATTCTACTGATAAAGAGGAAAAATCGAGGAAGTTTCCGAGAAATTACGATGACTAGTTTCCCAAAGAAAAAATTAAGTATGCTAGGAACTTAGCAACATCGCAAACGGAGATTTGTGGTTTTACATTTATCATTAGATTCAATATGATCAACTAAGAACTTCTATTCAACTTACAGAGTAGTTCAAATTATTTGAAATATTGTACATGAATATATATTGAAAATGACGGGAAATTGAGAGTTTTTTGGGGAAAAATTGTAGGGGACTTTCAAAGCTTTGAATCAACTGGTTGGTCTACTTCAAATTAAGTTGGGAATGAACCAACCAAGAAGAATACAACACTTGGGATTTTTTTTAATTTTAATGTTCCATTCAATATCTAGTTGAAAAAGTTGTAGATTGAGCACTGTATCAACCTTTTCTGTGAGATTGAGAGAACAAATTTGAAACCACACATCAAATGTTATTATTTTTTGCTTACTTTTCAGAGACATTTGACAGGGAGTTCTTCCAGCATTTCAGTTCCAGCTTCCTCCACTTAAAAATCTGAGCAGTGATTTCCTGTGACTCGTTCATCAGACTGACACCAGAGTGCGCAACTTCTTCCCACTCATGAGTTTTATTGAGTAACATTTCAAAACCAGTTAAAAACCTCGCCACTGGGCTTGCAGCAGAGAAGTTTAAGATCCTATCGGCAATTTGTATTACCTAAAATAGAGCATGGATCAATTAAAAATGAAAACTTTATTTATGATAACATGCAAATTTTGAGGAAAAACCTGATTCGTCTCTGTGTAAAGGTTAAAGGGATAGATTACGATAACCCGCTGTTGATGAGGGATTAGGGGTCCTTAAGAAATTTTTATTTTTTTTTATTGACAGTAGGTATCTCAGGTCTAGCACACTGTACTTCAGTGAAACTGGATACAATTAAAGTAGCATACAACATGCATTGACTATCCTTTTGCCCCCTTCCATCCCTTCCCCAAGTCTACGCCATTATTTGTCTCACGTTCTGTTTAAATGCACAGTTGGGTCTATATGGATTAACAAAAGCAGAACTTTTTCTGCGAATATTTCAACAGGTCTGTTAAGAATGTATTAAAATCATTCAGTGAGGTTAGTTGTTAGACCGTTTGACCGTTATGATTTTTTAATGAGTTTAGCCTATGTAACCACCATAGCAAACAGGAAATTTGATGGATCCCCTCATTTCCTTCCTCTGCAGGAACCCAGAGGGTTGGCAGGATGAGGTAAGTTCTAGGCATCCACATTTTGATAAACCGATCAGAAACTTTGGCCCCAGGGGGTATCGGCTGATTAAGCTATTATTGGATATTCAATAAAAAACTTACACTATTTAGGGTTGGATGTTCCGGCCACTCTTGAAGTAATAAATTCACTCGTTTTTTGACAGTTTCCAGCACTGGGATGCATTCTTTGATTTCTATGATATTAGAGTCATGATAAAAATTATATGTCTTGGCTGAATCATTTTTCCTCAAGGCATTGTTGCTGATGATATTTTTTGCAGAGTGCGTCAAGAACAAAAGACTTGGCAAAAGCTCCCGATCAAATGAATAATCCAAACTTTGGTGATAGCGTGAGAAGAGGATTGAAAATACGTTAAATCTATAATCAGACAAAAAAATTGCATATTAACGAATGAGTTAAAGGTTAAAAAAGTTCACAAGAATTTTCAAGTAGATGAATCTTGTGACTGATATGGGTATCATTAGGTTCAAGATGTTTCTTGAAAAAAGGCTTAGCAAATGAGGTCAATCCTCTATGCAACAGGTCCATGCCACAATGTGTGATTTCATTATTCTTTAAATCTGAGCAATAGTGCAAAAGGGTGTCTACAAACGTGAAGGAAACAAATTCCCCGATTTTTCCAAGTTTTTCTAACCAAAATTATCAAAATTCTCCAACTTTTTACAGCAACAATTAGCATGGCGTAACACTGAAAAGGAAAGATTTTTGGCATCAATTGCACTTCACCTTAAATTAATCATCCATTAGACTCACCTTAAATTAATCATCCATTAATCTTATAGTTTCTCTTTACAATGGATGCACTTTTTTCTACTTATAATTTATTATAATGAGTAACTATCATGTTGTTACTTTTTCTATACATTATCTATAATTTAAATTAATTGTTTATATTTCTGTATTGGAAGCTAACAATATATCATATCTTTAAAAATCAATTTCGCTGGAAATGGAAGAAACAAGTGAATCTTTTCTCTTCACATATTAATCATTCAATTAAAGGACTTTGCTATTCCTTGCAGAGAATTATTCCAATTTTCACTTTTAACAGTGTGACTTAGAGCACTGCTGCCGTGATAGTAAAGAGAGCTGTAAGAGCACTCCTGTGTGAGCCATGGTTAGCATGTGCTCTTATGTGTCACGAGGCTCATTTGAGAATGCACTTGCGGCTCTCTTCTCTATTACGGCAGACTGAATCCCGAGCAAGACTGAGACTGCATTTGACTGCGTGGACAGCTCTGATGTTTTGTCTAATTTTGAGTATCAATACTAACCAAATTTCCAGACTTTATTGTGCAATTCCCTAACTTCTCCCTCACTTCCCTGACCTGATAAAACGCCCAGATAATTCTCTGTTTTCCATTCTCTGTTTATATACACCTTCAGAAGGAGCTTTGCTTGATATGGCATCAACCTTGAAGATAAATAACTCGTCTAAAAAAAGTCTAACAATATCTTTTCCGATAAGATGGTCTCAAAATTTGGAGATCCGACTTTATAAATTGCTTCCAAGCAAGCAAAAAAATTTCAGTTTTAAGGGAAAATTTTTTAAAGAATTTTTTACCTACTTGATTCTCATTAAAGTGTAAAGATATGGAATAATCTTACGGTGGAAAAAAAAATGACAGGCAACTTACAAAAATATGAAAGATTTTTGGAGAATTTTATGTTTTGAATACTCTTAAATGCTAAATACACTCAAGAAAACTCTTCAAAGAGGCTCTACATGATAATTAATTTACAGAGAACTCACTTAAAATATGATAAAAAATAAAAACAATTTACCTGTCTATGAATGGTCCCATGAAATCTTTTTCTGTGATGTCGTTTGTTAAATTTGATGGGCCAGTCCAGAAGGAATGAGTGAACTGCATCATTAGTTTTGAATGGATCTGGCAGATTTCCTGGATACACTCATCAGTTAGTTTTGTCGATGTATTGACAGAATCAAGTTTCAAGGGTTTGGGAGGTTCTCTGCTGTCTAGAACAGCAGTAGTGGACATGTCATGGAAGTCGACTTCATCGTACGAAGCAAACAATTGTGACATTTCTATAGCCGCTTCCTCATCATCCGTTAAAGATTTAGCACAAGTTTTGACTCTAAAAAAAAGGAAGAAAAAACGGATAAAGACGGCAAAAGATATTGCATCTTAGCAGAGTAAAAAACAAAACTCGAAATTTAGCATGCGCCGAATTTCTTAGTATTCTAAACTTAGTTATTTCTTGTATTTATTAGAGTTTTCCCATCAAATTACAGTCTTGGTATTTTTTCCACTCTTACCATAACCCCAGAGCTCTTTGGATATTGATTATTATTGTCATTCAGATAACCCTTCTTACTATCTTCACTTACAAGGGGAGGCTACCGATTGTCCCCCTCAGATCGGGTTCAAATTTGGCAGAGAGGTAGAATAGGTTAATATAAGAACCCGTATTTTTTTTTAGGTGCCAATGCCCAGCCGTTTTTGAGTTATGAATTTTTGAAGTTGCCGTTTTTTCGTGTCAGCGACGCGCTCAAGTTGAGCCTACTGTGCGCGCACCTTTTAATGCGATCCGAATGTCTCAGAGTTTATGTGAGACAGATATTCAAGCGGTAGCGCGCTCGCCTATGGTGCTGCAGGCTCGGAGTTCGATTCTTGTTCCGCGACTTTGATTTTTATAATTGATTATTTTGTTTTTTAATCGCTTCATCACAAGAAATTGTAAGTCACCTTGTAGACGTTGTGATGCTAATTATGTTTTTTTCCTTTTTTGTCAAACACTCATTAAAAAAAAAAAATATATATACATAAAATAATTAGAATCATAACGTCTACAAGGTGACTTACAATTTCTTGTGATGAAGCGATTAAAAAACAAAATAATCAATTATAAAAATCAAAGTCGCGGAACAAGAATCGAACTCCGAGCCTGCAGCACCATAGACGAGCGCGCTACCGATCGGACAACTGTCTCACATAAACTCTGTGACATTCGGATCGCATTAAAAGGTGCGCGCACAGTAGGCTCAACTTGAGCGCGTCGCTGACACGAAAAAACGGCAACTTCAAAAATTCATAACTCAAAAACGGCTGGGCATTGGCACCTAAAAAAAAATACGGGTTCTTATATTAATCTGTTCTACCTCTCTGCCAAATTTGAACCCGATCTGAGGGGGACAATCGGTAGCCTCCCCTTGTTAGCAGTACTTGAAAAAATGGAATGTTTACTTTTACAAGCACAGATAAGCTGATCATAGAAGTTTACGCTAGTTTTTAGACAGAATTTTGTTTTTAACGATTTCAGACCCTTGTTGATAAATGGAGGAAAGAAGATGAAGGATGTGCAGATCTACCAAACGCTGGTGCTTTCTTACAGGCAGAAAATACAGTTATAAAGTTGCATGGCTTTATACAGTTATTATTCTGTAAGTTAGAGATCTTTATAAACGTAGAAGGAAACTTACTTATAAAGACTTTCTTCTTCCTGTTCCTTTTGTTTTTTCTCCTCTTCTTGCTTCTGCCACAAATGAACAAGGTGCGCCAATATTTGGTTCATCTCCTCCCACAATCTGTTACTTTTGAGACTGCTCAAAGTGTTGACAACAAGGTAGATCTCTTGCAAACTGCATCTGATCAAACTGAAAGTGACATTCAGCTGTTGACTGCAATGCCCTGCCTTCAAAGCCTCGTCAAGCAGGAGCAACGTTGATTTGGAGGTGCACAAATTCGTGATGTTCCAAGCTTCTTCAATGGAATGCTGCGGAAATTTGGCTAGACATGACAGTACTGGCTGAATGTCTGTGCAGGAGACCGTATGCTTCTGTTTTGCTATAAGCTCCGCTCTGATGAGCGATTTCTTCAGAAGAGAGGACAAAAGACTCATACCATGCATCACCTGAAAAGGAAAGGAATAAATTTGTACGTCATAAGTCTATGAAGAGCTACTGAACTACTGATTTTACGTCACTTGGAAAAAGCCAACATTATTAAAGCATCGATGTAGATGGCTATACGAACTTCTTTCATTAAAAAATTTGTATACCTCTAGTGTAACTGATACCAACAGTTTATTACACATTTCTTGAACTGGACAGCTCTCAATAAGCCTTTTCTCAGCTTACAAAGATATTTAACAACAAGCCAAAAATGCTACAAAGAAAATAAGTTACTTTAACTTGAATTATTGCGTACCTGATTTTGTGCGTATTGGATTGGAGTTATGATGTCTCGGTACCAATATCCGTAGTTCTTCATCACTTGATTGTAGAACCGTTGAGTGGATGTTTGCCAGCTCTGATGTTCTTTCAACAACTGCCTCGCTTCTCTTATCAAAGAGAGATTTCCATAATTTTGTGGCAATTTTTGATAGCATTCCACCATCCTCTCACTTAGTTTAGACACACTGCTGCATGAACCAAGTGTCGAAAGAAAATGCTGGAGCTCTTTGGAGAGGATGTTGTAAAGTGGAGGTTGAGGACGGAGAGCAATTCTTTGTTTCAGGCTGTTCTGGTGACTGGCTAAGAATGACTCCTGCTCATGAAAATGAGACAAGAATGGGAAGCGATTGGAAGTATCACACACTTTACTTTGCAGCTCTTCGGCAAGAAGTGTGTTTTGAATGTCTTCAAGCTAAAAAAAAAAAAAAAAAAAAAAAAAAAAAAAAAAAAAAAAGTATGATTGAAGAGGAAAATTTAACTTGAAAGATAATCTAGGTCCACGAAGAACATCCTGGGAGGTTAAGATTCATTTCAAAAATTTCTGCTACGGACTATGTTATAGGAGTGAAAGTAATGTACATAAGTGGTGTGTCACAAGTTGGAAATGTTGATTGGAAAAAATTAATTTTCGTTTCATTCATTATAGAATATGCTTTTATTTTTCATTTTTTGTTTGATATTATTGTATAAGAGTTGAACTCACGTCTACTCAAATGAAATCTATTGCAGGGATAATTATTTACTAAAACTTGCATTGAAATGAGCGCCATTGTACTACATATATTCACATTGAATTTTTCATCTTTTTTCCAACCGTGCACAAACTTCTATTTGAAAACTCCGTATTCAAGCTTCTAGATATTGTGCATGGATATCATTTAAGATTTGAAAGAAAGGAAAGAAATTTTATAAAAGCAAATTGATACATTGACCATTTGTTCAGTTCAGGTCAAATGATGGACATTTTTAAGTGAGTTTCTCTGAAATGCACTGAAATAACACTTTACCACTCTGACTTTTATCTTACTAAGATGAGACACTGAGAAACTCATTTCGGTATATGAAATACTCCAAAAAAAAAAAAAAAAAAAAAAAAAATTAACTGTGCATTTATCAGTGGTTATTTTGTACTTAAAACAGTACATGGTACACCAATAGCAGGTAGTAAAAAATGATCATCAAAAGAGTAAAATTAGATATTGAATTAAAAACATTTGTTTCCAGTTCATGCATATCAGCATTTCAATTCAACAAGCCAATCGCTCGTTCACTAATTGTAGGATTACTTGGGCATTGACAAAGGAAATACGATTACCTAGACATATCCTGAAAGGTATCAAACACATACATACATATATATTTAATACCTATTAATATATATTTTATATTTTCTAACATATGATGGACCCAATGTCACTACCAAACTTCTGAAACTCTTTGCCTCTCTTAATTTAAAAATCTAAATTTTTGTATATACACCCATTTTCCAAATTCTTTGTAAAGACGTTAATAGCCTATGACGCTGAATGTCTTTAAATAAATTAACTGACTAACTATTTTATATTTTGATTTTTGCCTTGCATTTCCACAACTTTTTGCTGAATATAGTAAAATTATGAATAAAAGAAGAAAAAAATGAAAGTGCCAGGATTGTCAACTTACTTCTTCAGTGGCATACTTGAGCTTCAACAAATCCTTTTCAACTGGGTCGACAGACTCAAGGTATGTAAAGGAGAGAAGCTGAATTAGTCCAAGATTTATCCAACTTTTGCAGATATACAGCCACTTCTCATCTCCAGCTTTGGTTTCTAGTTCAGTAACACTGGACTGTAGCAACTTAAGATGATTTTGAAGATCATTGACACTACTGTTGTTTTTCATTTCTCTAAAATTGATGGGTCTTTTCTGTGAAATTTTCGAGGACCCAGAGTTCATTTGTTTGGCGAATTCTTCAAGCTGACTGATACACGACTCAATGCTCCTTGAAAATTTTTCAGGACTCTGCAACTCTTTCAGCTCAGCTTCTGGATTCAAAACTGAATGCAGTGACAGAATGAAATGTTGACTACTTTGGCGCAGCAGAACCTCTTCGGTTTTGATGCTGTCAAAGAGATCATGGGCAAGCGCCATCTTGTTCCGCCAGAGAATCCTTCCAAGCTGATTTAGCATCGAAACTTTGGTGGAAAACTCTTTTAAAGCAGAACTTGCAATTACAGAGTAATTCCTTTCTGATAAATCCGACAAAATCAATTCAACAACAAACACACTTAGAGATGGACCGAGAGATGACAATTCATTGTCATTTTTGTCTTCATCAACAGTGTCAAGGTAAATATTTTCAACCTGGTCTTCAGAGCTCGGTTTCTTTTTGTTCCAATTGAGCCAAAATTGATAATTATTTACAGCTGGTGAAAATCGACTATGTTCAAGTAGTGAGTTCAGGATTTTCAGCTTGTGGTCAGCACCTCTACCGCTCGCAACGACCGAGTTGATGAGAGAGATTATGTCTGCTGGCATCGAGGGTAGAAGTTTGATTGCTGCTGAAATAAATTCTAGATCATCTTCGCTCAAGAGATGCACTAGATCACAAGGCTCTAAATTTTCAGTTTCAGATAGGTTTAAAAAGATCCGACAAAGTTTGTTAAGTTTCAAGGCAAAAAACTCTTGGATAGGCCACATCTGAACATTTGGGATGGCAAGAGGTTTATTACAATTCTCGTCATTCGTTGGTTCTGGATTCAAGATTTTGAAAAGTTTGTCTGCTTCTTTGGCGAGCAGCTTTGCTTTGGTTAGATCTTCTCCGAGTACAGCTTCATACATAGCACTTGCTACTTTGTGCAGTTGTCTCCACTCTAGAGTTGCTATCATCTCCATTTTGCTTTTCAGTTTGAGAGTCTGAACATCTATATTGGGGTCAGTTGGCCAAATTGATGTGAATTCGTTTACCTTTACAAAAACAGATAATACTTCAGCCTCTTTCTCACTAGCAATTGGCAGCGGCTCTTTCATTTTTCTTCTTAGTTCATTCATAATACTGAGAAGAGGAGGTGCTACATAATTTAGCGATGCATCTATCGTTTCTACTAAAGTGAAGAACTCTTTTATGACAGGTAAATTTGACAGGCTTGGACTTGAAATCAACAAATCCACAATCTTAGGGATTAGGTTTTTCAGGACCCATTTGAAATGAACAATCAACAATTGCAAAACATCTTCTGATGCTGTTTTCTTCTTGTCTCCGGACTCGAAGAGTTTTAAGGATCCTTGACGCATGAAGCGATGTCTCCAATTTAGAGCAGACAACAACTCACCAGCAGCGACAGTTGACAGCTTGATTTCATCTGAGGACAGAACTGCCTCAATTACATTGTCCAACCCTGCGACAAACTCATAGAACTTTTCGATGATTATTTCGCTCACTGAAATATTTGTTACAGTGCCTTGCAAAAAAGCATAAGAGAAAAGAGCAACAGTCATTTCTTTCCACTTTTGTCCGGTCAAGCACAAGTCCACACTGTCCTTCAAAAACTTTTCTCCGACTTTGACGAGTGTGAAGTTCATGAGTAAGAATAATTTGTTTTCGCTTGACCACATTCTTCCTACTTCACCGAGTTGATAACGTCTAATATCGACAGGGAGGAGTTTCCGATCCATGTTAATTTTTGGGCATACAAAAGACCAATCCTCTGCACGAGCCAAAGCATTACTAAGGCTGTAACAAACTTCACAAACAAGATTGAAATACTCCTTAATCCTGCCATCACCTTTTGATAATCCTTCAACTGTGTTTTGCAAGACAAAATGTCTCAATCGATAATCAAGCATTGTTGCAGAACTGAAATAAGACAGTAAAAGTTTCATGATGATGTTTAGAATTTTAACATAATATTTCTGGTCAAAGTTTTCATTTTCTTGCTCATAAATTATTTTTAGGAAGACATTCATATCCAGTTTTAGCTCGAATAAAATCGGATCATCTTGAGTGGCAGCAAGATCTGGCAAAACTTGTAATAAAGTTTCTAGGAGCGATGATTCACGTTTGACTACAGCTAGTCTGGAGTCATTCTGCAACACTAATGTTGATAACGTGCTATTTGAGAGATTGAAATAATTCCGTAGATTTTTCCGGAACACATCGTGTTTTACTATGCGCATATTTTCTTGTGCCAAGTATACTTTGCAAGTTTCTAAACTCTGTTTTAATGCTTCTTTTGCAGCTTCCTTCTGCTCAAAATTCAAAGACCTTGATTTGACATAAACTTCAGTGCAACTTGTTTCTAGCGCATTTAGAAATGAAAAGCCTCTTTTCCAAGACTGCACTAGCAAGAATGCAACATGAAGCAAATGTGTGATAGACGGAATGTCGAATCCACCTCCTACTTGCTTCATAACATTGTGAACCATTAACAAGCAATGCCGCTGCTCAAATTTTTCAATACCAGCTTTGTTCAAAAGAGCAGCTAAATCTAGTTCATTCAGCTCACTGTTTTCATCTAACAGAGATAGTTCCACACCACGATTTCGCATAGCCCTCGAGATCTCACCATATTGTGGATTCATTGCCAGAAATAGTCGGAACTGCGGATGCGGCTTGATAATTGGCACAAGTCCATTGTTGTCCACGCCTCGTTCTCCTATTGTCAAAACACCATTTGGTTCCAGAAGCCCATTTAAACGATCTAAAACTGCTGGACTACAGAGATTGACATTGTCTATCAGCAGCCAGCTTCCATCTTTGAGACACTTGACTAGCACACTGTCGATCCATTCAAATTTTCCGCCAGCATTCAAGCTCCCAGTTTTTTTCACATTTGCTTCAAGCTCTTTTAACTGAGATGTTAATTTGCAAATTACAACAGTGCGATTCGGAACAACATTTTTTAAATGCTCCAATACAGTTCCAAGTACTCTTAAACGTTCAGAGAATAGAGCTGTTTCAGATGCAAGAGTGCTAGATAGAAGGTTTTTGTTGGACATTTTCCGGAATTTTGCCCATAAACAGAGGAGTTTTTCAGGAACCTCTTTAGTACTAATGACGATTTCTTGTGTGTGTTTTAAGACAAGCCTCTCCACTTGGTTGGAAATGAAGTCAAGATGTCTTCCGAAGTCTGCTTGCTCAAATCCGCCAAGAATTTCCATTGTGTCCATTGCGGAATTTACGGACAGAACATGAAGTTGTTTGTTGCAAAGCTGCGCAAGCACTTTAACGATACTGCTCTTTCCACTCCCGCTGTCACCAATCAAGATTGGCATCCAATTCATTTTAACACAAACCGCCAATGACCGAATGGCACTGATCTGCTGTCGGAGAATGAGAAGATCTGAGTCTGAGTCGATCACTGAGGCAATTATTCCACTTTCAACAATGCCCTCATCTGTGATTTCATCAGGATCATAACGACTTAGGACTACATCTTCAAATATCACTTTGTCTTGGGTGATGACCAAACGTGGAGTTTCCACTTGTAGTGGGAATTCTTCTCCGAAAATTTTTTCGTACAAATCCAAAACCTGAAACAAAGTGATACCTTTGAAATCCAAGTTATAATTTGAATCACCTCAACTAAACTTATAAGCTATTAAGGTATGTCAAATATTTACTTAATCATTCTTTTTCCATTTAGAACCATGTTCATGGCAAGACTTAGAAACTATGAAACTCAATGAGCAATGACAGTGTTTGCAAATTTTGGTTTCAATTATATTTTTTGGAGCGGTAGCAAGCCAAACTTTTGGCTTGAAATTTTCATAAAAGTTTTTCAAACAGGGAAAAAATTTTTTTTCAAGAAATTGCAAGGTTAGTTTTCAAAGTATAAAAAAAAGTAAGACGGGAAGTCTGCAATGTTGCAAGTCGAGCTTTAAGGTTTTTGATTAAAGAAATTATTAAGCCATTTTGAAAACTTTACATGACAAAATTCAGCTGGACACTCACCTTTTGTCGATCAGAGGATGTTCTCATTCGACCTGCATAGAGAAGGGAAACATACTTTCCTGGACAAAGGTCTGCTGAATCAAAGTAGTAGGTCACGCTTAGCCACCTACTTAAATCACGTAAATTCATTTCCCAAGGTGCACCTCGAAAAGCCCATTTGATACCACATTCTGCGGCGAGTTGACTGTTGAAGTCGACCATCTTACGTAAAAGACTAGTGGGAGTGCATGGATACAATGACAAGCAAATTGCATTGAGATCTGAATCAGTCAAAGGTTCCATGAAAACCTACGCCAAAAAAATTTTTAAAAATGTAGAAACCTTCACCATAAATATTTGATGGAAACATAAGTACAAATAAGAGATTGTCTAAGAGCTGTCCAAGAATTACATAACACCCTGAAAGGTGCAAGGGTCTTCATGATTTTGTTACGGAATGTTACAAGGAGTAGGAAGGTGTCAAGCTCAGCAATACATGACTATACGTCAACATCTTTTTCTACTCTTATCATAGAATTTTTCATGTGCATTTTTCACATTTATTTATCTACCATTATTTGCTAAGATAAATGTATTTCTAAATTCAATATGTTGGATATCCATTTTTCAAATTATTTTTGAAATTCATGCATTGGCCTTCTTGATTCATCATGGCCGTGTACACGCTTGTTCTGAATTTTTTGGTGAAAAAAAAGGGGGATATTTTGACTAATAGTACAGGTTTGTTACAAGGGGTGGAGCAGGAATCTGAGTGTTGGATTAATAGTATTAAGTGATCTAAGGACAGCTCTTTATAATGGAAAAAAAGAAAAATTATGCTTGGAGTTTGATTCTGCAAAAATAGTGGCGTGAAGGAAGTGTGTAGAAGACATTCAGCATTTGTAAATCGCCCTTGGATATTTTTATTATAGGAGGGCATCACAACTTAATTTTTCAATACAGATCACAGAGGAAAGCCCAGTTGACACTGCTGCTGTAATATTCGATAAGTGATCTATCCTGAATTTGGCACTGTGGGTATTGATGGATAGAAAATCAAAGGATACTTCCACTTTAATGCTAGTTTTTTTAAGAAAACTTTGAGGCTTTAATCAAATTTTTAACTACAAAGTTTTCTAGTCAATTTATTCATCTTGAGACAAACACCAATAAACCAATTAAATGTGGGAGAAAATAGAAGCTGAGCATTAGAGCTTACCTGCGTGAATCTGTTTAGGAAGGATTTGGGCAAGCCTCGCCGAGCACCACCTTGACTCAGAGGATTTTGACATGCAAAAAGTCGAGTTTGCCCCAGCGAAACATTGAAAGTTTTACCCAGTTCAGGGATGAACAACTCTCCTCGGTGATCTAATACAGCATTAAGACCTTCAAGCACTGATTGTGATGCCAAATTCAACTCGTCGAGTAAAATCCAGTCGCCATCTTTCAGTGCTTTCAAAAATGGGCCATCTCTCCACTCAAAGTGACCTCCTTCTCCACCATCTACTGGGAGGTCAGCACCAAACAAGTCAGAGACATCCGTTTGTTCAGATAAATTTATTCGCACCAGTGAGTGTCCTGAAGCTTGAGCCAATGCCTGGACCAGTGTTGTTTTGCCAACTCCAGGACTACCCTCTAATAAGATGGCACGGTTTGGAATTTGGAGCGAGCGCAGCAAACGAACTAAATTTAGGTGAGTGGTCCCTGCTGTAAAGGAGTAGTTTCCTACGATTTTAGTGGGAAGTTTTCCTTTCCTTATAAAAAACGGCCAGATCCCAAAATACTCGTTAGAGCTTTGCACATCTGCACATTCATCTGGTAAAACTGCTGACTGAAGTTCAAGTAAAGATGTGGCACTTAAAGATGGTTTCATTTGATCTATAACATAATTGACCGCAACTTGGCGAAAAGTTTTCACTGCTGCAATGTTATCAATACCTGTCAGACCAGAGCCAAGACTGTCCAGTAAAGTTAAGCATGCACCATGTACAAAGGCATAAGATGGCTCGAGAGGTGATGTCATTAGCTTGTGGTCTGTTGTCAAGTTGATAAAACGGACCCAAGTTAAAATGTCTCGAATGCTAACAGTCAACCTCTTACCAATACTGTTTTTTTGAAGCCACGATAAGAAATCAAGCATGTGGCGACCTAAATCTTCCTTACTTTCATGTACTTGAGATCTGATATTGTGCGTAATTATTTGAAGAAGGTCAGCCTCTTCTGAACAAGACTCGCACCAAATTTCAGTGAGTCGATTCCGCAGGGCAGGGGATAACTCTTTCTTTCCATAATCTCCACCAGGGTTCATTGTGCCGATAAAGTGAAAGTCTTCGTGTGCAGTTACTTCTTCAATCTCTTGCAGGTCCATTTTTTCGCTGACCAGGATCTTACGTTCTGGTTCCAGAAGAGAGTTGAGCCTTTCTAAAACACTGTCATCAGCCAGGGATATTTCATCCGCCAAAAACACTTCCCCAGATGTCATGGCTTTGATCAGTGGACCATCAACCCACTCAAACAGTCGCTTAACACCCGTTTCATCCTGAAATCAAAGAGATTAATGATAAAAAGGGATTAAAGTTGTACCATCAGTAGGACAAAATTAAGTTTTAAAAAAAAGCTGACTAAACTTTGATTTGAGCTTTTATTTAATGACGTACTTGATAATTGTTAATACATTCATTGATGATATGACGTTCTTCATAATCGTTATGGATCGGAAGGCAGTTCCCGGAATGGCATTCTAGAACCAACTTCGGTTTTTTCTTTCCTGGTTGCAGGCTGGTTGAACTCCAAACCTACTACTTTAAATTCAGAATTTGAGTTATTCTTCGTTCAAACCAAAAATATGAACTGCAAAGTTCAAAGCATCATGGTTCTGGTTTGATTTGACAATTTTAAATTTTTCTTGCCAAAATACTTCTGATTCTTCTGTGTAATGATGCTAGTAACTAATTGTCAACTTCATAGCATTCCTGTCCTATGGATGGTAGTGGACCTGTAAGGGAGGAATATGATCATGAATGAATGTGACAAAACAAGATAGGAATGGCTTTTTTTGTACATACTTCATGATACATAAACTCGCCCTTGAAATTACAGTGGTTAAAATTTTACAAGAGGCTTTACTTACCGTATCAGCGGAATGATCTCTGACAGGACGCAAGCCTCCCAAAAAATCTGAGCTCTCTGAGTGCTGATGACAATTGACGATGAAAAGTTTCTGACGGTTGCAGCTTGCAATCACTTGACAAACAGACGTTTTGCCGCAACCAGTCTCTCCGACTAACAGTAGTGGCTCTTTAAACTCCATAGCTTTTCCAATGAGCACTATCATCTGACGCATATTATATGTCCAAACTAGATGTTCGAATCCGGGTGCAGTGTGAGATAGGTATTTTTCCAAAATGTGTTTAGTAACAGTGGATGTCTTGTCACATAAATTGAACAGCAAGCTTGGATCAACTGTTCTCTTGATGTGTTTCTGAATAGAGTTCCTTATAATGTCCCGTTCCTCTTGTTTTCGTACTCTACCAGCAAGAACCAAGTAGCCTTCATCAGCGATGTGTTGGTCCCAGTCATAAAACTTGGAGCCTAAATTTTCACTGGCTAACCTATACCTTTCACCCCATCGGAAAAGATCTCTGAGTGTTATAAAACCAGACTTTCCAGCAAATGCAGCACTGCCACGTCGATGTGCTTGTAAATCTCTCATAACGTAAATAATTTTTTTGGCATAGGACATAGGCATGTCGCAACGTTGGTGTAAAATAGTTTCCAGCTCACTTGGAGGGATTTCACCGAAGTGTAATTCAATGAACCTGTTTCTGAAGGCACGAGACATCACTTTCCGGCCTCCATATGATCCAGGTGGATTTTGCGTTGCAAAGAGTCTGAATTTAGGGTGAGCTTTGATGACTTCTTGAGTTTCTGGTATATACAGCTCTCGGTTGTCATCAAGAACACGATTTAATGCTTCAAGGACGTCTGTTGGAGCCAGATTCAATTCATCAAGGATAATCCAATAACCATGGCGCATGGCTTCAACCAGCACACCTTCCCGAAAAACTAGTGATCCAGTTTTAGCATCAGCACAGTAGGAGCCAATATACTCTTGTAGATCGGTGTGCTCATGGTTATTGATTCGTAAACATTTATTTCCAGATGCTGAAGCCAGGTATGTGATGAGACTGGTTTTTCCTATTGATGTATCACCTTGTAACAAAACCGGGTGATCAGCCAATGACACTATTCTTACTAGATCGCACAAGTTTTTCCTCACTGTTGGGGTGAGGATGTATTTTTCATTCAGTTTAGGTTCCTCTGACCCTGTGCGAATCCAGTAACCTTCAAAAGTAACATAAGGTCCATTAGTCATTGGTTCTGGGATAGGCTGTTTGGCAACTGAGTTGCTATCTGCCTGACCAACAATCATTTTCAAAATCATATTATGTACTGCCTTGTATGAAGTAGAATCCAGCTGAGTAAGAAAACTCAAACAGAATGCTTCGTAGAGGGACTTTTTGATATTATGACAAGGATTTGCTGCAGCTATTGATAATGCCCTACATAATGTACGTAAGCTGTAGTGGGGTTTCTGTCCCACACCATCGGACAAAGTCACTGCAACTTCTTTCTTTACTTTCAAGTAGAACTTAGCAATATTTTCACACTTAACAGGCGTAATGTTTTTCAAGTAACAAACAACTAATTTCATGAGGTCAATAATATCTGACAGCTCGTCGACAAAAAGTTCTGTAAATCGGTTTCTGATCCCTGGCGGGAGATCTTTTTTCCCAACATCAGTTGCAGGATTCATAGCTGCCATTATCCGGAAATTAGGATGTTTCCTGATTGGACGAGCATCATCCTTATCAAGAAGGGAAAGTGTTCCACCATCTTCCAACAGGCCAGATAAACACTGCAATGTCTCGGCAGTGGCTAAGTTTATCTCATCCAACAAGACCCAATATCCATTCCTCAGAGCACGAACAAGTGTACCTTCAATGAAGTGAAATGCTAGTGTTGGCTGACCATGATTTACATGAACTTCTAGCTTTTCGATTTTATTGTACATTAGTTTCCATTCACGTTTTTCTTCGTTATCAACAGTCGCCAGCCGTTTCAATGCAGTTTTACAACTATGACTCATCAATTTTACAAGGTTCTTCCAACTTTTATTGTTAAAGCAGTTAGATATATGCTGAAGAAACTTAAGATTTGGTTCAATCTTAAAATACTTCCGGAACAATGTTTCAAATTCGTCTCTGATTGGTGCGATAATAAATTTCAAATCGACAGGTTTGTAGCCTCCGAGTAAATCGGCACTATCACTTTGCTGGTTTAAGTTAAGAACAACTAATTTATTTCCAGTATGTTTGGCTAGGAGCTGTAATGAGGCAGTTTTGCCAGTTCCAGTCTCTCCTACAAGCAAAACTGGTTCATTGAAAAACAAACAACAAGCGATTCTTTCAATCAGACATGCTGAGATCCGTGTGAATGCAAAACTTTTCAGGGGATTCGTTTCAACAGCAATGACTTCTGCCGTGAGTCTCTTCAACAAAGTTCGCCCAGCCTCTAACCGATCCGGAGTCAGATTTACCACAGGTTTGTGCGAGTTGAAATAGAACTCTGCTTTGGTCTGAATGATACCAAGACATGATGCTACAGCACATGCTAGTTTAATTCGGATTGTGTTGTTAGACACGCTACAGCAAAAAATATCCAAAGCATCTTGGTAGATTTGCAAAGCAGATTCATTAGATGAAAGTTTATAGTGCACAACTGCTCTTGTGCACCATTTCATTAAATCACGAGTCGATGCTAATCGTCCAGTAGATTTAATGATATCCATCAAATCACTCTCTTTGACGATATGGTTTCCAACAGAAAACAATAGAAATGCGTCCACCATTTTGTCAGAAAAAGTTGTTAGGGTGGGAAATTTATCCTGAATCAATATTATTAGTTCTTGTCTAGTTAAAGGCTCAAAATTTATTTTTAGCCACTGCTTTTCTAAAAGCTCAATGGTGTTGGTGCGAACTGAATGTTCACCATACGGCGTGACTATCGAGCGTTGAGTTAAGAATAGATGAAAGTCTAAATGAGGTGTAATGTTATCTCGGAATCCTGGCACGGATAATGATTTGTTTTCGATCAAGCTGGCTAGAACTGAGGCTACATCACTACCAGCTGCATCTATATCCTCAAGTAGGAGCCACATTCCCTCCATTACCGCTTTGGTGAGTACTCCTGGTTGCCACACAAATTCTCCAGGAATGTCAGTGCATCGGTAGGAGCCAAGCAACATTTTTGCATCTGTTTCTTCTCCAAGCTGAACCTTTAATAATTTTCCTACTTTGGTACGTCCTGAAACAAAATTCAAAGTGCTTTGAGTTGAAGAACAGTGCATTTTATGAGTTACATAAAGTGCCTACAATTTGAAAAAACAGTATAGATGAAGAGTTTTGGGGAGAGCTAAAAACTACTTTCGGCTGCGTTTAATTTAATGAATTTCTACAAGTTACAGATTTTGACACCGTTTTGTTATACCTTCTAATCAAAATTGCTTTTATTGATACTTCTACATGAAAATAGGAGGACTTATTTGAATTTCTTCCTTTTCTGCTGATAAATTAACCATTTTTGCACAATTTACTTGTGTATAATTCAATTTGTTCCCAAGGCTAATACTAAACTTGTACCTAACTTGGTCCTTTTCTAATCCAGCACCCAAACGGTCTCTCTCTCATTGTTTGAGATAAAAGAAAAAATATGATCGTCAGTAACATACCTGTTACTTCTGCTAGATAGTGAACCGCAGAAGTTTTTCCACAGCCAACTGGACCAGATAGACAGACAGTTTTGTTGGCTGCTACAGCTATAGCTAAATTTCTGACATTTGAAGAGGTGGAGCCAACCAAAACCAAGTTGTGATCTTCATTCTAAAAACAGAACAAAGAAATCAAAGGGTTACCAAGTCAGTCAAAAATTGTTGAATATTGCAGAACATTGGAGAAGCTAAGGCGTCTTCAAGATATATGGGAAAACGCTGTTGCACAAAAAATTCAGAAGTACATATTAAGTGAACTGAGCTTACAGTTATTTTCCTACTTTTTCAAGAGACCATGACCTGACACGAATACATTCTAAAGTACAAAATAATAAAGTAGCCTTGGAGAGAGTTTGAGTTGGGTGCTTGTTGACAGCAAATATTGATTATCAATACAGTAGTGGAATCCATAATCAAAAATACGCAACGGCATCGCTGAGTGTTGATGATCAGTATGAGAAATGAAATTAACGAAACGGTCTCCTGCCCAGCTTTTAGAAAAGGTATCCTGGATATCCTCATGACATTTCTTACATAGAGCAATGCAATTTAAACTTACTCAGCCATGACAACACGGGAGTATTCTAACTTCAAATGCAACATCACAAATGTCAACGGTGGTGCTCAAGGAGTGGTATGCAGGCAATGCCAACACCATCTGTTTCATGTGATCAAGGATACAGAAAATGCCTTACCCTGCAATTCTAGGATTGCGACCAGGGTGAGAAAAATTTAGGATTGTGAGGCAATATTTAAAAGTGACAATCCTTGCTTCATTGCTCCATGCTCTAAAAAATTGGTACAAACTACATGTTTAACTGGGGAATGGGGCATCTTGCTATTGAATAAAACGTTTGGCTGTGAGGCATAATTAAAAAATATGCTGTGAGGCAAAGATACCAAATCGTGGCAAATGGTATGAGTTTTAAGATTTTCTGCGCCCCTGCACCTGATCAGATAGGGTAATTTGATTGTTCGGCACAGTTTAATTCTGTTACTTGACCTATCATCATTTATCACCAAAAATTTTAAAAAAAAAAGTCCCTATTTTAAACTATCATAAATTTGTTGTTGATTATATTCCCCTTCCCTTGCTTCATAGTAGGAGTGAAGTCAAACCACTGTGCTTGATACATAAATCACTAGATCAGTGACGCGCTGTGCAAATGGATTGTGCTGAAGTTCAGTACTTGTTTTTATTAGTTTTTTTGTCATGTTTGACCATGATTAAAATTTAAAAAAATCCATCAGAATGATATATGCCAAAACAATATTTCAAAAAATAAACTTTAAGAATAAATTCATACTTACAGTTGATGACTCTGAGACCACAGGTAAAGATATTCCGCAGACTTCGATACACGAATCTGATGAAGCTCCTACAGATTTCAATTCAGGACTAGGTTCTGTACCTGGAAGTTCATGACAGAGAGTTATATACAATGTTCAATACTTCTACAACATCCACCAACTACATTGAGCAGTAAACAAAAGTAAATAAACCCCTAGCTACAAAAAAAACGGAGCAGAACGTTGCGGCGCAGGGCCGCTCAAAAGGACGCTACTCAATATTCAACATGGCCCACGCCAATCCGCCACAATACATGTGACAGGACGAGATTCTAACCAGATTATAATAATCGGCGTGTTTGCATTCACATTTTCTTCAAGTTAAGGCTGTTGAGAGATATCTGCCTTGATTGACCTTGAGCTCCCCTTGACTTACACGCGGAAGCATCAGCCATGATAGATATTGCGTAGCGTTCTGTAGAGCAGAAGTTAGATTAAAGAACTCCTCTAACAAAATGTTAATGAGGGTATCATTTTTGAAGCGGCAAACTCAAATTTCTTACGCAGATTGTGAAGTTAGGAGTGCATTTCAGACTCTGCCGATGCAGCGCTCATCGTGATTTTTGAGACATTTGCTGTAAGAGGCAACTCTTATTTTTGTTCCGGCAAAAGTTTGCAACGGGCCCATTCAACCCTTCATGGGATGACCCTGTCAGGAGACAAAATAATGGAAAGGTGAGGCAAAAGATCACCTCAAAAGGAAGTGTTATTTTTTTCCGTGGACAATTTTACTGAGGGCATCGTTTTTTTCATACCAAAAACTGTGGGAGTTAATTATTTGCAAGCCAAACCATCCTGAGCTTAAATGCCACATTAAACTTAAGGCGTTTTGATGAAAATATGGAGCACTGTAGGAAAGAGCTAACAACAGTGCATGGTTTCTGCGTTTAGCTATCGGCAAGCTTCAATGAGATCGAAAAGTAGCTTGGATTTTGAAGATTTTAGAGCAAAACATTAGCAGAGACGTTTTAATCAAATATGATATTACTAACCCGAGCTTGATAGTCTGATGTTGTACTGAAGAGAGTAGAAATTTGCTTCTTCTTCGGATAAATACTTGGAGATGAGTTCTAACCGTTGTGATTCGGATAGCCTCATAACTATTCCAAAACATTGACACGCTAGCCTTTGAAACAAAAATATTGGAAACAATATTATTTGCTGGCGTAAGGAGGATATTAAGAAATGGTTCTGCCTTAAGGGAAAAAGTACTGGCGCAAAAATTTTGTGCTGTGCCAGCAAGAAAATATTTTAATCTTTCTAATTCTGCAAGGACAATAATTGCCTCCTGGTGAGAAAAAAATTTTGCAATCATCATTTTGATACAGTTAGGTATATGCAAATCAAGGATTTGGAAAACGCATTATGATACTTGAAAAGCACTTTAATATACCTTTAATCATTTTATGCTGGAATTATTAAATTTTGTAGAGGGCCTTGAAATTGAGAGGCTAGGAGAGAAAAGGAAAGGCAACACACCTCTCACACACAGCTCTAATTAGTTTTAAGATAAAAAAAGGAAAAGAGTTAAATTTTTAAAATACTGCGCAAAAAAACGCTTTTATAGGATCAAATGATAAATTTCCTTACCATCTAATTTTTGGGCAAGGGTGATCCAGATACTTCAGGAAAAATGATGACCACTCCCAGACACCACAAAAATAGGTTTGATCAAGGAGCAGGAATTTCAAACAGGATTCTACAAGCTTCAATTCTTTTTCCATTTCTCCGGAGGTTCTTCTTCTCTTTGCTGCAGATTCATCCCTCTCACCATCGGCATCAACCCAAGGAGGCGGCTTGTCTTCAAAATATTTAACAGAGAGTCTGAAAAGTCAGGAAGAAATTTGATATAGCTAACAAAGGGTTTTTCAGAAGTGAACAACTAAGGGGCCGACTGATCAATTACGCACTTTAATTTAAAACTGAACATACAACCTAGTACAAAAGTGATACCCTGTTTCTAAGATGTTCATTAAAATAAGATAAAAACGAAATCATGTAAATTCACGTTCCATGGAAAATCATTGACCCACCAAGCTATTAACCCTTTTCATCTGTTACGTTTCATGGTCTGAGCATGTAGCAAATCGCTAAACACGAGCACTAAGTACTATAGTTGGTGCGTTCAGATTAGACAGAGCCGACCAATGAGGGCAAATTCGTGCACACAGAGGACTGGTACAATGGAAACCAGCAAGAACTTGCCTCCTCCCCTACCCCAAAGCAGGCTTCACTCACCACGGTATTTTTCCTGTTCTGTCTATGCCGGTTCCCTTCTTGCCAGTGCTTCTTTCTTCAATGAGCCCTTAGCTATTGGTTGCAAAAGATTTTTTTTCCCTTTTTTTACACTTCAAATATCCCTTGAGGGATAATCATGCGCTTTACCATCCCTAGAGCCCCATCGCTTTACCCTCCCTCCCTAATCAAGTCAGCCCAGGTAACTGTTGTTTGAGACCATCAACCTCGGGTCAAGGATTTGGTTCTTGCCAAGAATTGCCAAACAACTTTTTTGTAGTACTTAAAATTTTAATTTAGGTATCTCTACAGATTAAAATTCCGCACGCAATCCTGATGACTGATCTATATGAAAATCTTATAAACCGTGAAAGATTGATTACACTTTCTATAAAAACCAAAGCAATAAAAGATTGGTCAGCAATTGTTACGCATCCACTGGGTAGAAGGCAGATTGAAAAAGGACACAATAATGATATTTGAAAGTTTCTCATCTGATAAGTCTCAAAACAGAACAATAAATAAATTTTTCAAGCCAATTATGAACTTAAGTAAATCAATATTGTAAGAAAAATCAATGAAGTTTTTTGAAACTAATTTAATCTCAAAAATCTTTCTTTGGCTGCTAAATAATTACATTCTGTGCATTCTGATGCACGAGAGTCAGTTTTACTTCTTTTCATTACAAGAGGAAAATAAGAGTATTTCTTTTACATTGTAATTTATCTAGTATAGATAAAAATGATCCATCCATCAAGTCCTGGTTAAAAATCCTCCAAAAATGTAAACTCATGACTGTCATTCTGGTAATCATAATAAAGTCAGTGATAAATTTAATTGTGATGTGATAAATACCTTAAAATGTCCGAGTGCTGTCCAATTAAAGTAGCCAAACTAATACATTTCTCCTTGTGCCCAGAAATGACATCCATTTTGTATACTCTGTATCAAAACTCAGCTACATAAGAGGATTGAAATGTTGCTTCTGTAGGCGCATACAGTTAGAAAGTAAACAACTGTCCCATAATTCTAACCTGTCAAACATATGACAAAGGAAATCAAAAGACTGATTTAGTGACTACAGGGCTTTTTTAATCCAAACCGCAGAGGATCGCGACGCAACGCATCAATTTTTCACCCCATTTCACTGACGCGTTCCATGTGTTCCAGTGGAACGCTTGGATTGCTCTTCCGAGGTTGGTTGAGGCCATAGTTGGGCCGGTTGAACCAGCCCAAACTGCTACCATTGCGTTCTACGGATAAAAAAAAAGCCCTAAGGTCGTTCGATATAATATTGAACTCTTGGTTCAAACCAAAAATAAACTAGCATATCCTCATGCACAAATTTTTTGGGAGGTATTTGTGTTGACTTATTACAGTTTATGATTGAACGGTCAAAAATAAATTAAAAACTCATTAAACAAAAGACATTTGTATTAAAAGAGACACTTGGCCGCATTTCACCACCATTGGGCGAATCAGAAACAACGATATGTGTATGTTTACATTGAAACCATGATGTAGCCACAAAAGGGCTTTTTTTAATCCAAACCACAGTGGACCGCAACGGAACGCATCGCTTTTTTAGCGCGATCCAGTGGAACGCTTGGACCACTCTTCCGAGGTAGGTTGAGGTTGGTTGAACCAGCCCAAACCGCTATCATCGTGTTCCGTGCGTTCCACGGATAAAGAAAAAGCCCTTAAATCAGTCTATTAGCTTCAATCCAACTGCAACAATATTCTTTCCAGTGAAACATCTCTCAGTCTCCACTTCAAACTAAACAAAGCTGTTCAGAGCTCACAGCAGGCTAAAAAAGAGGGCAAAGGAGCTAGACAGGCCAGAACCTGCTATGCAGAGCGACATAAATGCAGAATGCTCTGACAAGAAAGAAACGGTGACTGTGAGGCATCCTTGTCCTTGCACAACATGTTACAGCTGCATTGTCAGAGTAAACCTATCTGATTCCATTTCGTTTTCCTGTTTGCAAACGCAACCCTATAGTCCCCATCAACCTCCTGAGATTGTAGAGCGTGTGGTAGAAATGTTGATCATTCATATGTACTTAAACATAATCAGGTAGCATGTATCAGGTGAGTAATTCAACAGTGCTGACCATTTGGAATCGGGTAACTCCATTTGCAAACAGTCCTAAACAGTTTACTTTGACAACGCAGTTTACGTCACTAATGTTGGGCTAGCATTAAGTAGCTCTTGTGTAAAAATTGAACGCATACAATCTGACACTGTGTGAAGATTTCGTTATCGAGGAAAAAACTGAGAGTGAGTATTTCTGCTGGCTGGTGCTTACAAAATCAGAGGATGACAAGTATCGTATCGGTGAAAATTGCAGGGGAACCAAATATTCACACTTTCAAAAGAAGAGAAGTTAATGGATACTTCATACCAAGCGCTGTCGCAGAAGTTGATTTGGTTACATTTGCAGAATGATGTTCACTTGGCAAAACTCAAGGGAAATTTTAAATGATTCTATCGGAAAAAGTTTCATGATGAATACCAATTTTTCTTGCAGCTTTGAGAAACGAGATGATTGAAAAAAAAGGACACTTCTCATGTGAGCCAAAAAGGAACTTCACGATTTCTTAGATTGGATTTTGATTCGGTGGGTTGAATCTGCGACTGTGACCACGACGTACTGCACGTGGTTAGAATTGTGAGGTTAGCCAGCCGCGAACGGTTCCGGTCGTGCAGCAAGAAACGTAAACATAATATTCCGAAAGCTCCTAGTTCGAACTTCGAATTTGAACCACTCACGAAAAACTTAAGTTCATCGTGGCCCTAACGTGACGTGTAAATTAGAAGTTTGTTTTAGAATGGCAATTTCATCACCTAGACCAGCATTCAATCGTCAAGTATTTAAACTTTCACTTTTAAACTGCATCTAGACGGGGGATTTCCGTGCAGTATAACCTCAAAATTTAAGCATGGGGCGGGTCCGGGTCTGTAGGTTTGGTAAAGAAAATCTTTGAATCTTAGGTACATCTGTCCACTTAGTTTCTTTATGATTTTAACAAAGTTGTGTGTCCATTGAGTACGAATTTTCCTGATTGAATTTTCAAATTGATACTTGTACATTTGAAGGTCCTGACTCCTGCCGCAACGGCAGGGTAGGTTTGAGATGACATACTGATCAGACGTAATAAAGTTTCACGCCTACCTTGACATCGTTGACTGAGACATGAAAACTCGGAATGTTTTTCATTGGCTGTCCAACAAGCAAGTACTGTCAGTTGGTCTCTCTTCAGCTACTCAGAGGCACTTTTCGGACAATATCTGGGTAAGAAATATTGTCTAAAACACAGTTTTGATTGAACATTTAAGGTGCATTGTCAAAATTTATTGCTGTGCACTGTTTTGTAACTGAGCTACCCAAAAATCGAACAGCCTGTTTTTCTCTCCATTTAAATCACCTGATTACTTGGGCATTTTTCCGTAAATGTCGGAACATCTTTATCTAATGCCCACCAATAAGTAGCTGAAGAGTCTTCGGCTTCTTCACTTTAGTTAGTCTCCCAAATCAGAAAACTGCATCAAGTAAGTCTTCTTTGACAATGCACCTCATGAAGAATTTGGTTGTGTGTCTTTGCTACCAAAGTTATCAGAAAGTTCCACCTGTGATAATCTTTTCTTGCATGGTGAGTCTTCCTTTTGTTTCTTTCATATTGAAAGTAGGTACCCACTAAGCTTGATCCAAACGAAACATGGTATTGCTTGAGAAATAGATACTTGTACCTCTAGGCAAATATGTAAGTGATGAGTTAGTAATACAAAAAGTATCATTCACATGAGGACATTTCCCCCGGTAATCTCAACAGAATACTGCTGTGAGGTAACAAATTTTTCCAGGTAGATAATCAAAGAAAGTAAGGAAAGATAAATAATTAAAAACTGTTGACGCTTCACTTATAACGAATTCAGTTTGAGCAGGGCTTTGAGTAAAAGCGAGAAGATGAGGCAATAGAAGAAAGTAAAAAAATCTTCCAGTTTTTTGTAGGATCATTATTGTAACTGTAGCAAAATTTACAATCGCAGGAGGACAATCATCTCAAAATCAAGAGCTGTGCTTAAAATTCTAAGAATGTAGGCAGTAGGTACCTACTTTAGGAAAAGTGGAACCAGTAAAAACAGATTGTTCTTAGTATGTTTTTCCGAATGAAGTATGTATCTATCCACTTAATAAGTAAAGTAACAGGACAAGTTCATATTTGCATGATGTTCAGAAACAAGAATGAAAGAATCACTAATTCTGATTTTTAAAAAGGAAGAAAAAACTTTCAGTTTTTTATTTTAACATCACTTAATGGAATAAAGATAATCTCCTGAAAGTCCAGTCGCTCAAGAGGATTGCTACTTCCGAGAGAAAGGTCATATGTTCCAGATTCTCCCCAAGATCGAGATGGTGTGCGATATAAGTATTGCATGAATCAAGTTATTTTCCTTGACAGATTTTGACTTAGTGGCCAAAAAGAAAGACATTAGCTCCTATGCTTGATCTTAAAGAATCACTCTTACTCAAAAAAATTGCAAAATTCACCAAAACAAAAGGAGGATTTTTTTGAAATAGAAATCAACCTCAGTATCAAATGGGACTTTTTATTCCAAGGAAGAATCTTGCCTTCATTTCTCTGAAATTACCAATTTTTTTGGTTGAGAATTATCCTTTAGACTCACGTGTAGGGACTTTTGTCATTTGATTGGCCAAAAAGTCAAAATCTGCTGAGACCTTTTACTCAATTGATGCAATATATCGCACACCAGTTTGACCATGTCGAGAACCTGGAAGAATCACCTATATATTTTCCTATTTAATTTTTGTGTGTCAATATCTGAAGAAAGTTTACTATATTTTGTTTTTTTTTTTTAGGCTCAAAAGCTGGATGTACAGCTGATGAAAGAAATTGAGTCACGCTGGAGTAAAAAAGTCAACTCAAGGCAATTAGATGGGAAGAATGAAGCTAAAGACAAGTACTATATACTACCAATGTTCCCTTACTCATCAGGAGATTTTCACATGGGCCACATCAGGACTTATGTAATCAGTGATACATTATCTCGATTCCATCAGATGACAGGAAAAAATGTAAGTTTGGCTCCCAATCAAAAATTTTTACGGGAATTAAAGCATCGCCTCAAAAGTGCCAATTTCATAGTCTGGAATGAGTATTCATAGGTTTCAAATTTGAACTAGGTACAATTATTTTGTCGTGTTTGAGTGATTTTTGGGAAAAATTACTGTCATGTCGATCATTTTTTTTTTTCAAATATCTTTTCCAGTTTGATTTTTCCTCTAGTTCCATAAACTTCTCCTGAAGATTTCAGCAAATCAAAATCCCCGATCCTATCAAAACTTAAAGTTTGTGAAGGATCCTTAAAAAAGGACATTCTTCAAAAGAACGATTCTCAAGGACATTTTAAATTGTCAATCCTCATGTATCACTTTCATTATAAAGAAAAAATGAGGGGATTATAAAAATCGGTCAAGCTGGATCTTACCCTCATCATTTCTAAACACTCAATGGCAAGTTAAAATTTCTTAGTGCCAACAGATATGGGTAAAGACCCTTAGTTGGTGCTAGAAATGTTCTTATTCTCATGTCTTGTCAGCATTTTATATGACAAACTACATAAATATGTGAAGAAAAAGTTTAAGCTAAAAGTGAAAAAACAATTTTTTATGATCCTTCATTATCAAAAGTTAAACAAAAAATCACATCTATTCAGGATTGAACTAATGAGTAAAAAAGTCGTGAATTTCAATAATTTCCAACTTAATATTATTTCACAAGTCTGCTAAAATATTGGAAGTCTTAAAAACTTATGAAAAACAAAAAAGCCACCCTAATAAGTATTTTTCTCTTTGGTAGGTACTGCAACCAATTGGCTGGGATGCATTTGGTCTCCCGGCAGAAAATGCTTCGATTGAACGTCATATTCCAGTTGATAAATGGGCAAAGAGTGACGTTGAGAACATGAAATCCCAGCTTCAGAGTTTTCGGTTTAATTTTGACTGGGATTTAGAAATTAACACTTGCTTTCCAAATTATTATAGATGGACGCAACACATATTCTTAAAGTTATTCCATGCAGGTCTCGTGTATCAAAAAGAAGTAAGTATGTAGTTTACAAGAAAATTGAAAAGAAATTCAGTTTAGAAAAATAAATTTTCCCCAGCTCTCATCGATATCCTTCTGCAACTCTCATGGAAATGGTAAAGGGGAGGATGCTAATGGTCAATGAGCTTGACAAAGCCAGTGTATCAATAAATCCTCAAGGCGATACATTTGCATAGGTCAATGCAAGACCAGTTCAGTGGATTGTTTCCACATATGTAATGGATCATTAGATGAGGTATGAATTTCAGCATTCTAGTACATGTGCACTCTTTAAAAATTCATACAGAATACAACTTGCCCAACAAAAATTCCAGATATTAACTCCTAATCAAGATATTGACATTTTTATTTAGCACTGGTTAGATGCCTGATAATGGCATCTGGTTGACGCAGAGGAATTTAAAGGCATTATCTCATTATTTTTTATGATTTTGTGCTGCATATTTTTTATTTTTAACACAGTACAGAGCTCTGCTAATATTTATGTTCTGACCTCAAAAAATTCAGCTGTTTTTTTTTTTCATGATTTCTAATTTTCATTTATTCCTGAACAGGCCCTAGTCAATTGGGATCCTTTAGATGAAACTGCACTGTCTGATGAACAAGTTGATGAAGACGGTAAATCTTGGAGAACAGGTGTCAAAGTAGAAAAAAAAATTCTGAAACAATGGTTTGTCAAAACAACCGCTTTTGCCAAGTAAGTAGGTTGCATCTGTTGAAGGTTCTAAACCCAAAAACAGGGTATTTCTCTTAAGTATGTTTAATTTCAAAATTCTCAATCCATCCACAGTGTTCTACTTTGAATTTCGATGAGAGATCATGTATTGTGATGCTAGGATTTTAACTTTGTTTAATAGTCCAATCAGTGTTTGGAGGGAAGACGGGGAGATCTGGAAAATAATGTAGCTTAAACCTAGATATTGAATGAGACCGGTTTGCATTTCATGGGAGGAATTTTTTGCCCTACAATTGCAGGGACTATAGTATCTAGACCATTACAATTGTAAAGCTGTTTAATTTTTTTAGAAGTCGCAGATTTCCTGTCGTGTTATGCTTCTTTATATGAGGCTTGAACATCGTTTTTGTGCAAAATTTTATGTAATTATTCTTTGTCCTTTTTCTTTTTAAGAGTATTTTTTGAAAAATTTCGTACAAAACTGTTAAGTGGTTGTATTTTAAAAAATGAAATACCAGAGGAAGTTTTGAAACATTGTAATCGAGATATGTGGTCATGTAGTTTCACCAACGACATCTTCATCTTACCTCTACTTTTCTTCCTTGATACTCAATCATATAATATTAAAGGCAAACTAGGTACTCAAATTCATCATTTTCCAGTTTCTAAACTCAATTCTTCTCCATTAATTTTCCACAGAAGTCTGTATGATGGCCTTGACGAAACTGTCCTAAATAAAGCAAATGATGTTCATGTCATGCAGAGGGACTGGATAGGCGAATGCGATGGCTATAGTTTCAACTTCAATCTGGCCTCAGGGAACCATAAAATGCAAAAATTCATCACTGTTTGGACACGGCACCCAGAACATCTCAACAATATTCAGTATCTCACTGTTTTGCCTGGAAGCATGCTGGACCATATGGAACCAACTCAAGATTGGAATAAAAACCGCCGCCTCTCAATTCAAGCTGCAAACCCTATCAATGGTAGCACTATCCCAATTTTTGTCAATGACACTGTTACCTATGAAGAGTGCCAGGACGTCAAAGCTGGCATTCCAGAAATTTTCCTAGAAGATCATGTTTTTGCTCAGGAAAATGAGATTGAGATCAAAAAAATTGACCCTGTATTCTCAACTAAAGAGGAGATTTGTAACTATGCTATGGAGAAGAATATTGGTGGCTACCCTGTCAGCTCAAAATTAAAAGATTGGCTGATATCGCGACAAAGGTATTGGGGGACTCCGATTCCTCTTGTTTTCTGTAGCAATTGTGTTGGCCCTCAGCCTATTCCGTATGATCTGCTTCCAGTCCGTTTGCCGCATACAAACAAAATAAACATGAATACAAGAGCAATCACTCCCTTGGAAAGTGCAAGTAGCTGGGTTCGTACGAAATGCCCCAGGTAATTTTTCCTCTCTTTCTTTGGTCAGCTACTTAATACTTTGTGAATCATTCTCTCCATCAATTTTACTTTTTTTGGAGCAGTAAGATATTCTCTTTTCTTTCCTCGATTAGAATGTCTCAGATTTTTGATGAATGAATGGATTTAACTAGAATCAGCCCAGCTGCATGTATATATTGTTCAACATCTTCTCGTCTTTTTTTTTTTCATCCTCCATTATTCTGGGTTAATTCTGCATCATTCAGCGCAAATAATCTTCTGCAAATTTCAAGTATTGATCCTTTGGGATCAATTCAAACTTTGAACGTGAAAAAGGAATTCAAGGGAAGTGTTGTTAGAGTTTGCTGGTGTTGTTGCCAGCTTTAGAAATGAAATGACATGGATTGAAATCTTGATGCAATCATTCCGAGAAAATTGGAAACCTTCCCATGTATCAAACTATAAGTTGATGTTTTTGGACCTAAAAGCGATTTTGTTGGACCCAAAATCGATTTTTGATTTTTTTTTTGTTCTAAGCATTGGCAGTTCCCATCTTTTGCCTGATTCTTTCACAAATTATCTTTTCGGAAAAAGTCATAATTTTGCCGAAGATGCTAGCATGTTTGGTGAAATAAAAGTAATAAATTCATCTGTATCTGAAGGAAAATGACTGACTTTGTAAATACCTGAACTTATAGTGATTCACATTTTAATTGATTAAAAAGTCTGTTGGTGGTGACACAGGTCAAGCTAGAAATAAATACAAGCGAAAAATAAATCTTGAACTGTACATTTTGTGCATACAAACTCTGAAGGAAGCCAAGGTTTTCCTTGTCACTGATTACTATCTTCTGTGTTCTCACAGCTGTGGTGGGCCGGCAAAGCGCGTAACCGATACTATGGACACATTCTTTGATTCCAGTTGGTATTACCTCAGGTATCTGGATGTTTCCAATGAGAAAGTTCCTTTCGACCCCAAAGTAGTGCAGAGTCTTCTCCCTGTGGATGTGTACGTTTGTAGTAAAGAACATGGTTGGTATTTTCATCTTTTGTGATCACTTCACTGTCGGTTAGAGTCAAAATTCAGCTCTGAAGTATTCCCATGAAGCAGAACACACTAGTCACAACTCAAAGATTAACTTAAAATTATGTACCTACTGTTAAAGTAACAATTTTTTACCCTCTCATAAGTCTTTTATGTTTTGTTATACTTTGCTGTAACTTCCAAAATGGGAATGCAATGCTGGATCTGTATGCGCGGTAGAACATGGCAGAACATGATTGGCATTTTGACCATTAAACGATTAATTTGACATTTGTCACGAAAAACTGCACAGTAAATTAAAATAATATGATGATTCTTCTATCAAACAAATTTCCATTTGATTTTTGAAGAATTGTCAATTTATTGTCATGAATTCAAACCTTCTGCCTCACAAAGCAGCATGAATCTTCTTTTTACAGTCATGAGTCAAGTTGACAAAATGATAGCTAGTTGATTGTTTCAGTTTCTAGTTTCTAGTTTTTAACACTGCATTGTTCTTGATAAATTTGCTTTGAAATCATTATTTCATTGCAAAAATTTGCATTTTTCTGTAGGTAAATGCTTTCTGAGCTCATTTTTGTTTTTTGTTTCCTCTCTAGCCATTTTGCACCTATACTATGCAAGGTTCATGAGCCACTTTCTTCATTCTATTGGCTGGGTGCCAAATAAAGAGCCTTTTCAAAAGCTTCTCACCCCAGGGAAGTTGAAAGCCAAGACTTACAAATTTGAGCGTAGTGGAGACTACGTAAAAAAATCTGAAGTGAAAGTTGCAGGTTTGTATTCTTATATGTATTTTGAAGTTCAAATATCATTAAATATACAGAAAAATTATTTAGAAAAGTAATGAAACAGCCAAAAAAATAGTCGTAGAATCTCTCAGAGTGCTCTGTTAATATTTAATAGTTGGTTGTAATGCTCAAGGAATGGGTCTGTTGCAAACTTCTGCTGAGCAAAAATAAGAGTTGTGCCTTATAGATGATAACTCAAAAATCTCGATGAGCGCATCGACAAACTCTGAAATGCACTCCTAATTTTACAATCTGCGTAAGAAATTAGCGATTTTTGAAGCTCCCCGCTTCGAAAACGATACTCCAGCACAGGTGAAAATTTCGTTAGAGGAGTCATTCCATTCAATCTCTGCTCAACATGGCCGACGCTTCCGCGCGCAAGTTGAGGAGAGCACAAGGTCAATCGAGGCGGATATCTATCAACGCGAGAAAAATGTGAATTAATAACACACCGATTCTTATCAGGTGGTTAGAAGGTTAGAGTAATCGTCCTGTCACATGTGTTTTGGCGGATTGGCGTCGGCTTTGTAGAATATTGCGTAGTATCCTTGCGAGCAGGGGTTCGATGGAATGACTCCTCTAACGAAATATTCACCTGTGCAATGGTATCATTTTTGAAGAGGGAAGCTCGAAAAAACGCAAAGTTCTTATGCAAACTGTGAAGTAAGGAATGCATTTCAGACTTTTCCGATGTGCTCATCGTGATTTTTGAACCATTTTCTACTATTAACAACTCTTATTTTTGCTCTAGCAAAAGTCTGCAACAGGCTTATTGACTCAAAACCGTCAAAAAATTTTAAATTTTAAATAAAAGTTAAGCATGTGTGATCTTCATGTTTTTGTCAAAAATCCTTTCTATTGTATGATGGTATTTCTTGACATCATAAGATAATGGAAATTGTCAATGTCCAGCATTTTAATGATAGAATATGAAATTCAGGAAAAACGAAAGGCCTTGTTCACACGAGCGCAGTTCGCGGAACTTATTCCGAGGAACTTGTTCCCGGAACAAGTTTTAGCTGAGCTAAAAACTTATTCCTCCAAAACCCGGAACTTCCCCTGTACTCCGAGCTTCTACATATGTTTCTTTTGATGTGAATTTGTTTGTTTTTGTTTTTTACGTCCTTTACATGTCTTGACTTTTATTTTTGTTACTTTGGCAGCTGTAATAGTCCATTATTTTGCGATAATTGTATAGTTTTATTGAAGTTCCGGTTTCAGTTGGGGCGAACTCGTGTGGACGTTATGCCTCGTTTCAAGGAATAAGTTCCGGGAACTGAGCAGTTCGTCGAATAAGTTCCTCGAACGGCGCTCGTGTGGACAGGGCCTCAAAAGAAGAAGTTAGAACGTAGAAGTTTAGTGTACGTCAGTACACTAAACTTCTATAAAGTCATCAAAGTATCTCGTTTGGGAGTTGATTTCAGTAATTTTCATCGCGCAAATTGTGTTCTATGTGTAATTTTGAAAAGGAAAGATGTATCAGAATGCTTAAATTCGTATCTTGTCCAATGGTCCATTAGAGGATTGGAATTATCAAGAAGCAGGTAGGTCAGTAGGAAATTTGAACGAAGTACTTTATATATTTTCTGACTTCGTCCAGGACCAGGGTCAGGACCAGGACAATTGCATGGTTATCACAAAGCATCAAACGAGAAAGTGAAAATTAACTGGGAGGAAATGAGTGAATCAAAAAGAAACAGTGTGGATCCTGCTCAAGTGGTGGCAGAATATGGCATTGACACAACTAGGCTCATGGTTCTCTATTATTCGGCACCCACACATGACAAGCTGTGGATTACTGGAGGTATGTTTTTCATACAACTTTCTTCAACCCTTGAATACCCCCATGGTGTCAAAATTGTGACAGTGGCATTAAGGTCCTCCTCTGAGACCAGTTTGTATTTTATTGATTTTAACTCAACAAATAATTAATATCCTCCGATATGGAAAAAAAAATGTTGTTAATGTTGGTTGAATATCTCAAAATTTTAAGGAAAAATCTAATTAATGTTTTGCCAAAATTAAGTTTTTATCCGGGGAAATTTGGCAACATACAATTGTTCATAATGGAACTCAGCCCTAATAGCCTCTCAAAGAAAGTAGCAGAAATTCTATGAGGAACGGTTTTGTAAATACAGAAAAATTCTTCTTGAAAAAATTAAAAATTCAGATCACCATTCGAAACAAGTTCAGTGGTATGTTAGCCATAACCAATGGCTCTTTTTTCTTGGATTTGTTACCAATAGCTCTCATTAATGCTGTTTTTCTTTCCTCTTCTTTACTCTTGTAGTTTTTCTTTCTCAAATTAGCAGGGGCGGGCTTGGACCCAAAAAGTTATCAGAAAATTCAGACTTAGACTTCCTGTTTTGCCCCATGGCCAGAGACGGCCTCTGCAAATTAGTTTGGCAATGATTTATTTTTTTAGTTGCTTCTCTGAAATTTTTGGAATTATTAGCTTTCTTTGGAGAAGCTTCTCTTTATTTGTTTAAGTTTTTTCTAAGACTAGTTCATTTCCTGTTCTGCAGAATTTAAATCAATCCTAGATTGGCAGCGCAAAGCCTGGCAAATCGTCAAGAATTTTATGAGGATCCGTGATAGGCAAACTCCTGTCAGAAGCATAGACGAAGCTAAACTGCCAATGGATGAAGAGATGATGTATAATGAACGTAACAGCTTCATCAAATCTGTTTGGCACCTTTATTCAGAACTGCATCTGTTCAATACTATAATTTCCAAATTTCACAAAATGTTTACTCTTTTAAGTGTAAGTAATCTGGAGATAATCTTGAAAATTGTTCCAAAACTTTCAAAAGCTGTTTAAGAACAGTGGATCTGAAATTTTTCTTATAATGATTCATGAAACAAGTCATGGAATGCAAAGTCCCTTATTCATCAAATTTAGGTCTGAAGACACCCTTTTCTGTCATGAAACATACTTTTCTCCTAAACCTTAAATAGTCCTTTAAAAAAAAAAAAAAAAAAAAAAAAAAAAAAATTATCGTGGGAAGTGGTGCAGTTTTAAAAAAGGACAGTCAGATCAACATGATGGCTCTAAGCCCAATTTTTGGCACTGAGGGTGACAAAGAAAGAAGCTTCAATACGAAATGAAGAACAACAGTACATATTTCCTCATCGAAATTTTACGTAAAACATGATGAACATATCAAAATTTTCCAAATTCAACTCACAGAATGGAAAATGACCGTTTTAGTCCTCGCCGATTCACACTTCCCGATCACAGAAAAGCCGAAGTCCACTCGAGTCAAATTGATTACTGGTGTAGTTTCGGTGCATCTAACAAAGAAATAATTTTTCTGTGCTCTTTTTGACTAGCTCAAAGGTATGTTACATCAGGAGAGGATGGACATTTGTCCACAATTGAGCTCTAGTTATTTGCCCAACATATAAGTTGATTTCTTTACCTAATTTGGCGTACGTTGATTGTGTTTTTTTTTTTTTTTTTTTTTTTTTTTTTTTGCGAGCGGGGAAGTTTAAATTTACTGCTTATAATGTGATCATTTATTTCTCTTATGAACCAATTTTGAAACTTTTCGATACTTTCAATGTGTTTTTCTTGAAACTTTGATGAGAAAAAATTTACTGCCGTGTTTAATTTCTTATCCTATCCAGTGGTCTATTGATGATTACTTGTTAAGGATCAAAATCAAGCCAAGTTTGTCAACATATTTAACATCACTAACAGAAAAGCCTAAGAGAGAAGATTTTTCATTCTCGTAAATCTCAATAAGTGGTGTTTAGGAAGATCAGTTTTTAACTTTCCATTGTCGTATCAAGTCATTATTTTAGAGAGAATCAAGCTGATTCTTTCCAAAGTTTGTTCCATCTATCCCAGGAAAATCTATAAAGAATACATACAATCAACATTTTCCATTTTCATGACCCTCCTCTCTTAGCGAACAAAGATAAGGAATACGTTGTCCTGCTATTTTTCAGAATTGTTCCAATGCATCAATCCGTTCTGGTAAAGAATTTGAGCGAGCCCTCGCAGAAATGATCATTTTAATGGCTCCGATGGCTCCCCACTTTGCTGCCCAGCTGTGGCAAGGTATAGCCTTAGTTCCTTACAGACTCAATGAGAATGAGTTCAATTGGTCTGGGACTGTTTTCGAACAGAAGTGGCCTGTTGTTGATGACAATTTTCCCATGTACTTGATTGTGCAGGTAAGATAATTTTCCTACATTTTATTTACAATATTTAATCCATATTTCCCCTTTTTTTATGTACTTGAATGAAAAGAGGCTCATTTGCAGCAGAGGTTTCTTCTCTAGAAATTCTTTGACATTTCCCAGACTTTTGCCAAATTAAGTTAAATTTTCTGACATTTGAGGTTATGTGAGATGGTTATAAGGACATTTAAATTGCCATTTCCAAACTCAAACCCGTGTTTGTCACCTGTAATTTGTCATCTAAAACGTCCATCACGTTCTGAAAAGCAAATGAAGAGGATTTAAATAATTTTTCCTGATACTTTCGTCTTTTTCCCGGATACCTCATTGATTACAGCTTTTATACCGAATATTTTCAGGTGGACAATGATATGAAGCACCGGTTCACCATTACTAATGCTGAACTTCGACTGATAACCAAAGAACAAGCCATAGAGAAAGCTAAAAGTCTACCACGTCTGCAAGAGATTCTTACAGTAGCCGAAGTCCTTGGAACTTCTTATCATGCAATAGAGAATTCTGATCATACTATTAACTTTAAAACCAAGTTTAGTCATAGGAGGAGTGAATCTGAGTCAATAAAACAAAGTTGATTTTTCGCACTTGTTCAATTTTCTACACCCATTTTCTTTCCTTTTTGTGTGATGGAGTCCAGTTAATGTACAACGCCTAATCAATAATTATACAACGCCTTGGTTTTTGAAATAGCTCACACTTTGGTAAAGGGATCCTCAAGGTGAGCAAAAAAATTGATTATCAATTCCACAGCTTGGAGAAGGGATCAATTCTGCAATATTTAGCGAAAATTGTCCCTCTTGGAGTGTCTTTAAGTCGGGAAACTACTAATAAAATCGCAAAAAGGAAATGCAGTTAGATTTTGCTGTTGTTGTCATCAACTCTTGACACATTGAACCACAAATATAGGAAACGAAATTAAGCACCATAATGCAAGTTTTCTAATGGATATTTTCAGTAGAATACAATTACTTACTTACTTACTTACTAACGGCGCTACAGCCCTGGGTGGGCTTTGGCCTCCATAACGATTCCTCTCCACATCCGTCTATCTTTGATTTTTTCACTCCATCCTTTTATTTGCATTTTCTTCAGGTCTTGCTCAACTCCGTCTAGCCACCGAAGCCCAGGTCTTCCTCTCTTTCTTGCTGACAATATTTTAGCTTTCAGCACCTTCTTCGGCATCCTTTCTTCTTCCATTCTTTGTACATGACCAAGCCAGCTTATCCTTTGCGATTTGATAAACCTTACGATATCCTCATTTTCTAGGATCATTTCTATTTCTCGTTCCAGGTTGCCATTGAAATTTCTTCGGCTTTACCATTTTTCTTTTTTTCCGATGATCCATACTCGTTTGGTCGATTTCTCCGTTGATTCCATGTGTACCGAGGCATCGTTATGCTTTTCGTAGCTAGGGTTTTTTTACATGGTAGGGTTGCTCTACGCACAACCCTCCTCCTTTACCTGGGCTTGGGACCAGCTAGAAGTGACCATCTCAACCCTAAGCGGAGTTAGTAGAATACAATGGACGCAGAAAAAATGTCCAATTTTAATTCATAATTGAGAGTATAACGGTTCTTGTCTACATTTATTCACACTTCTCGCTCATGTAAAAGCCGTAGTCTACATACTTGAGTCAAACCCTGCACCCTGCACTAAACTAATTTTGGTATATTTTATGATGGAAGAATTTAAAGTGTACTGTCTTTTTTTTGACAAGATTTCAAGGTAACTTGTACCAAAAGAGGAAGGAAATGTGTGTGAACCAAGGTCTTGTTATTTTCCAAACGTATAGGTTGATTTCAATGCCTCACTTGGCCTACACTGATCATTGTTTTTCCACGAGCAGAAGGTTGGAATTTACTGTTTAAAATATCAAATTAAAACCCTTTAGGTTCTTATGAATTCATTTTGAAAGTTTTCGATACATTCAATGTTCTCAGCAAAAAATTTTGATGAGAAATCATGTGGTGTAACGCTTAATTTCTTATACTACCTAGGGCTCATTCATTCCAAATGCTTTTAATTTCATTAATAGTGCAAATTACGGCCTGACTTTTCGACCCAATGTTATTAAGAGGATTAGAGTGTGTTCCGCACCAGAAACTGAAAATCGGAATTTTTACTGTTCTGATGATTTGAGTTTCCATCCTAAGGACCGATTTGTCTGATACCACCACAAATTATCTTTCGGACAGATGACAAAAAATTGAACTTAAAAGTGATGGAAAACTCCTTGAATTATGGTTTTATGCATAAAACCATAATTCAATGGTTCTTAATGGTTTCTTGTTATCAAAAGGAGCCACTGAGAAAAAGAATTGACCAATCTTTCTCTTGGTCTATTTGCCAGCATTTTGATAGGGATGCAGGTATGAACTAAGTGACCAAAGTGAGATTTGACAAAAGCTGGCTCAACTGACTGAGACTATTAGTAAGGGTGAAGAATAAAAGAGTGAGAGGGTGAAATTAAGAAATCTTTGAGTTTATTTCATAACAATAAATTACAAGCTTGATAAAGGTTGCAGAGAGAACTCCTCAAGGATAACAAGGATATTTACAGTATATTCAATAAGTGACGATTCAAGTGTGAAAGCAAAATTTAGCGATCGATCTCACCGAATACAACATCCAGAGTACCTGTGGGAAAGAAACAATAATTTGAGTCTGAGTGCCAAAATAAACTTCAGAGTATCGAACCTATGAAGAGAGCTTAAAAACCAAACCTACTGGTAGCATGATGTTACTCTAGCATTGGAAAGCTCTCATATCTGATGTTTTTGAACTATGGACATGTTGCTAATCCAAAATTTTTCAAGATCCATGAAGAATTTTCCCCTGTTTATGATATTATTTTCGAGGAATTGACTCTGGAGAGTGCAGTTGGGGACCGGGCTGATTGATCACATGCTCGTCACAGTGACGGCAGTAACAGTGCTATTCAGTGATCAGCGGAGAAGTACAGAGAATTTCAGCATTTTAAGGAGTCTTCAGGTCAGCTTGTCTGGTGGCTGCACTTCCAGGAGCTTGGAGAAAATTTCTCTCTCAGTCATCAAAAAAAAGAAAACTGGTTCCCGGAGGTCTTTAATTCAGATGACAAATTTTCGATAAAACAAATTTGTTGGCTAGTCCCCAGAAATTTGTTGAATTAGAGTTTTACTGTTGTTCTTTTGAGATTATTACGAGACAAAGACTTTTGACTATAATTCTGAAATTTTTCTTTTGATTAATTTTTCTTGAGATCCGGAAAATAACAGATTTCTAAGTGAGAGTTCCATCTTAAAAACTAGGATCAAAAAATGTTTTTTCAGTCTCCCCTAAGAAACAGAGGAATGTTTGCATGAATTATATAAAAATACTCACCAATAATGGCAACAATATCAGCTAGAAAACTCCTCCTTCCCATCTTTTCTAGTGCTGCTAAGTGGGCAAAACCTGGTGCCTTGATCTTGCACCGATATGGTTTAGAGGTACCGTCTGATACTAGGTAAACTCCAAACTCTCCTGTGTACACACAATTTGAAATGAGCAAAGGATAATCATAGTAAAAATTGCGCGAAAAGGTTCAAAATTAGTGCAAAAGATTAAATGATTGTGTAAAAAGAGGAGAAGGGAGCTTGGAGACTACTAAATAATTAAGGCACAGTAAATGCTCAGATTATTTCAATTTTTATTTTGTTTACAAAACTGATCTAAATCAGTATTTTTCTTCTTACTTAGCATCAGAGCCTGATTGACTGTTATGTTACCTTGGGTCAAAAATAGTTTGCTGCCCTTAATAACATTTACTTTTGAAATCTACCGCTGAGCTCTCATTATTTGCAAATGTGCCTCTTCCCCAAATATGGCGCTGTTTAATATCTATGATTATTACACTTTAATAGATGAAGTGCACTGCTTTCTCAGACAAGAGGTACATGTCTAGATTAACTTAAAAATTGAATGGCTTGTTTAAAAGGGTCGTAGACACCTCAGGAATCCCACGTCACTTGCCCTCTTACTTAAGTAAACCGTTAAATTGATTTTGCAATTCAAACTTAGAAGTTAGGAGTGTTTGTTCGAAATATCACTCAAATTGTTCCCGAATTTTATATGGAGGGAGAAGTTTGTCCTATTTCTTATGTATTTTAAGGATTATATGATTCAATTTGGTTGATTTTCATTTATATTAGTTGACACACCTGTGGCTCAAAACTTAATAATTAACACCATCTTTAAGGAAAAGATCAAGTTATTTCATTCTTGAAACGGTGCGACAGGGCTCATACCAGGGATGGATAGCTAGACAGGAATAAGAGAAAAAATTCTGGAAGGACGTTCGATATTTAGAGTGATTAGCCAGTTGGCCTTCTTTGCATAGTCGAAGAGAATTAAAATGGGCCGGTCCAAACATTCCCAGTCTATTTTTCGGTTCCAGTCCACCCCTGGAAAATTTGGTAGTTGTATCTATTACCTAAAAGAGTATACAGAACTTTGAAATTTTCCAACTATATTACCAATAATAGGGTCGCATACGTTCAGGATAACCTTCATCGATTTTACCTGAACTACAGAGAAATATTTCGAGACATGAGGTTATATGCTCATGCTTCATTCTTGTATTTACAAAGAGAAGATCTCATACAGATAAATGTTTAAGGCATTCCATCTCGCATTACATCTTGTTACAACTACCCCCAATTTTTGAACAGCATCGACATACCTTTCGGAGCCTCCACAGCAGTGTATGTGCAGCCAGGAGGAACTGCGTATCCTTGGGTGAAAAGTTTGAAGTGGTGAATAAGAGCCTCCATGGAAGTCTGAAAACATTGGAATAAAGCAGCAAATTAAATTAACAGATTAAAGGCTAAATAAAATTTCTGTATTAAAAGAGAAAATGAATAGATTTCAGTATAAAACAGTAGAAAACCAATAGTTTCCATGAATTTTTCGTGGAGATTCAGGATAGCCTGGAGAAAATTTAACTCAGTACTGACGTTAGCAATCTTGTTTTTTCCCCCCCAAAAAACCAATCTAACTGCCTTTTTTTGCTAATGAACTGACCTATGACATCTCAGAAAATGTTTACTATTTGTAACCCATGTAGTAGATCCTTGTAGGAATCGAATTTTTATTTCTACTAAGGTAAGTTTAAAAGTTATCTCAACGTCTTCAACATAATGCTTTGTTAAATGAAGCTACCAAAACAGATAATAAATGTAATTAATATAATTATTGGTAATACTCTGGTTCTAAAGGACCCCGCACACCTCTTATGGGAAGCTGCACCATGACGGATTGCCTTCTGACTTATGTCATTCGATTCTCCTCAAGATGCTGATCAAAAGTTATATATGCGCCAACTTTCTAAGATGCACCGTTTTCGCAAAAAACCTAAGAGAAGATTCAATTATTTGGCGATAAAAAGCCAGAAAGATTCCTCATTTCAGTACTTGAGTGAACAAATCAGGGGAACTCCCGCACTGAGCGGCAGTCTTATCTCGGATTCTGCCCGCCGTTTTTCTCAACCATCCAAATCAGATTCTTGAGGAGCATAAGAACAGGAAAGTCTGAACGTCAACCGGGTGAGTGCGGGAGGGAGATAGCCCCTGAGTCGGCAGGTACAGATAAGAAAACGGACACGCGCTACGCTTTTTCCTCATTTACATCGGGCCTGTCCTCAAATGCTTTGTTCTTTTTTATTCATAGTCACCGAATAATTGAATCTTCTCTTAGGTTTTTGGCGAAAACGGTGCATCGTAGAAAGTTGGCGCACATATAACTTTTGATCAGCATCTTGAAGAGAATCGAATGATAAAGTCAGAAGGCAATCCGTCATGGTGCAGCTTCCCATAAGAGGTGTGCAGGGTCCTTTATTTTGCTTTTATATAAATACAATTACTGACAATTTTTTTATAGTTACTTTGGTTACAAGTTTTGTTTTTGAGGCTTGCTGCCGTTTCTCCGCATGAAAATTTAGGGGATGTAGGAAAATGTGCTTTTGCAGTGTTAACAGTTAACACATTGGCAATGGCATTACACGCTGGCAACAAATGGGGACTGCTCAATGAAAATTATTTTCGAACTTGAATTACTTTCTCCAAGCGCCACAAAACGTCTCAGAAACATATAACTCTTTTCCTGTTTGAAGTGTCATGTGATTACCGAGTCCAGCTAAAAAATTACCTGATTAAGGAGCGTTCATATATTACATAACGCACTTTTTCAGCAATTTCAATCCCCCTATCCCTCTTGTAACACTTTGTAACGCAACTCCAGACCCTCCCTCAATAATGACGCTTGACGGACAACCCCCTGGATCCCTCAGGATCCCAAAAATTGTGGAGAGCTGTTGTACATAATAGTGTGACAAATAATGTCAAGAATTAATGATACATTTTGGATTGTGTATTATTTACCAATGAAGATGGTTACGTGATGCTGGCACTGATCCCCCCCCCCCCATTGAAACGCAGGCTTATACCCCCTTACCCTTGGAGCGTTACATAATTTATGAACGTTCCCTTAAAGACATGTCCAGTGCCAATGCCTTAAAGTACAGCTGCCCCTTCGTTACACTTGCGAAGAAGCACCTCTGTCCTTGACTTGTTAACTTTGGCAAAAAGGGTGAGGTTCTTAGACTCCTTGAGTATCATTCACTTAGGATTACATACCTTCATTTCTTCTCTTGACGGCGTTGAGACCTTCATGTCGTCGGTTTTGACTTCACCAGCTGGCATCTGGTTCAAACACTGAAGAATGATGCGCATGGATTGTCTCATTTCCTCCACTCGACACAAATACCTAAGCATGAGAAATTGAGATAACTGATGATGATAAACAAATACTTAAAAAATAAAGAAACGACAGGTTATGAATGTTTCAAGGCCAATATGCGTTATGTGGTAATACATACTAGCAATCCACATTCTCATACGGATTTCTCATGGCTGATCTGCATTCTCATGTAGATTGCTAACGGCTGTAGACTGTGGATATTTTAATGGTATATATTTGAGATGCAACAACCGTTTTTAGACATAGATGGTGGTCCTTGAGGACACCTAGGAACTGTAATTCTATACCATTCAAATAACATGGTTTTCCAAAAAAATAAATACTAAATTCATCCTTTATTTACTTGCATCAATCTTAGAACAAAACTTAACTTTAACCTTAGAATCTAGGTAAAAAAAAAGAAAGAAACAAGAAAAAAAATAGCCCCAGAAAAAATGGGAGACATTCAACATCAGTGTGATGAAGACAACGGAAGGACAGAATGAATGCTAAAAATGCTTTAGACCTAGGGTTACACGTATGTAATTCAGGGGAAGTAAACATTTGATTAAGTGCTATTAAAAAGAGGTGGTCATGCCCGGTTCTGGCTTTGAAATTGACAAGGGATGAAGACAAACAGATAAACTGAGTTGTCAGTCGGGGGGCATAAGCTTTTCAATCACCCGCAAAAATGGGAAGATTTTGAAAATTGATGGGGAGGCTGGTTTACATAACGTCCAAGTTGTAAATCATCCACAAAATTGCAGATAATTTTAAATGAATAGGAGAGGAAAAACTCATCTTGTTGGAACTTGGGAAAGATGTAGAAGTTTAAAAATGGGAAGCTTGAGAAGTTTCAGTGCATCAGGTTCTTTGAATTAAGAAGGAAAAGAAAAGGTCATCATACTCAGAAGTGGCGTTTTTGATGTTAACTCTGTCTGCTCAAACTGGACAGCACGACAGGAATGACAGTGACAGGGAATCATAGGAACTTCAAATTCATGGGAAGAAATTGTAAACTTTCCTTGGTGGAAAAACTTGGAAATTGGGGAAATAATGTTACCTGTCATAACAGTCTCCTTTGGATCCAATGGGAACATCAAATTCGACAAGATCGTAGGCATCATATGGTTGCACTTTGCGCAGATCCCATTTAATTCCAGATCCACGAAGCATGACTCCACTAAAAAATAAAGAATAAATGCATTGAAGAATTTTGAAGGATACAATATTTTCATTGCTTAGATACTGAGGTAAGAATGCCAAATTTTGAGCCTCCAAATCAAGGACATGATTATGTAGTCGATAGTTGTTCAGCCCTAAAAAAATACTATCAAACCACTTACAGCTAAGGTTTGATACATTTTTCTGATTTAGGAATAGATGTATAAAGTTCAAAGCAACAAAGTGTGCTAATTATTTTTTTTCTGAGATAATGAAAAATCAATGTTCCAAGTCGCGACAGAAAACAGTGTTTTCTGGCATGAGAATGACATAAAAACATTCTTGGGGACATGTTGCAGTAATTATTGTACAACAATTGTTACGTCAGGGGTTCCAAAAATTTGCACGCCAACATAAGCCCTGTAGCACATCCCAAAACAACTTCGAAAAAACGCAATTATTACTTGTTCCCAGGAGCTGTTGCAAGTGTCGCTCCCAGACAAACCATGACAATTAGACGTATCTTTTTAACGAGCAGAGAGTTTGAATTTATGAATTGAAAAACGTTAAGATCTTCATTGGAAGTTATTCTCAATGATTAGGATTGTTCAAATTGTGTTCTACGTGAAATTTTGAGGATAAAACATGGATAGTGTGTTAATTTGCACCTTGCCTAGTGGTCCATTTCCCATCAATTTAGAAATACCAAGATGCACCTGAATATTCTTCCTCCTCTTGATTTTTCTGATGTTCATCTAATTCCTCTGTGCAGCTTAGTTTTATATAAAACAAGGTACATACTATGTTTTAAATTGTAAGATTTTATGAAGAGAATTTCTAAAAATGTCTAACTTACCTGAACCCATAGTTGAGAGCATCTTCAGCAGAGATAACACCCACATCAGCAGTACGTTGAATCCAGATTCTGTTCATCGTGAGAAGGTCCTCAACTTCATCTAATTTGGAACCATACTGCTTGCACCAGTCATAAATATCATCCATGAGCCCAATGGGCATGTCCTATACAGAGACCACAACACAGGATTTTCAATAAAGCAAAACTACATGCACTCTTAAACAGCAGGAATCACTCATTAAGTATTATATGGAATAATGAAAAGTACAGTAAATTATAAACTCCTGACTATCCAAAGTCATTGGTTTTTTAAGCCGAAGTTTTTTTAAAAAAAGCCAATCAGGACCGACAGATTAAATAACCTTTCACGTTTCGATTTTTGATCTTTGCAGTATAGGTGTTCCGACCAACGCAGTCTTTCAGTTCTGAGATTCGACCATGCCTACTTGCCAAATTAGTTTGGATAGCCTGGGGTTTGGATAAAATCAAGTTCAGATAATTTGGAGTTTACTATAGAAGGTAAAAATCCCTTCCATCTAGAACTTGAGAATCATAACAACAGTACATATAAAAATTCAGCATACTGTTTGATAAAACAACAATGGTAATTAATATTTAAATTAAAAATAAAAATGGAAGTGACCATCCATGGGAAAGGAATAAAAAATAAGAGTAATTTTTCTTAAGTTGCACTGAAAAGTTTGATTCTCAGACTTTCATGGACAACCCTAGTGCATTTTTTTATAGATTTCGAGACAGAGATTTTTCCTATTGCAGACGGTACAACCTTAGAATTTTCGGGCATTTTTGCTCAAAGAGCATCAATCTAGAAGCCCTGAGTTGATAAGTGCAGCCAGTTTTAAAAAGATACGATATATATTTACACATATCACAAGAAACACAATAAAACAATGGAAAACAAGGCTAAAATTACAAAAATAACCGCAGGACGTTTTAGCTGGCAACCCAAGCCCATTATCAACTGCTTAAAAAAATATAAAATTAAGAGAAAGACTAAAAAACCATGCACATTTGAAAAAACCCGTGTAACCAGCCCCGACAAAATTAGGACTGATAAGATGTTCACAACCTCAAGAAGCAACGTTGACCAAAAACAGTCAACCCTCAGCAAGAAACAGATGTTGACCAGGACCAGTCAACTCTCCGTAGTGTTACATACTGCCTTACAATAGCGGCACCATACGTCCCAACTTGGAAAAACGAGTGGTAGAGGAAAATAAGTTTGCTAATATCAGATGGAGCATTACACACCTGTCCTTCATGTTTCAATACTTCAATCGTTTCTTTTTGCGTGCATGGAAAATCCCTGTTTTCATGACATAAGATTTTAACTTGATAAAATTAAATTCATGACCCATCTCCTTCTGGTGTTTGATTAGGGCAGTGACTTGCTTGCGGTCATATTTATGATCGTTAAGGCGCTTAGATAAATTATTCCTGGTCTGTCCTATGTATATATATAACTGGGAGCTAAAGAACCTTTGCAAAATTTTTTTCCCGGAACTATCCATACCATCAAAAGGAAACTAAGCAAGGCTCATCACTTCAATATGATCTGGATCATGTTTCATTTGTGGTGAAAATCGGTTCATCCCTTGGTTCAGAAATGAAAAGGCTTTTAGGGGATGATTTTTTAACTCGTCCGATCTTAGCCTCAAAATACTCGTCTCGTCGAGCCCTTCAAAATGACCTATATTCACCTATGCTCTAAAGCCACAAGTTGGAGGGAGGGCTGATTTTTCGAAATTGTCCAATTTTAGGACCGATACCTCAAAACACTTGTCTCCTCCTGGCCTTCAAAACTACCTATATTCACTTTCCCTCTAAATCCACATGTATATAAGTGCTTTTGCAGATGAGCCAGAAATTGTAGTGCCGAATTGCAAGATGAAGTCCAATTGACATTTTCAAATACTTTGGATTGTGCAAAAAAAAAAAAAAAGATCATTATGACAGTACATGTGATTGATGACCTAAATAGAAAAACTTGACCCAGAGAAACTGTCGGATCATTTTGGAAATTTTAGGCACTCTGATAATTGATTGCACAGACTATATGTATTTGATTTTCTACCAACAAAATCAAGCCTCATCAGGAAAATAATGGATATTTCGATCATTGGGCCTACATTTTGTGACAAGGAAAATCTATTTCCGATTCATACATAAAAGCACCTGTCGGTGCCAAAAAAAAAAAAAACAAAAAAAAACTGTAAGTGGACATATATCGTTTCTACGAAGGTAATGTCAAAAGTCATGCGCGTTTTGCTCTTATTTCAAAACTATTAACCGCCACCTCTAGGCGCACGATAAGCCAGCTTTTTCGGAGCTCACCTAGCACGAATTTTAAACAGTCATAGAACATCCGTATCTAGAATTAGTGAAAATTACCTGTGACACACCACCGGGACGAATATAAGCAGCATGCATACGAGCACCAGAAACACGTTCATAGAACTCCATCAACTTTTCTCTCTCTTCAAACAGCCAAAAGAATGGAGTCATACCTCCCACGTCAAGGGCATGAGTACCAACAGCCATAATATGATTTAATATTCTTGTGATTTCACCAAACAGGGCTGCAAATAATGTATTAAGAACTAAATCATTAGGACTATGGCAATTTTGCTGAAAACAATTTTGCTGCAAAGAAATACTGATAGGTTAAATTGAGAAATTTTTTTTGTCAGTTGTTGTGATCTAGAGTGTGTAACCAAGGATTGATTCCAGAGTAGTTCTGTATGAACATGGTTAAGTACCTGGTCTGATAGTCTTATGAAGAACCCTTATACATACATTTGATATAAGCTCCATAGGCAAAAACAGAACATGATGTAAAGAACGAGACCAGATTAATTAATGAGGAATGGTTATTTTTTTCATTATTTAAAGGAGTCTCTTGACCGAAACAGTACTGAAGTTTCCAAAATTGGGCATTAGACGGGTATTGATAACTTTAGAAGGAGGCTTTCTGCTAATTTTAAATTGTTAAAAGCAATAAAAGTTTGATGAATCATCAACTGTTTGCACTTACTTCTGATGTATTTTGCCCGCAACGGAATGTCGATATTTAACAGTTTCTCCACTGCAAGTGAATAGCATTGTTCATTAGCCATCATGGACACATAGTCAAGTCGATCGAAGTACGGCAGAGCTTGGGTGTATGTTTTGTATTCAATCAGTTTTTCCGTGCCGCGGTGAAGGAGGCCGATGTGTGGATCAGCACGAATCACAACCTAAAAAATAAAGATGAAAAATAATATTTGAAAAATATGGACCTGATGATCAAGGAGAGTAAATTTATAACCATCGTTCACTTGCTAATCCCATACACTTTCTCCTGGGATAATTTTTTTTTTGCACCAACATCTGCATGCTATCAAAGAATCTTTGAAAAGTTGAGACTCTCTTACTCTCTAAGTCCTCAAAAACAGTCATTGAGGTGGTTTTTCAGTGCACTGGAGAGTGATGTGATAGTCGATGAGAAATTCTAGGATATTTCTTAAGAATGTCCAAGCATAACATGAGGCTGTAGTATATCATGTACTGGTGCACAAAATTTGACCAAGAGACACTTCAAAATAAATCTAAAAGTAAGTACGTTACAGATGAATACTGCAAATTATTCAGCCTTCTGACTTGCCATATTCACTCAGGACATACTTTTAAAGTTATTACAAATTGTTTCTTGGTAGAACTTAGTACTCAGACACCTAACGTTCTACAGCAGGATATAAGGCTTGAAAACTCTCAAGAGATTTCCTAATATCAAGAAATTATTGATTGATTGATTGATTGACTATCGAATCGTTCTCCAAAGTGGTGGAGAACCACCTTAAATGTCCTCCAATCTCCACTACGTCCATCACTGCTGAACTGGTAAAGACACTGATCCGCTTCATTTGAAAAATGTCTGTTGGTTAAAAAGCTGCCAGAGTCATATAATGTTTCTAATTGTATTATTGAGTCTTTTCATGTCATTTTTGAGCAAATAATTTGCTGCGCAACCAATGAAACTACCTAGTGTAGGGATAAATCTTGTCACTCAGAGGGAAAAATACCTATTTCAATGATAAGGGTGACTAAAAACATCAACCAACTCCGTAGCACTTGAACAAAAAATAAACAGCTGCTACTATTATCTATGTCATAGAAAAGAACCCATTAGATTAATTTTGGTTAGAGTCCATATTCATCGGTTAATAAATTTGGAAACAGTAGAGGAAAGTATGATAATGAATGTTGCGAATAAATAGATTACATTTTGCAGTAGGGAACTACTATTTGTGGCTACTCCACTAAAGCACTCATCTACATGCCGAAATTAATGGCATATTTGTTGTTTCTAAAACTTGCCAGAATTGTTAGTTAATAATTGCAAACATTAAAATCACAAAAAATAATACCTCTCCTTCTAACTCCAGAACAAGCCGCAACACACCGTGGGCAGCTGGATGCTGTGGTCCAAAATTGATTATCATGTTTTTCACAGTTTTTTCGATCGGGTTATCAATTTGATTCCAATCCTTAATCTTGAACCTTTTCATTATTCCGTCTGGATGTATAAAAGGACCCGCATGATCTCTCATATTATCCATATCAGGATACCATTGTTCTACATCATCAGTATTTAATTCCCATGCACTGGACGTCTTCTTACTCCTGGATCTGGAACATACAAAACAATTGAGGCAAATGAATATAGCTAGGTTTTTTTATCAATGCAGTTTATTCTCTGAAAAAATTTTATTTGTTCTATCACTCTTATTATTGAAGAGGGTTATTAGCTTCTTTTTGGTGTGTTATAATGACATGGTCATACCTTCATGGTAAACCTGGTAAAACTTGTGACCGTGTCAGCAAAATTGAAAACTATTCTACCAAACTTTCCCTGTTTTTATAAAATGACCAAGCAAGCCACTAGTTTCACTAAACACATTCAAAATTTACTCTTGTTAGCAATCAATGATGTCCCATTGATTGCTCTGGTCATCTACCACAAAAACCAAAGAATTCAATAGACACTCTGGTGATTGGCCGCGAGGTTCTTTATCCACTATCCTTTGATATTGTTAGTTAAAATTTCATAAGAACCTATGGTGTGTTTGCCAATGCTCATTTTATCAGAGATTATGCCATTAAGTTAAGACATTGCAAAATGCAAAGAATTGATTAACTGATTACTTTTTTTTTTTTATACACCAAGTTTCAAATAGCCTATTGGCTAATCCCATACTCATTACCCCAGCCCCAGGTGACCATTATCTGAGACCATTGAACTCAGGTCACCTGGTAGGGAATCGAACCTGGGACCTCTTGGTCATACAGCCAGCGCTACGATCACTACACCACAGGAGGCTGATCGCTGCAACCACTACACCATAGGAGACCTACTGATTGATTCTCTAACCACTTAACAAAAACGGAAAAAAAAAATTCAAAATTTTTGGATATCTGTATGACTTTTATAGATTATATAAGTAAGACTTTCTGTTAAATATTGCATTGAGATTCCTCAACTTTCTTCTAGAATGCGCTGGAATGTTTTTGGATTGCTGTGAGAAGAGAACTCAGAGCAGCAATTCTAAATCACCGCAGTCCAATTAGGTACATTTTTTCTACACCATCTTTGACAGGAAACAAAAATCCTGGCAAAAAAAGATTTTAAAAATTAAAATTTCACCCTAACTTACAATGGCAAAGCTAGGGGGTCACAGAAAAGCTGTAGCTGTGAACATATAGTGCCACTAAACACCAGAAGACCCTCATGAAGGATATATGGGCTCTTGGCCCCACCAACAAATTTTTCCAACTACACTTGCGCAGACGTACTCAACCGCTGATATGAGCTATGTTCTGAATTTTACTGATGCCCTTTATTTGGCAATATCAATCTGCAATGGCACACCGCCATAATTAGAAAAAAAAAAGATCAAAATCATCGGCGTTACATGGTGCAGCATCTGCTGAGAATCATGGTAATTTGTATTCTAATGAAAAACATTTAAGGAGGTATACCAATGTGAACATAACTCCGTGGCACTATGATACATCAATTCTACTCATTGTGGATTCAAGTTTTGGTAGAAGGGGATCAGCTTCAAAATTCTTCAACATCAGTAAAGGTTTAGTAGTTTCAATTTCAGATATGCACTACTGAGACAAGTAAACTGCTGAGTGATGCTGAGGCGGACCACGGCTAGGGTGTTTCTTATTTTTGACAGTTGAGAAAAGTTAAGTTGCAGTTCACAGCATATCATGTATTTATACAATTAATTTCTACCTGAAAGTAGCTCAAATGAGCTTGATTGGTAGTCCCTAGATTGACACCAAAACAGCTAACCAACTTTTAGGGTACCAATTTGGTCAGACAGAAGATCTGCTACTTTCGTGGTCACATTGAAACCAATGATAGGTAAGAATCAATATAAGTGAAGTCCTCACCAAATATCGACGGTGTAAGTCGGTGATCACATAACTCCAATTGTGACGTCGCAGACTTCCTATCATGCTTTATCTTTTAAACGGAAAACTACTCAACGGCAATTCTATAAAACTGCCGTGATTTTTCTTCTCTGTACGAAGAAAATTCTGCAAAAACTTCAAGGAATGATGTCGATTTGTTCTCCTCTAAAAAATAACATAGAGGCGGAGATTCTCAGACACCGCAAACAAGATATGTGATTGCCGACTTATGTGGTCCATACGTCATCAAACCTCCAGAATGCGCGAAGTGTGCAAGAAAAGGTCAGCTGTCTTCAGTTAAACATTGAAAGTAACAATCAGAATCAAAACGACAGTTTTTTGCTACACTCCCAAAGTACGGAGACTTATTTACCATAGGGCTCAAACAGATTTACTTTCTTCCTCTGTAAGCTTCACTATCTAATTGAGTCTGAACCCAACTGCAAAGTGGTTTCGTATCCTCACTCTTGGAAGTCTTATTATCAACTACGAACTAAAGAATGGTATGTACAGGTATAAGCCATTTTAATGGTAGCTGGAGGCTCAGAAACTCATCTACGATTATTGCATATTCATCCATCCTATCAGCCAGATGAAGTGTACTTCCGCAGAGCGCACAAGCTCCCACAGAGGATCATGCTGATCAGAATATAATGGAGTGAAGAATATGTAATGATGTTTTCCAACAAAAACATTTCCTTAGTAAGAGAGAAAACTGACACAAGAGGCTCAAACATAACCTTACTTGCGGTGGGAGTATCGACTTTACAAGGCAAATAAATTGAAGGGAAAGGTTAAAACTCTTACAGAGGTGCGTCCAGCGTTTTAGCGAGGCTGAGAAGTCCATTTTCCTTCGAAATTTGGTGACAAATCCTTTGACGAAGGGCTGCGCTGAGTAGAGCAGCCATGATTATCACCTAACTTAACCTACAAAAACAGTTTGTTGACGATTCGCATGACCTTCGGTCAGCTGACGGCAGAGGCAACTCTGATTGGTTGATTCCGTGAAACGTGCGAGAATTCCAAAAGATTCGAATTCCGTGGCGCCAAATCTCAACTTACGAGGGTTGCAAAAAAATAAAACTTTCAATGATTTACTTGTCACAGTTGGGTGGGAGGGCTAAATCTGCACTATGCAACAGATCCTCCCCTGTAATTTAGGTTTGATTCATTACAAAAAAAAAAAAAAAAAAAAAAAAAAAAACACACAGATTAAAACCTAGGACTTCAGTAATTTGTAAACCACAATTTTCATATATTTCCTCAAGAAATTCGCGGAAGAGGGGAGGTGATTTTGCTCCAACTTTATACCATTCTGGGGAGAGGGGATTCAATAATATAGTTATACATGGGTGAAAGCTTCTTTAAATAATGGAACGCCCCCTAAAATCACACCCTCTCCAAAATGTGTGCCTATTCACACATATCGACGGTGTAAGTCGGCAATCACATAACTCGGTTTGCGACGTCGCAGACTTCCTGTCATACTTTATTTTTGAAACGGAAAACTACTCAACGGCAATTCTTTAAAACTACCTTGATTTTTCTTCTCCGTGCAAAGAAAATTCTGCAAAAACTTCAAGGAATGATGCCGATTTGTTCTCCTTTAAAAAAATTACATAGAGGCGGAGATTTTCAGACACCGCAAACGAGTCATATGATTGCCGACTTACATCGTCGATATGTTGTGCTATTAGAACATGTTAAATTTCGCCCGGAATAGACATAAAGCTTTGATCTTAATTATGGAAGTGATTTTTATGACGTTTAGAGAATCTTTCCTGTAACACTCACCCAAGTGAGTCATTTATATTTCTTGTAATAAATAAATTAAAGTGAGAATTTTGAAACACAACAATCAAGTTGTATCCTTCTTGGCTCAATTAGGTCCGAGAAGTTGTACTACATGAGCATTCAATGAAACTGCTTTCAATGGAGAGAGAGAGAGGCTGCTCTATACATTTTGATGCATGTACTCATCTCCCTACATGAAGCCTCTATGGGTAAAGTGAATGTAGGGGAGTATAGAAACGATGGAAATGTAGGAGGGAAAATCTAACGAGAGGTGTTAGCAATTGCAATTGACACTCACTAAATGTAAAAGGAATAAGACGCATCACTTTATGTTCCGGTTGGTCTATGATAGCTATGGGTGATTTTCGAACTTTTCTTCGTGACAATGGCTTTCAGCTTTGAAGAAAGCAGAAAAATTTGAAGTAAGGCCCTGCATTAATTCCAAGTGCTAACCTGCTTACTGATTAAGACATTATTCCCACTTAGAATCTCTTGAGCCCTTTGCAGTAGACTGTCTGGCAAGAAAACTACTGAATATGAGATTCCAGAAGGGATGTAGGATCAGGCATGACATCAACTCCGAAGCTTGCTGACAAGTTTAATGTCGACCTAGCCCAATGTTTCAAATGCTTTCAAACATTATCTTCGATGACAGACAAGAGTTCAACTAATTTTGATCCTCATAATCTCAGCTTCAATTCAGTCTTCTGATCTGTCATCAGTGAACTTTTCAGCGAGAAAATCAGATGTCATACATAACAATCTGAATCAACAACACCTGTTACTGAACAGGCGTTGTTGACCTCAGTGTTCACCTCTTATGAACAAAAATGTTTTTAAAAACCTTGGGCTTCTTCCAGAGCTGGAATATGCACGGTACGTCCTGTTCTAGCAGTATGTTTTAAGATTCTCAGTTCAAAGGATAAATGTAATATAGGGAAATTTACTTCCTAGTTGACCCTCATATGAACACAATTTACTTGACATCAAAGCCATCCCATAATGGCAAAAATCGTTGATGGAGGAGATTTAAATGACATACATAAAAAGAGGAGTGAATTTGCTGAAGGTTTATTATAAAATCCTGAGAATCCTTAACATAGAATTATAAATTGCCTCTGTCATAAAACAATTTCTTAGATTAGTTCCTAAAAAATTGACAGGTATTTCTATACCTATTTTTGCTTTCTAGTAAAAAAAAGCATGATAAAGTGAATTCATACAGCCTTGCTCTGCGTTTGGAGGGTTTTTTCTTCCTTTCCTTTTTTTTTTTTTTTTGTACATAAGTATATATTGAAAAATAAATCTCAGTCACTCAAGGTGGATACAACAAATTAAAAATCTTCAATTAAAAAGAGACATAGTAAAGTAAAAATTAGAAGTGTGAAATTTGTAACTTGATTACAAGTTTTGGAGTGACAGGAAACTTAAAACACCACCAATCGGAATAAGTATTCCTTTTACTCACAATTTAAATATCCTCAACGTAATGATACCACTTTGTAATAAATCTGCGCTGAGGATAGACTTATCAACTTTCTGAGAAAATAAAAGCTTGCTGCCTGCAGAGTTTACAACTGTGAGCAACTACAAATCACACTGCAATGCTAAAATGCGCAGATTTTATTCCTATATCTTTGCTACAACAATTTACTCTTGTGTTTCTTTTTACTTTTTTTACCTTCTTTGCTATCATTATCAGATACCAACTCGAATTTTTTAATTTTCCTTTTTTTGACTTTTGGATCCTCGCAAGGTGATTCCAGATTCACAGCACTTATTTCAGCGGCATCAATTTCATGCACAGATGGAATATCTTTTCTTTCAACATTTAATTCTTTGTTTTCTGCCATTTTGAATTTCTTTTTTTTCCTCTTCTTCTCTTGTTTGAGATTACATATGTTCTCAGGGTGTTGAGTTGGATCTTCTGTTTCAATATTTTCCTCCACTTTAATTATTTCATTTCCTTGCCGACAGTATAGATCTTCATGAGTTGAATATTTCTCCCTATTTTTCCGTGATTTCTTCTTTTTTCTTGAGCCTTCTTTGTTTTCAACTTCTCCGGGCGTAATAACAGTGCCGCAAAAATGTTCAACATCTGTAGTTACATTTGCTGGTGATTTGCTGATCCTTAGATGTTTTCTCTCTTGATGTGAGTTCTTGAAATTTTCAAAGGGACTTAAATGTGTTTTAGTTGGAGAATCTGGTACAGTATTTTGAGGTGAACGTTTAATTTCTTTCTCTTGAGCTGCCAGTCTTGCTAGTTTTCCGCTTAAGCCAAGTCCATGTCGAGCACCTCTGTGAAATAAATTGAAGAACAAAATATCAGTGACAAAACCATGAGGGATAAATAATAACATTTTGTGTATGTTCGTGGGCATAGGATTACAAAAGTGCAGCGCAACTTTGCCATGAATTACAATTTTTCATTTGGTCTTTATCATAACAGTAACCAAGATACATGGTTTTGCATTTTGGCCATCGATTTGCATAATTAGCAATTCAAGCCTGTTCCACATGATAAGCATTCATTCTTATATACTTCAATTTTATTACCATTCAATTCCGCATAAATATTCATTCATTTCTCACTTGGTTCCTATTATAATTACTTCCACCAAGCAGCTTAGTAAGTAGTTGTTTCGTTTTTTGTTACTTAATTTGATTTTTGGTTTGTTCTTTCCTTTGCTTCATGCATTGGCTCGCAGGATGTAGACCACATGCTGAAAGTCTAGAAGTTTAACCATTAGTTATGAGGGATTTTACTTACTTATGAGCCGTTCGCCCTCCGCAGGCTTCAAAAAGTTTATCAAAGTTTAACGATGCTGGTTCTGTAACCTCCATTGGTTCGTCAATATCATTCTCAGGGATGGAACTTCCATCTTGCAAAATCGTTTCAGTCTGAAAAAAAAGATATCGCTTTAAATGAAACTGTTTTGAAAATGATAATGACAGCTTCAAAACAATAACTTCTGCATTCTCAACTCGATATCCCTGTTGTAGGCAATTTTTGAACATACATAGGGTGTTCCAAAAGAACCGGGATTGGTCCTGTAGTTTCTAAATTATGATGGGTACTAAAATGATCTTGGTTTCATTTGAAAGATCAACTTAATATCTATCGATCAGAACAAAGATCAGCTCAATTGAACAAAAATTTACTAAGTTATGCCAATTGAATCTAAAGAGTAGATTTTCACCCCACGGTTTTTAGAGTGATACTTTCATCACCAAAACCAGTCTCTAAAACTGTCATCTGATTGCGCTAATTTCGCGCAAAAAATTCTGGAGAATGCTACAGTAACCTGGCAACACGGCACCGTAGTCGTTGGTTGTCCTCGGTTGTTGTAACCCGATTATGGGGATATATGGTCCGAAAGACTAAAGTTCCTGATCAGTCATTTGCACCTTGAGTGACTGCAATGCTTCTACCGTCAGTGGGAATTCACCAGCACACACGGTTTTTTTTCTAATTTACCCGTGAATAAATGAAAAATAAAAGAATTGGAACACAATTCATCATTGCACTTAGTAAATCCTCAATCACTATTGAACAGTAGCAAAGCAGTCTATGCCGAATGGGAAAACAAGCCTCAACTTACTTGATGAAAGCATTAAATGCATTTCAGGGTTTCAAAATTCACCTCCTAGTCTGTTGTTTTGAAGGGAAACAAGCCAACTTCATTTATTGCTTACAATTTGCATAGGGTATTTTTTGATTAAAGAGGAGGGATCATAGAAATGTGCGAGAAATCTTATTGATTAGTTTCCCACTCAAAAGATAAGATTTGATGGAGAGTCTGAAATGTCTCAAATTGGGATGCGTGGTTTGAGAGATGAGGCATCAATATTTTTGTTTGTTGGAAGCAAATACGTTGATGATGTGCCTAACCAAAAGTCTGAAAATCAACTTCAAACTAGGGTTTTAAAATTACCAATGAACATCATTAAATAGAATACGCTAATACAAAGTTCCTCCACTCTTAATTTTCCATTTGAGGAACTCATCAACTGTGATTGATGATATGTGGCTAAATGTTGGTTTTGGATCTTTAGGTTGAGTAAACAGTTTAATACCCTTTTATAGGACACTTTGAAAGGAAATTTTGTGAATAAGACTTTCTTTACTTATTGCTGGCATAACCAACAAGACTTTTTTCTTTTGATTATTATTCACTATAAATCATTATTTTCATCATCTCAAAGACTTTCTTTCTTGCTTAAGTAGTTCGTTTTCAATCAAAAATTCTGTAGAAGACACTTAAATTAAAACTGGCACATAAAGAAGCAAAAGTCTTGAAAGTGACAGTTGCTCCTTAAAAATAAAAAAATATCTATACCAACAAACCTTGATAAATTTTTTTGAACTCTTCTGGTTTTTTTCTTGATTTGTATCAGTATCATTGGGCTTCTTTTTCCTTTTTTCCTGTTAAAGAAAAAAGAAAAACAACAATTAAGTTGAGTACCTACAATGCAAAATTCCACTTAATTCAGTTTCTCAACTGTCTTACATAATTAGAGCATACATGTCAGTGGGTGTTGATATTTTGATCCATTACTCATTTGAAATACTAGCTTTCAAATAAACTCAAACACTGTGGATACCATAACGCTTGAACATATTCAAATAGAAGTCTCTATTAACCATGACAGTTAATGAAAAGTCTGAAGTTGACGGTTATTTTCATTTCAGGGTAAATATATACTTTCCATTTAAACAGAAAATTTGTTATTCTTTTATTTCATCTTTTCACAGAAAAGTTTTCATATCATTGGTCAAAAATGATAAAAGATCAACTTTTTTTTCGTTTTGTTACAACACACTGTTTTCCAAAGGGCGGTATTTTTTTAAAAATTCCTTGGGTTATACTGAGTACAAAAATGAAAACCACAATACAATCTGATAGAATGCGGTGAACCTCTACGTAGAAGAGCCCCTCACATATTTTGCAGACTCCTAGGAAACTGGAAAATAGGATGAAATGCGGATATATTATCCTTTTCTACGAAGATGTAAATGCATATCAACAGTGAAGCTACCAGACCACATATCTCGTTTGCTGTGTTTAAAAATCTCTGCTCCCATTTTTATTTTTTTGAAGAGGAACAAATCAATATCATTCCTTGAAATTGTCACTGAGTTTTGCTCATACTACAAAGAAAAATCAAAAGAGTATTCAAGAATTAACAAAAAGTAGTTTTCCCTTTAAAAAATAAAGTATGATAGGAAGTCTACAGCGTCGCAAACCGAGATACGTGATCTGGTAGTTTTACCGTTCATATCTGACGGCAAGAAACCAACTTCAAGATCCAATGGGCATAGCAGTCACTCAGCTGAAAATTTGGGGACAGCATAAGCAAAACTACGAACTTTTTATNGGGGGGGGGGGGGGGGGCAGAAAGGCACCTCATCAAGAGAGGTCTATGTGCTAAAAGATACCCCAACAAAGGGTAATTCTAATCAATTAGTTCCATTTAAAATTCTAGTCAAAGTCACTTAAAAATACGTTTTTGACCTATGAACTTCAGTTTGGTTTGAAATTTTTGGACTTTTTTGCCTCGAGAGTTTCACAAAACACTCCTCTAGGCTTTGGTGTAATCGACTGAAGTTAGAGTTTTGTGGACAAAGAACAGTTCTTTTTTCCGTGAACGGTTGTACATATAACCAAGTGGTAGTCAAGTGGTAGAAGTCCATAAAATTTGAAGGAGAGGGACTAACTTTACAAATAAAGAGCTTTGGGGGAGAGAGTCACTAAGGTTGCTTCTTAGGGTGGATTGTTAGATCAAGATTAGTAAATGGTTTAAATTGTTGTGCATTCCATGAGGGAGTTTAACTTACTCATTGGATGCCCCATGTAAATTTAGAACTCAATTGATGAAAAAAATGCTCAGATGTAAGTTAGTAGATTTTTGAAAGGAAACAGCTAACTAGGGGAGTAGAAAAATTCATCATCATTTGAACTGCATTTGGCAATGAGGGACTAATAACGCTGGCTCATCCGTGAAAGCACCTTTCTGTAAAAGGAAAGTAATGGCATATGTTTCGTTTCTAAGATGAGTTAGAAATACTAATACGTAGTAGCAACATACAGTCCATTTTGTGCAATACTATCTCAGAATCTTGGAGGTGAAATGTAGTAAGCTGATTCAAACGCACATCAACAACATGTTGCTTGTGGTAATGGGATTATAAATTTATGAACCTCGCCCTTATCCTGATAGAAATTCAAAAAAGTGATTACTTACTTTCACAGTTTCTTCAGAGACATCAACTTTTTTCAGTGCTTCGTCATAACGCTGTGCCCACCAATCATTGACATATTCTTTTGAGTAATCAAATCCAACTCCAGTTGTGTCAAATTTCAACTTCGGTTTCAAAGGAACTACGATGCCATCCTCTAACTTCCCCAATCCTTTACCTGAAAAACAAATTTAACCGTGTTAAAAAACCTTTTTTAAGCTTATCTGGACAAGGAAAGCAGTCAATAGAGTAGACATCAAATGGAACCTGCTAAACAGCCCCTTTTTTCAAGAGGTAAATTCTGATAAAAGGAATTGAAATTTTTCCTTCAATCAATAATATCGTTTCTTCCGATAGCTGCTAATGCCTATACATATAAGCCTTTTTTCATATCTTTACTTATTGAATTATCATTTCATTCATCATTTTTACATTATAATGATATAAATTCAACACAAAGTCCATGATTATTGTGCTGGTAGCTTAATATTGCTAGTTTACATTTTCTCTATCTATTATTCTCTTATCTATTTTCTCCTCTTTTTTAGATAAAGAAAAATTTCACAAAGTTTCAAGAGTACATGAGGATGGTTTCATAATCTGAGGGTCAGGCATGATTCGATAATTACAAAGTTTAAAATTAAGTTACCTGCTTTTCTGGTGCTCCTATTAAAAATAGATATTAACAAGGACTTTTACAGATGCTCCAGAGGCAATAAGGGCACCAAAACTAATCCAATTACTGACAAGGTGCATAAAAAAGCCAACTGCGTAGATAAGAAGAATAATATTCACCTTCCTCCCAACCAAATCTGCTAAGAAGTTTCCGGCCAAATTCCATTATGAAGTCCAGTAAAGAAAGGTTTCAGGATACAGGGAACCTGCAGAATGAAAACTTAAACATAAGTAAGTAAATATACTTCCAAGAACTTTTACTCCAACATTTAAGACCAATAAGAAGAAAATAAAGGAAGCATAATAATAGAACGGTCATTAAAGTAAGAAGCCACGGCTCTAATCTAAAAAGGCTGCCGCACACAACTACTAGAAAATTAAACTAAGTAATGCATTTTTGACCATTGATACATACGTATAAATTTTAAGACTCTTATTTTGAGATGCTTGGATTGCGCTTTAATGCCTACTTTCTGCACACGGCTCTTGGCTGCACATTCAAGATGGGAATCAGTGGGCTCGCCTCACTCTGACTTATATGATAACTAACCTTAGTGTGGACCACTTGCCTTGTCTACAAACTGAAGATGTCAAAAAATCATTGAAATTGTATACTTACACCTGTCAACTAAAAATGAAAAATCATATCAAATCTTTCACTATTCAAAACTGAGTCAATTAATGCTTGATTTGGCAACCACATACTGTTTTGTTCCTTTCATTCCCATTCTTTGACCTTCAGCTGATGATTCTGGGCCTCACAAATTAGGTCCTCTGGAACTTTGGATTTGAGGCTACGATTCTCATCCTATGATGGTATGTTCAGCAGTTTTCTTACTGACTTCTGGTAGAGGATACTTCACATCCAGATTTTTTTAGCATAAGCATGCGCTTAAGTCTATAACATTATTAAGTGCAGGAGCCATACTCATTTGTCAACTACTAACAAGGGGAACTTCCCAAGCTGCTGCCTCCGATCGGGCTGAAAAAATTCGTACGAACTCTTTGGATGAATTTATTTGACCCGTATTTTTTTGTCTTTTCCAATGCCCCCTAGAAACACCCCAAAAAAATTCCGGAAAGTCTTGCTTTCAGCGCTCGAGTCTATAAACGCAGTATAGCAGCAACCATTTACCGTCTGGTGGTGGCTCTGCGGTAGCGCGCTCGCCCAGTGATCCGGCGGGCCCAGGTTCGATTCTCGGGCGCCGCGCTAAATTTTAACGACCGAATTTTATATTCTCACCTATTTTCACATCGAATCCCATTTGATACATTGGAACTTAAAACATCAATTAATTTACAAACATCACCAAACACAAATTAATCAACGATCAATAACTTCTTCAATTTGAAGGATAGATTTTTTTTTGGGAGCGGGGAGGGGGGAGGGGGTCACGCGCGCGATATTCTTGCCAATCACTGCACTTTCACATTAGCAGACGACCCACTCCGCCCCCTCACATCAACATATTTCTCCCGATCACCCGTATGCGTCATGATTTTTCCCATCATTATCCAGAAAATGATAATGAAAAATTACTTCGAACATTCAAATTAAAAATGCTACAATTTTTCATTATCATTTTCTGGATAATGATGGGAAAAATCATGGCGCATACGGTTGATCGGGAGAAATATGTTGATGTGAGGGGGCGGAGCGGGTCGTCTGCTAATGTGAAAGTACAGTGATTGGCAAGAATATCTCGTGCGTGACCCCTCCCCCCTCCCCGCTCCCAAAAAAAAATCTATACTTCAAATTGAAGAAGTTATTGATCGTTGATTAATTTGTGTTTGGTGATGTTTGTAAATTAATTGATGTTTTAAGTTCCAATGTATCAAATGGGATTCGATGTGAAAATAGGTGAGAATATAAAATTCGGTAGTAAAAATTTAGCGCGGCGCCCGAGAATCGAACCCGGGCCTGCCGGATTACTGGGCGAGCGCGCTACCGCAGAGCCACCACTAGATGGTAAATGGCCGCTGCTATACTGCTTTTATAGACTCGAGCACTCAAAGCAAGACTTTCCGGAATTTTTTTGGGGTGTTTCTATGGGGCATTAGAGAAAACAAAAAAATACGGGTCAAATAAATTCATCCAAAGAGTTCGTACGAATTTTTTCAGCCCGATCGGAGGCGGCAGCTTCGGAAGTTCCCTTGTAAGTCCTACCTGGATAGTCAAAGAACTCACAACTTATCAAATGGAGAGGCCCCATTCATGCAAGGCTTGTGTATCCACAGTGATATTATCCTGACATGATACTTGGAGATTTTCACCTGATTTCTGAATTTGTCAGGACATCTACTTAACGATGGATGCAATCTGAGATCACTGATATTTCATGTCTTTTCAAGTCCCTAAACTGCTCCTTTTCAATTTGGAAAACAATCATTCTCATCTCAAAAGAGTTTCTACCTTAATAAAGAAGGATATGAAAGATATACATTTCTCTTGTTATATAAATGTAAGTACTAATTTAATAAAACTCTTGTCGGATCAAACAGGAACAGAACTGTAATACCGCAATCACATAACTCGGTTTGCGACGTCGCAGACTTCCTATCATACTTTAATTTATAAACGGAAAACTACTTGACAGCAATTTTTTAGAACCGCCGTAATTTTTCTTCTCTGTGTGATGAAAATTCTGCAAAAACTTCAAGGAATGATGCCGATTTGTTCTCCTTAAAAAAATAACATAGAGGCGGAGAATTTCAGACACCGCAAACCAGTTATGAAATTGCCGACTTACACTGTCGTTATGTATGTAACTGCAACAGTCATGTGTATACCAAGGAAACAGGAAATGAGTTTAATGACATTGCTGCGAGAAGGATGCAAACGTAATTCCGTGTCAATCAAATCAAAGAAAAGGATTGATCAGGAGTAAGTCCTCACGTTCTTGGAACACATACCTACTTACATATCACAGTTACCGGGAAAAACTTAATTGACTTTAGCGGCATTGAAAAATAGTATCCGAATTAAGAGATGAGACAGATTGAGCCAAAACTAAGTCAGAGAGGGAAAAAAATAATTGTACAAATATAGTGACATGAAGCAAAGAGACTACACGTGTGAATTAGTATACAAACTATCAAACATAACCTACACTATTGTACGGGTACGGGATACACAGAGACAAGAGACCCTCCACTGGCCTCCTAGCGACAGGTGGAAGCTTTTACTTTCGGGGTTTCAACAATTCCTTATGGACAATTATGAGCGAGCAACAGTCATCACCCTATTTTCGGCTGTTGACTTACCTACATGGTCGATGATGAGCTTCGGATGACGTCATAAGCCAAACAACTTTCCCAAACGTCGGCCATTTTCGGCTTGTTTGCGAAACGAAACTGCCAACACGTTGTTGAACATCAACCATGTAGGTAAGTCAACAGTAGAATGCTGAAGTCCCGAAAGTAAAAGCTTCCACCATAGCCAAGTTACTAGTGGAGGGTCTCTTGTCTCTGGGGATACACCTCCTCCAAGTTGCCAACCTTTTAATAAACTTCCCAATGAACAGCGATAGAAAAAGGGAGTAAAACATAGGATCTACAAAATAAAACCATCCATAAAATTGAAATATCCTGCAAAATACATTTTTAGAAGTCGATTAAAACGTGGATACTTTGTAAATTAGTTTTAGTTAGAATAATGTGGAAGTGAATGTAAGCCCTGCTTCACGTATTTGAGGTTGGTAAGACCTAATTTGCAACAAGGATTTGATTGGAGTAAGACAACTAGCCGGATTAGTGGGAGATATGAAAATGCGGGAGCGTGGTTGCTTTCCCGCAACCATTGTCTTACTAGTCCGGGCGGACAATGGGAACCAACATAAGACCAATTTTTAGGACCAGATTTCTGAAATTTCCTGCAATTTTTCAACCGTAAGTTGACGATTTTAAAGTTAATGATATTTCTCCACCTGCAAGGAGAGAAGCCCCTGACTCTGCCTTGCTAAGGTGTATGATTCACCACAAACCGTCAACGGCGATACCACGTTGATAGCACCGGTTCTAGTCCGATAACCGAAGTTTAGCTGCAGGCCCGCCACAGGGGGGGGGGGATACTGGGTCCCTGCAGGTACCGGGGCACGGGCCCCGGAGGGGGCCCGTGTTACCCGTGAAAAACCACTACGAATTCACATGCAACCCTTGTTTCATAAGAAAAAGTGAAAAATTTACCCTATAAATTTCGCAAAAGGTGAATAGATTTTCAGAAATACGCTGGGGCGCTGTGGAATTCTTCTTAAATTTTCAAAGAAGTATACTTCCTGGAAAATTTCTATCGATTTTCAAGATTTTCAGTACAGAGGGATATTTTTAGTTACTGCGTTTCATTTTCTTCCGTCGTCAGATGCTAAGAGTCTCCAGTCTGGGCATCCTCGACTTCAATGGCTCGTGGCTCAACTCCCTTGCCATAGACAAACGAAGGGGGAGTCCAGGGGGGCCTGGCCCTCTTAAAACTGAAAATAGTATCATATGCCCCCCCCCAAAAAAAAAAAAAAAAAAAAAATGTTTTGAATGCAACAATTCGCAAGGATTTTGTGCTGAAAGTGGAAAAAAAACGTAATTATTCCGCAGAAATTGATGGAAAAATTTTACATGGAAGCTTCAAAATCCGTTCGATTAGTCGTATAAATTCTAAAATTTCTCGGGGGATGCAGCCCTCCATGCTTGGGGCCGGACCTTAAAACTGGTACCAGGGCCCGAGATGGGATGTGGCGAGCCTGCATGAAGGCTATTTCAACTGTAATCTTCCGTCGCTTTTCTAAGGCGCAATGATACACCTATATAAACTCTCTGGAATGCGTGAGGTATCACGCCGCATTGGAAGGCGTTTTCAAAACAGCCAATTTCCGTTATCGGAAAAATCGTTTTGCGTAGTTCATGTTACTACTTTGTTTCCATTTCTAACCACTTGATTAATTATAATCCTCCTATAAAAACCACCCATTCGCTAAACACAATTCTAGCTGAAGCCCACTTATAAGCGCATTCATGACTGCAAAAATGTTAACGGAAATCGACACGCCCAGCGTGCAGGAAGGCTATTTCAATTGTAATCTTCCGTCGCATTTCAAGGCGCAATGATACAACTATTTGAACTCTCCGGAATGCGTGAGGTATCACGCCGCATTTGAAGGAGTTTTCAAAACAGCCAAGTTCCTTTATCGGAATAATCATTTGCATAGTTCATATTATTTTGTTATATTCCGTACCACTCGTTTATTTTTAATCCTCGTAGAAAAACCACCCATTTGCTAAATACAATTCTAGCTGGAGCACACTTCAGCTATGCATTCACCACTGCAAAAATGTCAAAGGAAATCGACAAGCCCAGCGTGCATGAAGGCAGGCCCGCCGGGGCACGGGTCCCGGAGGGGGCCCGCGTGTTACCCGTGAAAAACCACTACGAATTCACATGCAACCCTTGTTTCGTAAGAAAAAGTGAAAAATTTACCCTATAAATTTCGCAAAAGGTGAATAGATTATCAGAAACACGCTGGGGCACTGTAGAATCCCTCTTAAATTTTCAAAGAAGTATACTTCCTGGAAAATTTCTATCGATATGCAAGATTTTCAGTACAGAGGGATATTTTTAGTAACTGCGTTTCATTTTCTTCCGTCGTCAGATGCTAAGAGTCTCCAGTCTGGGCATCCTCGACTTTAATGGCTCATGACCAGTGGCGTAACGGGCGCCCCCGCAGACCCTGCTATGCAGGGGGGCCCAGGCGCCAAGGGGGCCCTCGGCCGCCTGAATTTTTTTTCTCTCTCTCTTTCACTTTTGAAGCTTATCTTTGGTTTCAAACTTTGGGCCTTTACTTACCGAGATGGGGCTTCTTCCTCTCATTTTTATTGTTAGCTCGGGGTTTTTCATACTCTTTTCTGACTGTTCCTAATTTTTTGTTTGCTGGAGGGCCCCTGCCTTCCAATGTCCACTCAGTGATTACTAAACATTTTTTTTTTCCTTGTCACTTTTCATATTACGGGCTTTGAGAGATCCAAGAATCTAAAGGGCCCCCAAGGCTCTTGGGGGCCCTTTGATTCCTGGGCCTGGGCCCCTCTGTAGATATTTGGACCTAGGTTGGGCCTCCGCCACCCTTTGGATCCTTGATCCTTTAGGGGTCCAATTAATCGGGTACGGGATCCGGGACGGTAAGAAATGAGGCATTCCAAAACCATGTCCGTGATTTGAGATGTCTCGGGCCAAACAATGGGAAGGGGTGGGAGGGGCGGATAATTTTGGAATTTTATCGACATGGGGGGCCTAGAAAAAATTTTGCGGGGGGGGCCCAGTGGGAGTCCGTTACGCCACTGCAGTCATGACTCAACTCCCTTGCCATAGACAAACGAAGGGGGAGTCCAGGGGGGCCTGGCCCTCTTAGAACTGAAAATAGTATCATATGCCCCCCCTCCCCCCCCNAAAAAAAAAAAAAAAAAAAAAAAAAAAAAAAAAAAAAAAAAAAAAAAAAAAAAAAAAAAAAAAAAAACATAATTATTCCGCAGATATTGATGGAAAAATTTTTTATGGAAGCTTCGGGGAAAAAGCTGATTCTCTGTTTCCCTAAAGCACTGTCAGTGCCTAAGTTGCTGCTTACTGACGAATGATCGATAAAATCCTCTACTCGCGGGAGTCTTCTTACTTATTTCTTTTTTTTTTTTAATTATTTCACGGAGCTCAGGTTGATGAAAATGCCAGAGATTAAAGGGATGCGGATGCATCGTAATTGCTGTTTTCATTTATCACAAGACTATAAAGTGTTGAATTTTTACGGTTTGTATCCATTACGCTGCGCCGTGCTACGCTACTCCAAAGGGCGCAAGAACGTTTCACAACATGCGTTCATGTTCGTTAGAGACGGTGAATAATTGGACTGCATTTTGCAATTTGGAACTATAAATTCTGGCTCTTCTGGAAAAACACTTATGAGCATAGGGAAACTAATGGCCCATGCGCTGTTTTTAAACCGGGCTAGAATTTATAGTTCCAAATTGCAAAATATAGTCCAATTCAGCTAACCCGGGATAGCGCGAACGCAGACCCGATAGGCATTAAAGAAACTCGCAGGGGTTGCAGCCCGAACGAAATGCGAAAAGGCCTCGCCCTAAAGGGAACCACCCTGATCACGGTAGCCCTCACACCAGGTAAGCATGGTAAGTGTATGAATTGACCAAGTATAAAGTAAGATGACCGTGAAAATCCATGTCCTTACATGCAGCCACTGCAGATCACTCTAGGCCACTGGCAAGCTAGTTCATAAATTCTACATGTTTGAGACTTTTTAACTGTTTGAGATGAATTGTTTTGTTTGAAACAGCTCAAGTAAAAAATCGCTCTATAGGAAATATGTACATTGACGGCGGTGTAAAAAGTGAAGTTTTCCAAAACAAAAAATTTGAAATCAAAATGAACACCAAAGGCACGCGTGCATAAGCAAAAACTGTTCTGCAAGAAGTTTACGACAGATTGCGTCTCAAAAGCGCGCGTTTTTTCCGAGTAGCCGGCGAGTATCGGCGCGGTATCCGGGCTTTTGGGCCGTATTTAGAGACATCTCCATAGACCAAATAGGGATTCGAAGCCCATTGTGGTTGACACTGTGATTAGGCAAAATTTAAACGGTCCCCTATCGATGACCCATGAAAATAATATTTTTAACGAGCTGTTGGAAAAATTCGACCACTGCAGGAAAATCAACTGGTAAAGTACTGTAAACTTCAAGAAAAAATAAATAAATAAATTGAATAAAAATTTGAAAAATGTTACTCTCTTGTTGACAGGGCCGGATTTATTTGTTTGCCGCCGATGGGCCGCCTGTGTTTTGCCGCCCCCTTTTCAATCGTTTTGAAACATCAATAAAAACCATCTAGTGAACGTGCCGGAGGGGGGGGGGTGCATAAGACGCGTTTACTCGTGTTGGACACATTTTTTGCGAAAGCCCTGTCAACACTACTAGCAAAAATCCACATAACTTGGCGCAAAAGTTAAGTTCGGTAAATTTATCTCTGTGTGGACAAGGCCTTACATTTACATGAAATGAACGAAAATATTATGAAAGAACAAACATAAATATGCTTTAATAATTTTAACTTCCGCCGCCGT